TACTACCACCATTCAAACACGACAAGCCTGGCATATCGATATGTTCATTCAAATCGAAGTTAGACAAGTGGACCGAAAAAGTTGATTGACAGTCGTGAGAGAGGAGTAGCATAGTGTGCCTCTCGTGATCTGGTGAGGATGTTTGACCGGGAGCCTTCAACTAGATGTGTTCATCAAAACTAATGAGGTGAACATCTAGTTTCGAGGACTTGCAGAACGATTTGTTTTGAGGATTTATTTACCACTGCACGTTCACTGGCTTCACCAAATCTTTCAACAAAATACCGTCAGTACTGCACATAGAGAAGTTTGGAAAGATGAGTTTTATCAACCCACTTTTATCTATGCTTTTATTACGGCCTGAAGAACAGGATGTTTCGTGGCAAGGGGACTAGAGTGGACTTGGGATAGCGAGACGATTCTAGGTTCACTCCTGTTCCTGACCTTTATTATTGATAATATAAGCTCAGTGACACCAGTCTATTAAGACTAAGAAAAGATCTGAAGTCTATAAAAGGTAAATATGCTGCTTTTCAGCTTTAAATAGACCTGGAATCAATAGGCTAAATCTTTTTTGTCGAAATGTCACATCATGAACAATATTCCTCGTTTGACGCTAAAAGCTTATGCACCTCATAGAAATTCACATCTGCTTGTCTCTTTAGAGTGCGTTCTTAGAATAATAATCACAGGGCGCTTTTACACCAGGTCAAATTACATGGGGGGTGCAGCCATGGTAAACACAATTCTCAGCTTCATGAGGAGGCAAAACTTAGAAATCACCACAAAGTCGTTCCTAACTCTCTTTTACACATTAGCACAATCCCAACTTGAAGTCCACAATGTCATTCACCTCCTCTCTTTTACGGGGGACATAAGTTTGGCAGATGGAGTACAGAGGCGGGCAACCAAGAGGGCGATTGGTCTTTCATCAACTACTCCCTATTATTATTACCTCTGTTTTTTCTTTCATTCTTATACTTCGATCTTCTAATGCTGTATGCATTGTCAATTGATCAACATATCTATCTGTCATTCTTTTAAACAGTCATCTATCCTTATAACTACAATTATTACTATTGTTTTTCATTTCGCAGTCAAGCAACCTCTTGGCTGGAAATGTAATAGCTACTAGTATCTAGAAATCCTTATTCTTTGGGACGAACGCACTTACTCGAATTGCATGATATAAATATCCATAAATAGCCGCCAAACTGACGAGAATGAGTGCAATCGAGTGGCTAGACTACCACCCACTGGACATTACAAAATACCTGAAACTGTACAGAAGCAACAAAAAGAGAGCTCAAAGAAACCAGTCGGTCAGCACAGAAGAGGGTTAAATAACCTTTTTCTAGTGTAGCGACTAAAACCGTGCGCTTCTAGTTCCCACCCCAAATCTCAGAGTCTGGGGCTCATGTCATTTCTGTTTCAAGAAGGATAGTGATTTGTCACTTGTTGTGAAAATTCGTTAAACATTTTCTTTTGGTACCTTCTTTCTAACTGACTCTGACAATGTGTTCATATTGTGTTCTAGACCTTCCCAATCTAATTACAATGGTTGGCATTACTCACAAACGTGGACAGCTGGACTGTTTATTCCCCGTGGATGAAGGAGTGCAGTGTGATGAATGTAAAAAGTTGTTCCATGAAATGTGTACCCGTCTTAGTCCCGCTGCATACAAAAGATGCTCTAAGCCTAACTCGCACTGGCTTTGCATGTTCAGCTGTACAAATAGAACGTTACTAATCCAGGAGGCTATGAGCCCATTTTCCTTGGCCTGTAAAAAGAAATATAGTTGCCGCGCTAGTAACACAAGTACTGACAGTGAAGAATGTGTCCGTGTTGTTTGTGCTGTTACAGGACGCGTTAAACAGCCTACTAAGATTGACAGAAAAGTGAAATATCCGTTGAAACTAACGAGGATTAAAGTGCCAATTCATATTGACATGGGTAGTCATGCATCTTCAGTAGGAATTGAAGGCCTGGATAAAACCGTCACCTTTCCTAATATTCCTGGTGTGACTGTCCCGAGTGATGAAAAATGGACGGCAGTATGGAGAAAAAGAAGGAAAAAACTATTAAAAATACGCACTTGGTAAGCGAGTCATTGGTGAACCGTCATCTGCATCTGATCCACCATGTTAATCAATGATGCCGCCCAGATTGTAAAGGTTTCCACATTATCCAAAGCTTCTCCGTCAAGTGTAATTCGATTGGTGCATATTGTATTGTATCGAAGAGTCTTTCTTTTCTTTTTGTTTATATTGAGACCTGCTGCTGCTGAGGCTGCTGCTACACTGGTCGTTTTCTCCTGCATTTGTTGTTGCGTTTGTGATATAAGAGCCAGATCATCCGCGAAGTCTAGATCCTCAAGTTGCATCCTGCCTGTCCATTGTATCCCGTGCTTTCCTCCAGATGCTTACGTCTTCATGATCCAGCCGATCACCAGGAGAAAGAAAAAGGGTGAAATTAAGCAACCTTGCCTAACACCAGTCTTTACCTCGAATGAGTCTGTGAGTTGTCCTCCATGGACGATTTGGCAGTTGAATCCATCATAGGAGTTCCGTATGGTAGTGAATATTTTCTCAGGCACGTCGTAGTGTCGAAGAAGCCTCCATAGTGTTGTCCTGTCCACTCTATTAAATGCTTTCTCGTAGTCTATGAAGTCGATATAGAGTGATGAATTTCATTCAATTGATTGTTCCACAATGATCCGTAGAATTGCGATTTGGTCTGTACATGATAGATCCTTATGAAACCCAGCTTGTTGATCTCGAAGTTGGGCGTCTACGGAATCCATCATCCTGTTTAACAATACTCTGTTGAAGACTTCCTGGTATTGAGAGAAGAGTGATTTCTCTGTAATTCTCACACTTGCTGAGATCGCCTTTCTTTGGTATCTTGATCAGAAGTCCTTTTTTCAGTCTGTTGGTACTTGTTATTCATCTCAAATCTTACCGATGAGGATGTGGAGTATCTTTGCAGTTGCTGCTACATCTGCTTTCAGTGCTTCTGCCATAGATTTTGTGTGGTCCCGCTGCTTTCCGCTCTTGATTTGTCTGATGGCCATGCTGATCTCTTCAATTGTTGGTGGGCCAACATTGATTGAGAGGTCTGTGGGTGCTGCTTCGATGTTGGGTGGGTTCAGTGGAGCTGGTCGATTCGAAGGTTCTTTGAAGTGTTCTACACACCTGTTTCGTTGTTTTTCAGTGTTGGTGATTACTTTGCCTTCCTTGCTTTTCACTGGTCGTTCTGGTTTACGGTGATTTCCAGCGAGTTTCTTTCTTGTATTATACAATTGTTTCATGTTTCCTTCGCTTGCAGCCTTTTCCGCTGTCATCGCTAAATCTTCCACATATTTACGTTCGTCGGTTCTGATGCTCCCCTCCACTTGCTTGTTTACCTCTGTGTATTCGGCTTGTGCCTTGGCTTTTTCTGCTCTTGTTCGGCTGGTATTTATTGCTGCCTTCTTGTTCCTCCTTTCTTCAATCTCATCCAGTGTACCAATAGTGATCCATTTCTTGTGATGATGCTTCTTATGGCCCAGAATCTCCTGACATGTTGAAATGATTGCTTCCTTGATACCTTTCCAGTTGCTCTCAATGGTAGTTCCCTCTCTATTGAGTAGACCATGAAAGACCTGGAACCTGTTGCTGAGGGCTATTTTGAATTTTTTGAGTTTGTCAGCATCCCGAAGAGAGGCCGTATTAAACTTTTGTGATGTTGTCCGCACAGTTGTCCAGTGCTTCTTGAGTTTAAGTTTCATCTTGGCGACCAGCAAATGATGATCGGATGCTATATCAGCTCCTCTTCTGGTTCTCATATCCTCCATCGTCCTCCTGAACTTTTTGTTGATGCAGATATGGTCGATTTGATACTGTGTAGTGTGATCCGGTGAAATCCAAGTGGCTTTGTGTATGTTTTTGTGTGGGAATATGGTGCCACCTATGACCAGTTTATTGAATGCACATAGGTTTGCAAATCTCTCACCATTTCCGTTCCTTTCTCCCAGTCCATGTTGTCCCATGACGTCTTCGTATCCAGTGTTGTCCTTTCCAACCTTGTCATTGAGATCTCCCATCAGAATGGTCGAAGATCGACTGCAGCCTATCATAGAATTGGTCTTTAGCGTCTTCATCGTAGTCGTTGATCGTCGCATAGGATTGGATGACGTTCATTGTAATGCCCTCTCTCTTTGTTTTGAAGGAGGCTTTGATGATCCTTGGTCCATGAGATTCCCATCCAATAAGTGCATTTTGTGCTTTTCTGGACAGCATCAATGCCATTCCTTGTGTATGTGGGGCATCTCCTTCTTCATGACTAGAGTATATCAGAAGTTCCCCTGAAGATAGTCGTTGTTGTCCAACCTGCGTCCGATGTGTTTCACTGATTCCAAGCACTTCCAGGTTGTATTTTCTCATTTCTGCAGCAATTTAAAAGGCTCTTCTGGTCTCCCTATGCCCAACCCTCCTCCTTTACCCGGGTTTGTGACCGGCAGCAGCCCCCGGACAAGCTACAGGAGTTTTCATTTGAGGCAGAACGAACTCATTTCTAATTTCCGTTAGACATCTCGAACTGCTAAAATTATCAAGTGTGAACTTACTTGGTGTTGTCGAATCTGATAACAAACATTCCCTGAAGTTATATTCCTATATTAGGTCGAAAATACTAAATGGTATAGGAATGAAGCCACTGACAGACATTGATTTCAATAAAAGTTTCCAGTTAAGGTCTTTTGACACCATTTCCTTACATGAAATTATAGTTCCATTATCCGTACCACAGTTCAATATAGTTCATTGCTAACTTGGTAAAGCATACCGGATTCTGATTGGTTACTTCAAGGACGGCAGTCGTCTGTAGCTCAATATATTGACTTGGCCGCTTTGTAAATGTATCTGATTAATAAGTTTAACCCACCAATTGCGTTACGGAGATCCGACCTTCAAATACTCGACACCTTTGGTCTTGGTCTGTACCTGAGTTCAAGTAAAATATGGTCAGTTTCTCAGTTGCCTCCTTTTTCCTATTATCCTTTAAAAAAAACTAATTCCATAATATCTTATTTAGCCGAGCGACATGCGACGAGCATGTATGAGTAAGAACCGTGAAGTATCATGTTATCTTTTGACGAAGATGTCTTGGAAGGGGAAGTAAGTTTACCGATTTGGTTTTGGTTTTTTCCTGTAACTCCCACACATTTGCACGCCTTTGAACCCTTCATAAATCCCTTTTTGATTAGAACTGAATTAATCGACTTATATAATATTCGATCTCCATAATATTTATGTACAATTTTCTCATGGGTCGATTACTTAGAAACTAGAAATTTCTTACAGATTCAGTTATCAAGCAGTCTGCGAAGAAACTGTTGTTTCGAAATGACTTAGTTCTATCTTGTCTCCCCAATGTTTATCCTGTATCCTTCAGGCTGTTCTAATCTGAATTGAATAAAGAGATAAATAGGCCTCTCAGACCGTTTTTTATTCGTTATATCTTTAGTATGTTAACGTGTCTAGCAAAAAATAAAATATAGGCAAGTGACATTTGAAACCTTTCGTTACAAGATAAGCTGACCATCTAAGCAGTTGTGGTTCTGCAAACATATCGTATTTCCGTGCAAAGCTCACTTTTCTTTCTTGGGAAGTTTCGTTATGTCAACATAACGGATTATTGTTACTCTCAGGACAAACGTGAGTAAAATCCTCTTATTGGGCATAGAGGTTCTAGAAAATATCAATTAATCTAAGAAACTTCATATTATTTTCAACCCTTATGACGCTATTATCTAACGAAGATGCGCTTCTTAGACTATCAGACAGAAAGTTATTGTTTTTGTGAATTTACTTAAGGTTCGGCCCTATAGTTTCAGAACCTCCACTCTTCCCAGACAAAGATGTCTTTATGGTTTATCATTGATAACTGGATTATATGCAAATAACATTTGTTGACTTATGATGATGTCCAACTATTGTGCGAACAAGTTATTTATTGTCGTCTTTTTAATAGAGTAAATACAGTATATCTGACTCCGAATGGGGCAAATGAGTGCACCAACACTGACATCTATAATATCGGTTAAGAAGTAAAACGTGAACCGTCTTCTTTTATTTTATGTCAAGATTTTGTCAGTGACCTGTTAAAATAAGTACTTACTCTATCGCAATTCAAATTTTGCATTCCTTATGATCAGATTAAATGTAGGTATGAATTGTTCGTCGCATATATACATCAGTAGCAGCCTAAATTCAACTGCGTGAACTTAAATTATGTTTTAGTCCCTTCATCTTGTTACACTTCAGTAGCATAGCGAGATGGCATTGTTAGAGCTAATCGTAGAGTAGTAGAAGTAGTTTCGGTAATGGCGGTGGTCCAGAAGATCGCATAGAAGACATGAGTAGAGAAAATAGGAATTAAAGGAGCAAATTAGTTTTACAAGGTAATTTAAAACCTGCTCCATCACGAAGAATTCTGGGTCATATCGCCACCCTAAGTCTCTTACCATTGGTTATAATAATCTCTCAGACCCCAATCAGGGGGTTCAGCTCAACAATCAGTGTCTTCATGGACTGATGGTGTTTCTAATTTCCTTCCAACCTACTTATGCATCGCCCATTATCTCTCGTCGAAGTCGTCGATGAATGTTCTTACGTATCACGTGTTTCAACAGCCTCCGTCGTTAAAGCTTTACTACCTCATCAGCTGGTCCACGAGCCTTCCCAGTGACCGATTCACTGTTCCCAAAATGTATAAATAATCCTTCGATGACCTATATAATTAAGTACTAGTAACTAGCAAATATCCCTTATAAATACCACATTTCATACCCATAAGATGGGACGAAACGAACCGCTGCACAAAATAATCGTTCTCCAGTTAGCGAACGGCCAACTTCCTTATTCCGCAAGTGAAATTTTCATCCGAAGGGAGATAATCTCATCCCGAATATCCATGTATCATTGTTTAAAGTAGTTAGAAGACTACAGTTTGTCAGCTTGTTTACCAAATAGAACTGTGCTTCCTGCGTTTTCTAACTCAGTCGAAGGTTAGAACATTGTGATTTTTCTCAGCCTCTTAATTTTGCTCTATAGTTCAGAACACCTGGTGACACAAATCACAATCAATAACAGCTATTCAGATGCATGCATTCATTATGTTGTCCTAAATCTTGAAAGTCAATATCATCTCATCCCTTAATTCTGCAAATTCGTTTCTTTTTAAACCATTTTCCTTGTACTTAGTCTTTTCCACAATCATAAGTACTACCGCTTCATCTAGCTGTGATAATGTAGTTTTGTGGCTTAAGCCTGTAAACAAAATTCACGTTTATTGTTACTTAGCATTTGGAAACAACAGTAACAATATATGAATCCACTTGAACAATGTGTACTTGGTGCAGTCATTTTTCAAGTTCAGCCATTATCACATAAATTCACACTTCAAATGTAGAATGCAAGTTTTCAGTCTTTCAACATTTGATTACTCTTTACTAGTAACTTATTTTTAAAGTTGAGTTTTATGTAATCCGCTCGGAATCACATCATATATGATAAGTGACTAGCGATACCAAAAAGCTCCTCAAACCAGATTTTATGTTGTGCAGTGCTTATTATTTCGGGTGCCAAGGTGTACCTGATTTTATGTAAACTAGAGAAAATAAGAGATACAACAAGATTTAAACTTCTGACCGAATATTTAACATTCAAAAGCCCAAACCATTAAACGCTTGCTTGGTAAAAGTTAACGCCTCATAACGTACACGAAAGTTTAGTTTTTGACTGCAGAAACTTACATCCCATTTCATTACGCCACCATATTTGAACATTTCATCCATGAATGCATGGATTTTTATTGTTTGATGGTCGTAAGTTTATGGTTATTATTTACAACAAATGCATAGTCTATTGTTATCTTATGGAAATGAACTAGTATTTCTATTTGACTAGCCTTACCATTTGGACTGAAAAATGTGTTGGTTTTTATAATATATTTGTGTCCTAGTCTTTAACGTACTCAATTTTCTAGCAATAAAAGGCTATTTCGAACCATACTTCAAGCATCTCTGTTTGGGAAACTTGATAGTATCATTTGTCGTCACACTTAGTGTTACTCATATCTAAGTGCCTGGTGAATGACCCATATTTAGAAAATGAGTTGCATAATAATTAGTTTTCGTGAAGTTTGTATTTCTCATTATTTTACGAGGCTATTCTGAATTAGTTTAGAAAGATTCTGTACAAAACATAGATGATTGCAATATTCATGGATTAGTATTCCTTTGGTTGAGGATATGGAGATACATTTGAAATTTCTCATACTTTTTGAGAATGGAATAACTGTCGTAGGTCAGACTATGCTAATGAAGTTCCTATTATTTGTAAAATACAGTTAATCGTTTTATTTTTTTATAATTTAATCTTTTCATTCCCAGTTACAAACGTCTTTTCACAATCGGCACTCTTGGTGTAACAACTTACAACAAGGATACTTTAAGAGTGACAAATCAGGTAATCAGTTTACACAAAATCTATTTTCTGTCTATCTGTTCCCGACCTGGAAGCATAGAGTTTTATGTTCTGTTGTCCTCGAAGATTCTGTTTTTAATTACCAGTGATTTTTATTTAATCCTAAAGGTCATTTTTGTTCTCTGTTAACTATGCTATCTAACAGTTGACAAGTAGCCAAGTTTCCTTCCTAACCTTTTGGGATGAATAATACATTTATGCCGAGTACGAAAATGTATTACTTAGCATTAACATACTTACTGGAGGTTTCATAATCTATGAGTTGAATGGATTTGTTGTGAGGTTCCCATTACTCTTCAGCACGTATTTCAAAGAGAAGTACAAATATTCTCCCGTAACATGCTTGTCTAAATATGTGGATTTAGGTTGATATGCTGTTCCATCAGCTGAAACATGGAATTTGGAAAAGCTGCTGCGACAATCTGATTGTTAATGAAAGTCAATAGATATGCTTCTTACAGTGTTTAGTTTATCAAACATAACCTCATATCTCTTCTAACAACTTTTACACCCGATAATATATAACCTGATACGGATTTAATCAATCTGTACCTGTGGCACACTATCTCCAAGAGACTCAGCAAAGTGAATAATCACTTGCGAAATTCTTAAAATTTCTTGGATTGCTTCTCAGTAGTCAAATACGTATAATCAATAGTATTTGATAATGTTAGCACCATATCACGAATTGATTGAAATCGGATCCTCCAATTATTAGTCTTGAATATGTCTCTTACCCAACTACGAAAGTCCTGAATTCGATCAATTTCGTATGTGTATGATATTTTATTTATTTAAGCACATAAATATTGGTACAAAAGGGTACCAGATATACTTACGGTGCACAAATCTCATTTGATTTGTGTGAGGGCTGTGATACTGCTCAGGTGCCCAAATTGAAACAGGTGGTTTTCTTAGGGGGCCACATCCGGAGCCCTTGACCTAAAGGTCTGATCCACAAGGCAGTGGAACATCGTGAGGAGATGGAGTCTCATGATAGCCGGTGACCAACGATTGATTCATGCACCATTTTTTCTCTCAGGATACTGGAGCCCATGTGCACCATTGGTTTGGAATGAGGGTTTTCCGACTCCCCTAGGTAGACTCTCCGTGTCCACCGATCCGGTGAAAGCGCCGGACATTCGCTTTTCGTCCTCTTAATTTCGTAAACAACAGTAATGCGACGACAAGGCAGTGAGTAGAACTTCTGTGGTAGAGGCTATGTGCGCGTGGCTATGTGAGAGCATTTGGAGAAAGAGAGCAGGCTCTCCCCACTCTCGGCCGTACCAGGGCATTTGAGGACTTTACAGTGGGATGGTGGCTGAAGAGTTTGACTTTCAACCACTAGATTATAGGTTCGAGTTCCTCCCAATCTACTTAGGTCTGATTAATCAAGTAAATAAGTTACATCAATAAGCACTATCTTCTATGAAGCTCTTTTTTTCTTTCTAAACTTGTTATTTGTATTTGTAAAAACAACAACAACACCAACGAATTATAACAGTGGACATATGAAGAAATCTATGAAATTAAAATAGATCATAATATCAAATCAAATCAACCCCAGCTAAAACGTTTCATTTTGGATATATTAGATACAAATCGTAAACGTCATGAATTAACATTTGCTACAGAATATCGTGTTGAATTATTAACTGATTTATTGGTAAGAATTGATTCTATTGTTTTTATTCAGTTGTACATATTCACTATTGTAATTTGCATATATATATATATATATAATATCAAGTACCTGCTTCTAGTATTGGTTATAATTCACACTTTGTTTTTTTAAGATGTGTAATTGTTAGCTTCGTAAATATGAATAAAATGAAATAGGATTCTAACTAAGTAATTTGTAGTTAATAATTGATTGCTACCACGAGATATCCGTCTATCAATTAAGGGACGAGTATACTGCGCAGCAGTTCGTTCTGTTCTACTTTACGGCTGTGAAACGTGGCCATTAAGAGTAGAAGATACTCGTAAGCTACTAGTATTTAACCACAGATGCCTTAGAAATATTGCTCGCATCTGCTGGGATCACCGGGTAAGTAATAGTGAGGTCAGATACAGCGTATTAGGGAATAGTGGTAGTTTAGTTGATGAGGCCATTAGTCTTCATCAAGTGAGATGGTTGGACCACGTGTTCCGTATGCCTGAACACCGATTACCACGACGCTCTATGCTGACTAGTGTAGGGGATGGTTGGAAAAGAGTTAAAAGCGGCCAGATCTAAACGTGGCACAAATCCATGAAGTCATTGATAACTGGACTGAGCCATGTTGGTAGGTGTGGACTACTTGGTTGGGATTCGCGAGATGATAGCAATCGATGGTTAGAGACCTTGAATGACTTAGCTTAAAATCGTTTGCAATGGCGTAGGTGAATCCACTCTTTGTGTTCTGCCAAATTCTAATCTTCTGAATTCTTCATGTCTCTATCTTTTTTTCTCTTTCCGAAATTTATTTCACTGGATTATACTCCTTCAATAACATCTTCAAACCCTAATCCTTCGGATTACTGCTTATACTCTTACTACCTCTAACACTACGGGATTTGAATCGACAACTACGTCTGTGTGCTAATGTAGTATAGCAACTCGAACTAATGTACGTACGTACGAAGTTCTGCGTTGTGACTGGCTGACTTCTCTGTGCATTTTGTTTAATCACCCTCTAAAATTGCATTTCATCTGTGTTTATAATGAGTATACTGTTTGATAAATTGGTTAGATCAACAACGACAACAACAACAAGAAATTTAATATCTCCGTAGTTGTTATACCTTAATTATTCTTATTGTTTAAGAAATAAATAACAAATGAACTATGTCAATAATATAGTTTGTAACTCATCCAACAAGTCTAGTCTTCTGTACCTATCTTTAACTCTTACCTTCTATATGTGAGGTAATGATTTTTCCTTAATATTGAACTTATATCAAATCAAACTCGATAAATGGTAACATTGATCATCTCATATCACCTTCGAGTATAAGAAGATTTATAGAGACCATTGAGTCTTTTTTTGGTAGTTTACATTACGAACTAATTGTAACTAGGTAATCATCAAAAAGCACGAGTTCTACACTAGAACAAAATAACTATCCATTCCTTTCTGATCTTCAACAGTTGTCTAGCTACAATCAGTCCTTAATATAAGCTATAAAATAACCCGAAATAGTTTGATCTGTTTGTTGTTGTTGTTGACAAATACAGACAGCGAGTTTATTGACCAAAGATGCTTATGAATATCAAGACTTCTTAATTTACTTGGAATCTCTAACTTACAAATTTCGAAATGAGTTTATTTATGTGTTCGAGATAACATTTTCAGAAATGTGACGTTGTTTATGTAGATTTAAAATACATTGGCTTAGTATTTGAATTACTGGTGCACATGGGCTCCAGTATCCTGAGGAAACAAATGGCGTATGAATCAATAGTTGGTCACCGGCTACCATAAGACTCCATCTCCTAACGTTGCTCCACTGCCTTGTGGATCAGATCTTTCGGTCAAAGGCTCCGGGTGTGGCCCCCTAAGAAAACCACCTGCTTAAGTTTGGGCACCTGAGCAGTATCACAGCCCTCACACAAATCAAATGAGATTTGTGGGGCGCATATGTATCTGGTGCTTCCTTGTACAAATATTTATGTGTTTAAATAAATAAATAAATAAATGAATCACTGGTATACAGTTTCCAAGCGACATTCAATTGATTAGATGAAATGACTTGTTCATTTATCAAATATCAGTTTATTTACTCAGTTTTAAAGTTATGCAGTTTATATGAAGAATAGTGATACCACTTGGCTTTTTAAGCCAAAGTTGGTGAAGTGAAGTTCAAACATATGACTTATTGATTAAAAGCTGTTATATGCTAATCCTCTTTACCGGGTTAATATATCGCTAACCATCACAAGGATATACACGCAAATAATCTGGCTCATAATCGAGTAAATGAATTTTTAATTAAGTTTCTCTTTCTGCTGAATGGGATGCAGCTATATAAATTCGTATACTGACCATTACTTATAAATAACCTTTAGTTGTTTGTTGAGTTATTGTTATGACTTGAGGCTGAATGGATGCCCTGTTAATGTATAACTTGACGATACCGCTAATTAGAGAGCAGCGAATTATCGATCGGACCAGTGACAAACGAAACCCGTACGAGCAGTTTAGTGTACTTATCGGTTCTGCTTTCTGCCTAGCCCAGCCAGTTAAGTCTAAAACACCAATCTCAGCCTCTACGGTATGAATCGCTATATTTCAAACACACACTGAGTTTATATACCAATCAAACAGACCATATCGTACCAGTTATATATCGAAAAATTATTATTATTTACACATTATTGAAACGAAGTTCGCTTTTCATTCTTTTGTACATTTTTAGCATTTTCGTGATAGATTTATCAAAGAAAAGAAATCGAATGTGGTAAGTTTACGGTTATCCCATGTTAGAAACCATCTATTCAGAATATCTATATAATGCAATGTGGTAGTTGGAGGTAGTCGGCATTCGTCAGCAAAGTGTACCTATAATCTTAAGGAAATGAATATTCCCTGTTGAATTTGATCCCATATTATTCAATTTCACAGTCAGAAATGTTACTACTACTCCGTCCACGACTTACTTCCTGCGGAATTAATATGTATTGACAATTGATTGATCACTGAGTAATGACCAATGTCATTTATATTAAGTCTTTCTCAGTGTTGATCGAATCCTATCGATGAGGAAGTTTTCAGTAAACCTATATATGTTTCATATCAAATAATTTGGTAGAGAGCGAATGATGACTGTATAGTTTATGTCTTGTTAATACTAGGAAATGGTGTACTCAACAATGATATTTTGATTCTTCTAAACGCATATGTAGGCAATAAATCTTAGAAGACACTGGTCGTGTTTTGGGAGTTGATATTCCTTTACAATTCGTTAGTGTAAATTATTGCTTTCGGTTTTTAAATGTATGACTACATTCATTTGGTCTTGTTTGAATCTTCCCATTGATGTTTACGACTGCAATTGATTAGTCTCTTATTGGCATATGTGCATACTGCGCGTATTGCCTCGATATAGCATTAATTCACAAGCATTGTAAGCAAAGATGGATAGTGGCTATCAGTGGAATCCAGGACGCGCGTTTCGTCCTATTTGGGACTCGTCAGGTGGATGTGCCTGCATCTCAGAGTTGATGTTCGAGTCCCAGAGTGAACAGCATTAGTAATACATACTAATCTTTTTTTATAATATTGTTTCATTGGGTAATTTTTATGCAAACAGCTCAAAAGTTATACAATAGATGAAAACATAATTTGTACATATGTGATTACTTTCAGATAAGTTAACTAAATTAGTAACATTTCATAGAGATAGTTATAGACAACTATCTTCATTTTTGTTCGACTTTATCATAGACCTACTGTTGGAAATAGCGCTTTTGTCGACTGGATTTTTGGGCATTGGTTTCCTACCAGGAGGTCCACTTATCGACTTGGAATACGCAGATTATATAGTTCTGTTTGGTGAAGACGCTGACAAAATGCAGAGTCTTCTATTAGCACTGAGTAACAGTGCCAGGATATTTGGAATGCGTTTCTCCCCCTGTAAATGTAAATTGTTATTCCAGGACTGGCCTGCATCAACAACTGAACTAAGGATAGGGAGTGAAGTAGTCGAACGCATCGACAACACTTATCTTGGAAGTCTGATCAGCCCTAATGGGTTGGTGTCTGACGAAGTCTCAGCACGGATTCTGTTGAGTCGGCTTCCGGAGAACTTCAACGGGGCCGGAGAGCCCTAGCCAATCAGAGTATGATGGAATATTCTAGAATTCCAACGTGGCGTGCTACTATTGATCGGTAGCATAATATGTCGTTAACGGATTGGCTGAAATATGATGTTGATTTAAGAGACGCTAACATCTATAAATGCTCATGATTTTCTGTACAAGAACGAACCCTGGAGTAAAGTGTTTCTCTCATACTTGCATCTTCTCTCTGGTGTTCAAGTTGCTGAGTAGTTCTAGCTTGTGGGTTACCAGAATGGCTTAGGAAACGAATATAGCGTTCAATCGACGAGACGTATCAGATTCAAAAAGTTCGTTTGGCTTTTGCCAACTTACGTCACCTATGGCGAAGATGAGATATCCGTCTATCAACAATGATGACTAGTATTGGCGATGGTTGGAAGAGAGTGAGGGGCGGCCAAACCAAAAGTTGGCATCAGTGTTTGAAGTCACTAATCTCTAGTCTGAGCCATGTTGGTAGATGTAGACTACTTGGTTGGGGTCTGCGTGACTATCGTAACCAATGTTTGGAGACTCTGTGTAACATGGCTCAGAATCAACCATAATAAAGTAGATGTGCACATTAGTTGTCTTACCTTAAAGAGTGAGATTAAAATTATTTTATACCTTTGTTTCTTCGATCTGATTCTTTCCTCTTGTATTATATCCTTATACATAATCTTTTATATACTACTACCATTGAAGTAACTGATTCTATGAATTGAGTTGATCTTTTTGTACTAATGAGGTTATGGCAACTTAGAATGATGCATATATGTGCCTGGTCCTACGTTGTAGCTGATTAAGTGATAGTGGACCAGCGACGGAAAAGAGAATTTAAGTGACGATGAGAGAAAAAAAACACCAACAAGTTAAAATACTGGTAAAGAAGGAAGTCATTGTGATATAGAGAAAGATAAATTTCATTTAGGTTCAGTTTCAAGTTGAATCACTTGAAGTTTTTAAGCATTTGACTTTCAAATTCATATACATAACCAAATAGATGATTTGACATAATTATCATATTATGTTTCTCATTGTAATCTTCCTTACTGTAACTTATAGCTTCTGACTTATATCATGTGCTATAAAACCAACAGTCCGAATACCAATTAATCTAACTTAGTATCTCTGAGTTAACCAATTGCACTGGTAATTAGCACTAGTAACCTTGAGTCAGCTGTTAAGTCCTTATTGATCGACGATTTGATAGCTTTATTTCTTTGCTCTACTCGTTTTGAGTTTAGAACTCGGTAACCATCTTGCACTGTATCATGTTATATTTCAAGAAGACATTTTATATACAGGCATATCAGACCACATCTTTATTTATTTATTTAAACACATAAACATTGGTACAAGGAAGCATCAAATAGATATGCACCACATAAATCATTGGATTTGTGTGAGAGCTGTGATATTACTCGGGTGCCTAGACCGAGGCAGGTGGTATCTTAGGGGGCCTCACCCGGAGCCTTTGACCTAAAAATCTGATCCACAAGGCAGCGGATCATCGTGAGGAGATGCAGTTCCATGGTAGCCGGTGATCAACGATTGATTTATACTCCATTTGTTCCCTCAGGATACTGGAGCCCATGTGCACCATTCGTTTGGAATGAGGGTTTTCCAACTCCCCTAGGTGGACATGGAGAGTGTCCTCTTGACTTCGTAAACAACACCCTTTGTGCGAGAAGGCAGTGAGTAGAACTTTCCTGGCAGTGGTTGTATTCACATGACCTTTTGAGAGGAAGAGCTGACTCTTTCCACTTTCAGCCGTACAAGGGTATTCGGGGACAGACCACATCATACCATAAAATGAAAAATAACAGTTATAAATGGACGAGCCAAAATTGGATGTGAGTAGGAAAGACTGCGAATAGTAAACTGGCAACAGATTAAGAACAGTAAATCACACAACAGTAGTTAATGGGTCAGTTGAAAGCAGGGATATATATAATAATAGTTCATAAATTGATCCTGGAAATTACCATTCCTTTATTCATCATTTGAATATAACATACCCAATCAACATAGAAAGTTGCATTAAGATGTTTTAGAATGAGTTACATATATGGCCATTAAGAGTAAAAGATACTCGTAAGTTACTAGTATTTGACCACAGATGGCTTAAAAATATTGCTCGCATCTGCTGGGATCACCGGGTAAGTAAAAGTGAGGTTAGGCACAGGGTATTAGGGAATGATGGTAGTTCAGTTGATGAGGCCATGAATCTTCATCGAGTGAGATGGTTGGACCACGTGTTCCGTATACCTGAACACCGATTACCACGACGCAATGATAAATAGTATTGGCGATAGTTGGAAGAGAGTGAGGGGTTGCCAAACCAAAAGGTGGCATCAGTCCTTGAAGTCACTGGTGGATTCAGACTACTTGGTTGGGGTCTGCGTGACTATCGTAACCAATGGTTGGAGACTCTGTTTGACATGGTTCAGAATCGATCACAATGGTGTAGGTGTATACACTCTCTGTCTTCCCTTAAACTATGAGATTAAAATTGCTTCATATCTGTCTTTCTTCCTGTACTATATCTTTATATACAACCTATCTTTTATATATTACCACCACTAAATTAACTACTATCAATTCAGTGTTCATCTTGTTGTGCTAACGAGGTATGGCAACTTGGACCGATGCATATGTGTGCCTGGTCCTACGTTGTAGCTGACTGCCTGATTTACTGATATATATATACATATTCCTCCTTCTAACTTAGTTAAAATAAACTAGTCAATATGGTCATTTATTTCATTTTCTATTAGTAGTTATAAAACATTCCTGAAATAGTATTTATCGTTTAACCACAATTTTTTAAAAATTATTCTTTATAAAAGCGAATACATGCTACTAAAATCAGTTGGTCAGAATCAACATACGATGTAATTTTAGATATTGGTCCAATTTCAATTGATCTACGTAATCCACGTACTGGTGAATTATGGAAAACTTATGATTTTAAAGATATTGAATGTATTAGTAAAGTAAGTTATCATTAACTACTCTTTTTTTGGTGTGTGTTTGTGTATTATAAGCCGTTCGAAATAATTGAATTGTTCATATAATTTGTAGGACTCCTAGTGGTGATGTCAGTCAGTCAGGAAGGATTTGAAAGCGACCAACTTGGTCTCGTGTGCAGTTACAGGTATGAGAGCTAATATCACTTCCCGGTTGCCCACACTGTGGAGGGGTATTTCTTGTGCGACCCGAAAAATAAGTTGGATTAGTATTGGTCTTAACGACCTGGGAGCGTGACCGCAGTGACAAAGAGACAACTGGTTGAAGCCGGTCACGCACGGCCTTTTTGTGGGGGATTTTTGACGTGTTAGCTTCGTTCTTCAAAGGACCTTACCACCGGAGACTGAAATCCGTGGGACAAGGTGAGGTGTGCATTTTTAGGGTCGACCTTTTCTAACCCCACTCCTCCTTATGGGAAGGCAGCATCACTGTTATGCTGGTTGTCTGAATGAAACACCTTACTGCTGTCACACCTCTGTACAGTCGGCAGTAGGACTTCGCCTTCGGACCTTGGGTTTGCTGTTTTTAGTCTCACCGCTCTTCAAGCGACCTGTCTGGTATGGTAGAACCTTGAGGAACGACTGCTCCAGCCAATATAGCTCGATTGGTTCATCACGATAGGCAAGCCCGACCACCACGTCAAGGTAGCAGCAACGGTTGGGTCTTATGTGAAACACTATTGTGCTGAGAGTACTTCATGTTTGTAATATTTGATCTTTTTCTGATCTAGTGATTTTTGGCAACTTTCAATGTTTGATGATTTTCTCCGAAGAGCTGCCTCCATACGGCTCGACAACAGTAGATAATATTGAGGTTTGGAAATGCCTCTTTTGCGTACAGTTGATATCATGATTAAATAAGTGTTTGAACACGTTTAGCATATTTATATCCTAGAAGCTTTCATATCAAGCATTGCTTGCTAGTGTTAGGTCCATGTGATAAAGATAAGAAAAGTGATAGAGGTTCATAGAATAAATGGAATATAGCTTCGCTACGTAACCTAAATGCATTGTTCTTTCATTGATCTTCAAGCCACTCTTTATATTTAATGGCTGATGTCCAGATCAAAGTAGATAGAGTGAAGATCAAACCTGGAAACTAGTGAATACAAATTGAAAACTTTACCTACTAAACTACCGCTTCAATTACAGTCTTATCTGCTCAAGATGGACCAGGCTGAGTTCTACTCACTGCCTTCTCACGGCGGTGGTATTATTCACGAAATTGAGTGGACGGAAAGCGAATTTTGATGTCTAGTACTAGTGTTTATGTGTTTAGATAAATAAGTAATAAGACAGAGTCACAGCATTCGATCATGTTCATATCTTGACCTTATGATATTTTTTAGTAAGCCGGTGCAAAAAGGTATCATGGTTTGGAAATGGTTTATTTTGTGACTTCCATTATTTATACATCTTTCAGTCTAAATTACGGACTGATATTAGCTAGACCACCATTGAAATCCTGTAAGCACTGAAAGGCCGTTCCTTCTTAGTATGGGATCTCTCAGCAGTGCTCACCCACGATCCTTCACGCGGGGATCGAGCCCAGGACTTTCACTCTCGGATTGAAGGTCATAGATGCGCTAGGACGAAACGACCGCCCAGTGCTTACAAGTTTGTAATGGTCAGTTCATGATTTAAACTGTGCAAATTCTACTACCTCCACGAATTCCCCAACATTATTTGTATATCTGTCAGTGATCCGGTTTATTTAATCCGTTCAACCATAAAAGTAGCTTACAATTTTTCTATGAGTACAACCAAAGCATAGTTCCTGTTTTTTAAAAACAACACTCTATTAGTTAGAGCGCGTTATTAAACTGAAATTCTAATCATTTGTATACTTATTTATACTGCTTACCACAGATACATGATACTTCGAATGGAGTGGCAATTATTCACGGTGGGTTTGGACATATTGTAAGTCAATCTTTGTTTATTTATTGCACATTTCATTTTTTTTTCGTTCGCATAACGGAATAGGCTTAGTCAGAATACTTTTGAAGGCTAGGAGGCACTAAACATCTGTTTTATCCTAGTATGAGACTTTTTGTCTGTGTTCATCCACTTCCGTAAAGAGAATCGACCTCATGAACTTTGGGTCTTGCAGCGAGCTCTTAAGATTTCGACCACCAGTTTGTCGATTCTCCTCTACTTTACTGGTGTTGATGTGTTAGAAGTCGAACCTAGTTCTCTGTTGGCAATGACTAACTTACTCTTTGATGGATTTGTTAAACAAAGTCTTATTTGACCAAAACCTTTGTATTTTGATTAGCCATTTTTGCTGGGTACCATATACTTACTCATTTGTTCCACCACACTCCAGCAATGCTCGGAGGTAAATTTAATATCACAAACCTACCTGTAGCATACATATCCCTTCTGAGATTGTAGATCATATTACACAACAACATAATAATACAAAACTGGTTGCTGTACAGTATACTTACTCCTTTGGTCAACAGACGGATACTACGCTGCTCTACAAGCCAACCCCATACACATAAAGTATGATTCAAAACTGGGTACACGAACTAAGATTTAGGAAGCTTATTACTTTGATAAATTTCGATAGTGTAATAAGAAGACGAAGATTATTAGAAGTATGTGATATATTAGAGCAATAAATTTCGAACAATCTGATCACACATATACTTGTTCACATAGTTCTGAAAATCTTCGTCTTCTTATTACACTATCGAAACTTAATACTTTGGTTTCATAGACTCTGATATTCATCAACCGACAGTATCCGTAACAAAAAAAGGAATCCTGAAATCCAAATGTGCATCATTCATTTTCGTTATCAAAAACACTTCGCACTTTTACCTTTGTGTAGGTAACACTGTGAAATAATTCTTCTTCAAGGTAAAGAGCTATCAATGGCTCTTTCATTTGTCAAGATAGAAGTTAAATCAGTTCCTCCACAGTTCCTTATTTTGATTCCTACCTTTTTCAGACCCAAGATTATTATTTTTACTATAGTACTGCTTTTAGACTAAAAATGAGTTTGTGAACTCGACTTTGAGTTATTCTGTCTATGTAAGGAGTCATTGTGATACTATCCGGTTGCCTAAACAAAATTAAACAATGCCAGGTTCCAAATTACGATCTATACATTTGAAACCAAGTGATCTAACTAATAATCCACCAAAACATTTGATAAAATCAGCACTTTATTTTCATCAGCATTCTTCATTGGTAATAGTTTCACTCATCTTTTCATTATAGCATATATTCCTAACACGTGAACCGGATAATTTAATCAAAGAGATCAATAAATCTGCTCATTCCAATCTCTCTGTATCATTTAATCAACCGTCGAATCCATTGACACGTGATTATTGTACAGAATATAGACTGGGGAAAGTCAAGTAGGTATATTAATAATATATACTATTAGTTTCTTTCATTGCATGTTTTTAAAATGTGTTTTCTGTTATATGGTACAGTCCGCTTAGTCTGCTACTTATATATGCGATTTTTATATGGGTATCTAACTAGATGATTGTGTGAGAAAACCAAGGGTAATTTTATAGTTGAATTCATGAGTCAATTGAAGCTAGACCTCCATGGAAAATCTGGAAGCACTGGAAGGCCGTTTCGTCTTATTGTGAGACTCATCAGCATTGCGCATGTATGATCTTGCATCCGAGATCGAATATCCTGGGCTCGATCCCCGCGTGCAGGATCGTGGGTGAGCACTACTGAGGAGTCCTATACTAAGCGGAAACGGCCGTCTCGTCAGACTTGAACCCAGGACCTATCAGTCTCGCATACGAGCGCTTAACCTCTAGACCGCTGAGCCGTCATACAACGGTGTTAATGTTTAATTTCAACCAATAGTGTATATCTGTTTTCCTAGAAAGTGGAACCAATTATTAGTCAATAGCGTGCGTTTGTCAACTTCTCTCTCGCTTATCATTTGACCTAATTCTGATTGGCCCAGTGTATCATCTATCCCTCTTAAAATATGAATCTTCCTTTTTTGGATTGAAGTGGATAAATTGAGGTGGGGAAGAGAGGATACATCATATTCAATGTGTACTTGTTCTCTCCCTTGGTTAGTTCGATCCAGAGGGCATAAAAGACGTTTGGGATAAGTGGGACCGAGATGTCAATGCAATTTATTTGTCCAATATACAATCTGATCATACATAACGTGTTTATCTAAAATACTAAGAACAGTCAATTAAATAAAAGATAAGTATTATAGTGTCATATACAAAAGAATAAAGAGTTTTCACTCTGGTCGTTGTTTTGTTACCTGTGTAAAAAATTATTGCCTATTCACCTTCTTCCACTTCTTTGAAATTGTTAAGCTCGGTAACTTTAATATTATTTCGACACATTGTTACTTCACCTTTAATCATATAACGGTTCCTAAAAACATCTGCCTAGTAGATGTATACTGCTCTGTTAACTATCATTGAGAGAAAGCTTCTAATAATTTCAAATAGCCCTGAACATTGTACAAATCAGTGTGTCACATCTGGTTACGTCTACCAGTTCGCAACTGTGTATATGTATGGACACATTCAGAGATAATTAATAGAAATATGGGATTTGAGACAGTGTATCAGTGTGCCAAGATATCTTCATAGCCAGTTAGCATATAAAACTTTATCCTAATCCATAAAGTTATCAATGTATTCATTCCACTTATCTAATATTGTAAGACAATTTCACCATTTCTCACTTCATAATGTTATCATTATCAAACAATACTTCCAAATATATTGTGTAATTGATATGCTTGATGCTAATTCGATTTTCTCGGTAAACGAATGAAGATCAATGACACAGTGACACATGATAGGCTAATCTAATCCGTAGTCCCAGGCCCCGCTAACTAGAGGAAGAAGTTCAAGACGAAGTAGGGGAAAATATATTCCGTAAGCAGCCGCAGTACAATCACACTGGGAAGAAATCAAATGTATTTATACAGTACAAAGTTGTCTTTGGAAAGCATTACAAAATAGCACACTAAAAGATACAACGGACCAATAGCGTTTTAGATATTTCCCAAGAGGTAAGTACGACTCGAAGGTGTAGGGAGTGCTTTTGGCGAGGAATTTCAAAATAAAATTACAAAAAGAAGTCGTTTATCAAGTAAGTTCTGGGGATTTGACATCACCAACAGTAATATTTCAATGTACTATTTAAAAGAAACTTTTCTCATTCTTTATTACTTATTTTCTATTCTTCATACAGTCAAGATCATTTAATTTCACAAGCTGAATTCACTGTACAAAAATTATCGAATCGTTATGGTGGTACTAATCAAATGAAAACAGTTTCACGTTTAATGTGTCTAACTGAATCATTATTGTTAGAAAGAGATCCAACTAGTTATCGTCCAATTTCTGCTCATCCATTATGTGAAGTAAGTCCTTTAAATATTGTACTGTCATTCTAAGTTTGTGAATTAAGGCTATATCGAGGCAATACGCACAGTATGCACATATGCCAATTAAAGACTGACCAGTTGCAGTCCTAACACATCGATTGGAAGATTCAAACGAGCAATATTAGGTGAATTTAAACTTCACCCCATCGCACAAGCAAGTGGCTATCGGGACTCAGTGGCCGATTGGATAACGCGATGGCGTTTGAAGCGGGCGGTGCTGGGTTCGAGTCCCAGAGTGAACACCAACTTTGAAATGCAGGTGCATCTAGCTGACGAATCCCAAATGGGACGAAAGGCGCGTCGTGGATTCCACTGCTAGTCACTATCCATCTTCGCTTACAATGGCATCCTAAGTGCTTCATTATTTATTCAAATTCATTTCTTTTGAACAAGATTATCTCTATTTTGTATATTTTAATCCTCACGTTGTTAACTTCCTTCATCGCTGTATGGATACGAAGAGTGGAAATTTAGAACAAACGACGTTCGTGCTAGATGTTATGTTGTTTCTGATTGATTACTCAAATGTGCAATGGACTGTTAGAAAGTTATGATAGAAACGATGACTTCTTGTATTTTGTTGTTTAATGGGATGATTGAAGATATCAATGTAATTGTGAGATAACTTTTTGGACAGACTAACTTCCGTTGAATATAACCATTTTCAACTCAAGAAGAAGTAGAGAGTTGTTCTGTCTTAATTTGTGACTGATTCCTCGGTAGTGTCCATTCATCGTATTACTTGAAATCTAGCAACATCCATTACATTAAACTTTTGTAGTGAATAGGTCATTTTTAAACCACTAAATTTACATTCCGAACGAATACAGGCGAAGACAACAAATATAGCAGCAGCCTCTGCATCAATAGGCCTCAACATACACAAAGGAAAAAGCAAGCTTTTCAAATACAACACGGAGAACGCCATCCCATTCACACTTGATGTAGAAACTCTGGAAGATGTACAAACATTCACGTACCTGGGAAGCATCATTGATGAATAAGGAGGATCTAATGCAGATGTAAAGGCAAGGATTGGCAAAGCAAGGGCATAATTTCTACAATTGAACAACATATGGAACTTCAAACAACTGTCAACTAATTTCAAAGTGAGAATCTTCAATACGAACGTCGAGACAGTCCTACTGCACGGAGCTGAAACGTGGAGAACTACTACGACCATCATTAGGAAGGTACTAGCATTTATAAGCAATTGTCTACGCAAAATACTCAACAATCACTGGTCGGATACTATCAGCAACAGCGTTTTATGGGAGAGGACAAACCAGCTTCCAGCTGAAGAAGAAATCAGGGAAAATTGTTGGAAGTGGGTCGGACATGCATTAAGGAAATCATAAATGTGCATTACAAGGCAATCCCTAACTTGGAATCCGGAAGGGAAGTGAAAAAGAGGAAGGCCAAAGAACACATTATGCCGGGAAATAGAAGCAGATATGAAAAGGATGAATAGAAACTGGAAAGGATTGCCCAGGACAGGGTTGTATGGAGAATACTGGTGTGCAACCTATGTTCCTCGACGAGGGTAACAGGCTTAAGTAAGTAAGTAAGTAAGTAAGTAAATTTACATTCGGTAATTTTCATTTCCTAAATCATTTAATTCATGATGCAGCGTGACCATCATTTATCAATATCTCACAACATCGTTCTGAAATTCATTAGTCACAATTTTAAAAAAATGGAATCTCCATAACTTGAAACTAGTTACTAAATGCGCTCATGTTTTTCTTTTTAAAACTTACCTATGACTACCCTAAGTGTGTATAATTGGTTGTTATTCATATAGATACATTTACTTGTTCGTGATCGCTTTCAACCTCAAAGATTTTCTATTGAATATGTTCGTGGACAAATTGCTACATATTTTTCTACTAACAGGTAAATTGTACACGGCATATTATGATCGTTATTATTATTTCCGTTATATACTGACCCGGTCCTTGCCTTTGATCTTAATGCTAAACAATTCAACGAATTCAATTACTACATAAAAGAGGTTTTCATCCCTTAAATAATAAATAAATATAAAACCTATTTGTTTATTTATTTAAACACACAAATATTGGTACAAAGGGGCACCGAATACATATGCACCGCACAAATCTCAGTTGATTTGTGTGAGAACTGTGATACTGTTCAGGTGCCCAAACTGAAGCAGATGGTTTTCTTAGGAGGTCACACCCCGATCCTTTGATCTGAAGTTCTGATCCACAAGGCAGTGGAGCATCGTAAGGAGATGGAGTCCCATGGTAGCCGGTGATCAACGATTGATTCGTACGCCATTTGTTCCTTCAGGATACTGGAGTCCATGTGCACCATTTGTTTGTAATGAGGGTTTTCCAACTCCCCTAGGTGAACCTTCCGTGTCCACCGACCCGGTTAAAGTGCTGTACATTCGCTTTTCATCCTCTCGATTTCGTAAATAACACTCCTTGTGCGAGAAGGCAGTGAGTAGGACTTCCCTGACATTAGCTGTTTGCGCTCGACCATGTGGAAGAATTTGGAGAGGGAGAGAAGACTCTCCACCTTCGACTGTACCAGGGCATTTGGGCGTTCTTTTACTTCAAATATTGTAAAATAGATTAATTTAAATATTATATGTTTAAACGATTAATTATTTACTCTTCTCTTCTACTTCTAAATCCCCCTTATTTTGTGTGTGTGTGTGTGTACGTTAGAGATGCTCTATTAGCATCATTGTTAGATGGTGTACGTGCCAGTGGTAATCGTGATGTTTATGTATCCAGCTCATTCTCTGATCGAAGTTTACGTTTTATTCCATTAATGAATTCAGCAACTGAAGAAGTTGAATCAGTACACTTAAGATTTTTACGTCAACGTCCAGGTATGTATGCATGCATATATTGATACAAATTATATGTATGTAAACAACTGATTGATCATTAATGAATATTGACTAATGTTATATTTGTCTAATTCCTTTTTAGTGTTGATCAAATTTCTATCTATCGAGCTGTAATTTAATCACTGACCCAAGTAATTCAATACAGCCTGTGATATGTATGTGATGTTAAGTGATTGGTATCAGTTGATAAGAAATCCTGTCTAGGTTTCGCGCTAGTTGATACTTGTCAACAAAGCATACTTACTCTTATGAGAGTTTTCTGTCTACTACATTCAGCCATCAATTATACGGTAATGAAAGTAAATGATCGTTCATTGAGTAAACACAAACAGGCACTCAAATTACCGACTATTAAATATGTTATTTCTTTTCTTCTTATTGATTTCTACTCCGGATTCAATGTGAGTCACTGCTTCTAATTGTGTGGAATAAACCGTTGTTTAGCTTTACTCTAGTTCTATATTTTTAGTGGTGAATCAGGTATCTGTTATAACTTGATCTAGTCTGTGTATACAGGATTGTTCAAGTGTCCAATCTAGCGGTATTATAAACTCGATCATCTTATCCGGTCGTATTATCGTAGTATAGTCTATAAGACAGTGCGGGAAGGTTCACTGAGGTAATTCTTCTGTAGCCGATGATCAGAGTAAGTTTTTCAGAAATTTGTTCTCTCAGAAACTTGAAGCTCATGTACATTGTTGATTTAGAATCAGAATTTTCCAACTATCTGCTACTTACTAGCGACCAACCTGATCTAGATATCGAACAATCACTTTTTTTCTATCATTCTTCGTGGAAGCATTTTAGAGAAAGTGAAGACTGTAAATAGGACTCCTTTGAATCAGGCAACAAAATACTCATCCGTACTAAACTATTTATTGTCAAGTCTACTGTTTCCTTCTAATAACATAATTCATAAGATAATGATAAACTTTCTTAACTAAGTAAAATCTCTCTCGATTATCTTCCAGTGATTTATGCTAGGTATTTTCGTTTGGCTTTTTTGTAGAGGGTGTTTCATTTTGGGAAGTAGTACAACGTTTCAATGCTAACATTGCCTACAGTGGTTTATTACATGCTGTTACTCAAGATGTAAGATGAAATATATGGTTAACACACTTTTTTTTCTAGTATTTATCCATCTTCACATTTTTTTGTTACTTTATTGGATTTGAGGATAGAAGAGATATTCGTGAGCTTACGTCGTTGAAGCGATCACTATAAAGCCCTCGATGTAGATTTTTTTTTATCAGCATGGTATATTTGCAATCTTGTGAGAATTTGTTACTAAGCGGTTAGATGATTTTCAGCACTTTGCTGCATTAGTGGGTTTTCGATTCTGCCTATTTATAACCACGTCAGTAATGTTATCAGGCAGTTTAATAATTATAACATTAAAGTGATCCCTGATGATAACATTCACAATTGTTCGATAAAGAGGGGAAAGAATACGACTACTGTTGTTAATCAATTATCAGTGAATGCTATAACAAAGGAAGAGACCAAGCAAATGGCTTTTATTGGTGTTTGTGCAGATTAGTTTAATACGTAGGTGGTATCCATCCCCAATTGACAACTATTTTGCTACCGTTGAAACCTAGTAAGTAGTCAGTCAGTCAGAGCGTATAATCTAGCACGTGTACACATCAGAGTACACCGGTAATGGTTCGAAGACATCTATGATCGAATATTTATAATTCTCAGATATCCTCTAATCCCAATGGTCATGTTTCACACTCATACAGTAGGAAGAAGCAAACTGACGTGCAATAGACTTGTCCTTTGGTTGGCAGACAGTTATCTCACCTACTCCACAGGTGACACAGACTGGTAAAACCTTATCGAGCTATCTGAGCCTGTGTCGATATTTCATCAGACACCAGACCGTCGACACTGATGAGACAAGACATATGAAGAGGTCGACACATTCAACTACTTCACTCCTCATCATTAATCCAGACGCTGACGCAAACAAATCAATTCGGTAGCTAGATTTTGCATTGGGAAGGAGAGAATCGCATCTCAAACATGCTTGCATTGTTGCTTAAGGTAGTCAAAAGACTCTGCATTTTGTCAGCGTCTTCACCAACCAGAACTAAATTGTCTGCATAATCCAAGTCAACAAATGGATCTCCTGTTGAGAGATCAACCTCTCAAATGTCATATGATGGTAGTGTAAACTGTAGAAAAATATTTTATGTTACAGTTAAATAAAAGTGAGTAAATTGGACAGTCTTGACGAACACCGTTTGAAGTAATCAACTCGGATGCTAGCTGTGACTTGACTCGTGTTGTTAGAGTAGGAAATCTATACGAGTTTAATGTACTTTTTTGGTACACCTTTCGATGTCAAGAATAAAGGTCCTCAGTAATACTTGCTTAAGTTCCCGTCAGTCATAGTGTGTAAAACTCTCTAATCTCACTATGATGATGTATATTTTTAGGTTTAATGAATGCGCAAATTGACGTGACATTCATTCAGAGTCATTAACGACGTTTGTTTTACTTCTTACATGTCTTAACCTCTATCGACCATAACTTCCCACTAGAACTTCAGTATAATAAATTAAATCAACAGTGAGCATTAGTGACTCATTTCTGAAATTGTTTCATACTAGAACGAAACAAATATCTGTAACGTATTTGCATGGAGTTCATGAACCGAAAATTGTTGGACCAGCATGAAAAACCTTTATTCACTAAACGTCCGTTTCGTCCTAGCATGAGACTCCTCAGCAGTGCACACCCACGGTTCTGCACGCGGGACTCGGACTCAGGGTCTTCAGCCTTGTGCATAGACGTGCACTACTGAAGATTTCCATACTAGGGCCAAACAGCCATCCAGTGCTTACGGGTTTTCATTGGTGGACTTACATTGATTAATTCATGATCTTAATAAAGTCAACAATTCCCATAACCCTGTACTGAATATTCCATATTTATTTAAATTTTATTTACTTATTATTATTATTTCAATACATAAATATTGGTACAAAAAAGCACCAGATAAATATGCGCCTCACAAATCTCATTCGATTTGTGTGAGGGCTGTGATATTGCCCAGGTACCCAGACTGAAGCAGTTGGTTTTCTTAGGTGGCCACACTCGGAACCTTTGACCTAAAGGTCTAGTCCACAAGGCAGTGGAGCATCGTAAGGAGATGCAGTCCCATGGTAGCCGGTGACCAACAGTTGGTTCATACGCCATTCGTTCCTTCAGGATACTGGAGCCCATGTGCACCAATTGTTTGAAATGAGGGTTTTCCAACTCCTCTAGGTGGACTCGCCTTATCCACCAACCTGGTTAAAGCGCCGGGCATTCGCTTTTCGTCCTCCCAATTTCGTAAACAACAATAATAGCGCGAGAAGGTAGTGAGTAGGACTTCCGTGGTATAGGCTATACACGCATGTCCATGTGAGAGCATGTGGAGAGGGAAAGCGGACTCTCATCACTCTCGGCCGTACCAGGGCATTTTATTTACTAGTATCTCTATGCTAGACATGGTAACTGATGGATTATATCTGAAAGTCATAGTTTTCATCATCTAATTTTGTTGTTTTTTCGTCCTATTCTAACTTATTTCTAGGGTGTTTTTGCAGAAAATAAGGAGAAACTAATCAAAGATGCATTGATTAGTATTCTTACACAAGATACACGTATAATTGATGCAAATCCTTTAACAGCTATGAGACGATCGTCATCATCATCTTTACATTGTACTACTGATAGTACTACTACTACTACTACTAATAATAATAATAATAATACTAATTACGAGTTAATTTTAATCGAAGCACAATTTCATGCATTACGTCGATTGGTAGCATCAAAAGCAGGATTTAATGCTTTCACTCAATTACCTGGGTTAGTTTTATGTGTTTTTGGTTGTTAAGATGTAAAAGTGTTAAATTATTGATTGATTTTTATTTTCTGTATTATTTATGGGGGGGATGTTTTGGCGATTATGTATTTTATGGCCTAAATCATGGACTGCACTTCTAGTTAAGTGAACGTTAAATAATCATACAGTGAAAGATAGCTGTTTCGTCCCAGTATTGAGCCCTTAAGCAGTACCTACGCGTGACCGTGTCAGGGATAGAATACAAGACCTAGAGGATTTGCTGTTATCATTTTACTTCTCAGTTTAATCATTTAGGATCCACTACTGGTTCATACTATCTTTGGTTCTGTATTTCTTAAGATGTTGCTGAATATCATTTCATATACTTATTTATGAATCACAGTTTATGCGTGTGTTTGTGTACCAGGTTTTCTTTTCCACCCTTGTACTGAAATCAGTGTAAGTAAAGTAAGGGTCAAATAGACATTCTAATCATGAAAACTTCACAGCTATGCCAATTCTAGCCCATTTCCAAATGAAAAAAAATCAGAACGGGGTTTTGTGGAGATTCCAGTATTTTCATAGTTGAAATCATGAGTCAATCAAATCATATGCTCTCTAGTGACTGACTTCAAGAAATATTTCCTGGAGTTGTAGTGGGAAGCAGTAACCAGTGGAGTTCAACCACGTCTGTTGTTTTCATTTTATTTAAACACAAATTTTGGTACAAAAAAGCACCAGATAAATATGCGCATCACAAATCTCATTTGATTTGTGTGAGGGCTGTGATACTGCTCAGGTGCCCAGACTGAAGCAGGTGGTTTTCTTAGGGGGCCACACCCGGAGCCTTTGACCGAAAGATCTGATCCACAAGGCAGTGACCAACGATTGATTGATACACCATTTGTTTTCTCAGGATCCTGGAGCCCATGTGCACCATTGTTTCGGAATGAAAGTTTTCCAATTCCCCTAGGTGAAATTTCCGCGTTCACCAACCCAGTTAAAGCGCCGGACATTCGCTTTTCGTCCTCTCAATTTCGTAAACAACAGTAATGCCTTGAGAAGGTAGTGAGTAAAACTTCCCTGTCGGAGGCTATATTCGCGTGGCCATGTGAGAGCATTTGGAGAGGGAGATCGGACTCTCCCCACTCTCGGCCGTACCAGGGCATTTGGGGTCACCACGTCTGTTGTAGAGATATCAACTCACTGAAGACAATTGGTGAACGGTTGCTCAAACATCGTGGATAGGTTGAAGTTAAGCATTAACACTGTTAGATGCCGGCCAGCTCAGTAGTCTACCGGTTAAATGCTCTGGCGCGAAACCGGCAGGTCCTGGGTTCGAATCTCGCGAGGAGGAATCGTGGATGCGTACTTCTGAGGAATCACATGGTAGGACAAAATAAAAAAAGTGCCTGATAAAACTTGATATTTTACATAAGTACTTAGATGATTAGATTTAAACCTAAAATTAGTCGGGGTAGTAGACAAATTTAAATAAATTTTACCTCTATATATCATTATTTCTTGATCACGATCTCACTACTGATATAGTTCAAATCCATCAGTTACAAATTCACCTTAGAATTTCTAGAACTCATCTCAAAGTCAGTTAATATTCCAAATAGTTTTGATCTAAAACTACCTTCAGAAATCTCCATCAATCTTGTTCATTTCAGCATTGATAGATATTTTTTTTGTTTCTGTTTCCTGTCAAAAACTTATACATTTCTTATACTTCAAAGCATTGTTTCAGTTTGGACGAAGTTAAATATGGATTTCATGAGAAGCTAACCTAGTTTAGGAATAGGACATTAGTTAACTATGTTAAATCAATTGATGATGTGGTATATCTTCATCAACTGAGTGGGTTAGGATGTGTAATACGTATGCCGAATCACCACCTACCTCAACGTTCGATGTTATGTGGTGGTGGTAAGAATATGGTGTAAGAAAACTAGAAGAGGTGAAAACAAAACACGGCATCAGTCCATGAATTCTCTGACTGAGCCATGTTAAAAAGTGTAGACTACCTGATTACAGTCCACATGATAATCGTAACCAATGTTTAGAAAGTTTGAATGAGATGTGTTGAAATTGTTTGTAATGGTGCAAATGTATTGGTTGTTTTTCATCCTCCAAATTCTGAACTTCTGAACTCCTCATCATTTCTTTCATTTGACTAATTAATATTTTACTGAATCATATGTTTGATACCTAATGTTTTGTATTATCACTGATACTGTTATTATTTGCTAGTTAGTTGGGTATGAGCCACATTCCAATTGTGAGGCCTAACGATGCTACCCAGTTACTCAAACTAGAATAGTTGATTGGACTTATTCGTTGAAAGTCGGATGCTTTAATCATGAAGCTATTAACTGTATTTACTTATATGTAATACATAACGATTATGATAATGTTGATAATGTTTAAATGTTTTCTTTCATTCATTTTTCTACACTCCTACAGAATGCGTGTAACATTAGGTCAACTTGTAGTGAATGCATTAAAACTACGTGATGATGCTGTTACACATTCTGTTTTAGATGCTATTAATACACTAATGCATCCAATGCATGATCAACCAGATATTAGACAAGAACAATTAAATAAAGCATCTATTATGTCTAGTGAAATATTCCTATCTCATCTTGTTGATATATTCACATTACATGCTGTAAGTATTTTATCATTATTATTGTTTCTTATCAATTTTTTATTTATTATTACTATTGTGTAACTGTACTGTGTACCTTTGCTGCTACCTTGACGTGGTGGTCGGGCTTGCCTATCGTGATGAACCAATCGAGCTATACTGGCTGGAGCAATCGTTCCTCAAGGTTCTACCATGCCAGACAGGTCGCTTGAAGAGCGGTGAGACTAAAAACAGCAAACCCAAGGTCCGAAGGCGAAGTCCTACTGCCGACTGTACAGAGGTGTGACAGCATTAAGGTGTTTCCTTCAGACAACTAGCATAACAGTGATGCTGCCCTCCTACAAGGAGTGCTGGGGTTAGAAAAAGTTGACCCTAAAAATGCACACCTCACCTTGTCCCACGGATTTCCGTCTCCGGTGGTAAGGTCCTTTGAAGAACGGAGCTAACACGTCAAAAATCCCCCACAAAAAGGCTGTGTGTGACCGGCTTCAACCAGTTGTCTCTTTGTCACTGCGGTCACGCTCCCAGGTCGTTAAGACCAACACTAATCCAACTTCTTTTTCAGGTCCCTCAAGAAATACCCTTCCACAGTGTGGGCAACCGGAAGTGATATTAGCTCTCATACCCGTAACTGCACACGAGACCAAGTTGGTCGCTTTCAAATCCTTCCTACACCTGACTGACTGTGAGAAAAAAAGTGAATTGGTTGATAAGATTACGGATATTCATTGATTATGAAGGTTGGGAAATCTTTTACTTATCCACCACAACCACCTATCTCAAGGCACGATATTGGAATAAGCATGATTAAAGCTAAGGGGTGGCGAAATCAAAATTTGACATGGGTTTATTAAATCATGGACTGCTGATCTAAGCCATGTTTTTAGTTGTAAACTACTTGGTTAAGATCCTCACAGTCATTGTTTCTAGGAAGTGTTTGATGACACTGCTCTGAATCATCAGTTACTGAGAGGTATACCATGATGATATATTCATTTCTTGTTTTGTTTTACAGTCCGATACAGTTACAAAATATACTTCATAATTTCAAACCCACTGTGTAGATAAAGAATGAAATGAGTATTAAGATTTAATTAGCGACTTGAGTCATAACGTGGATAAATCATTAATAGGTATACAATTTTACTCCTGACTCAGACGAGGCCATATTGGCTGAGACCGTTAGCATGTGCGTGATCAGCTGCCTTCTATAATATGTCTCTTTAATGTTTCGCTTACTGTATGACCTTGAAATAATACGTAAACATAAACATGTAATATGTCTATATTCGTATAGACTGACATGTCTAATATTTTAAATGTCAATTGGCCACGTAATTTCACTGGGAACTCGTCGATGCATCTCAAACTATACTCACTAGTAGCTAACCATTGGTTGCTAAGATGGGGAATTTCCGGAACTCGTAAACAGTTTGGAGTCAGTTATCTTGACGTTTGTATGTATTCAAAAGATTACCATATAATATGTATACTTGAACTTAGTCGTAGGTGTAATGAAATCACTTCACACATGCATTCTATTGACTATGTTATCTTAATATCATTAGAGTAACAAGTTATTCATGAAAAAATCGATTAAATTGTCGTTTGTCTAACAGTGACAAGCTACCTGACCCTTTATATGTTGAAAAATGTACTCATAACTTAAACTACCTGATCTCCTTGGAGTGATGCCGACGACATAGTTTTATTTGGCGAAGACGCTGACAAAATGCAAAGTCTTCTGACCACCATAAGCAACAATGCAGGCATGTTCGGGATGCGATTCTCTCCCTCGGAATGCAAAATGTTACTTCAGGATTGGGTTGCATCGACACCTAAACTAATGATAGGGAGTGAAGTAGTTGAGCGTGTCGACCGCTTCACTTATCTTGGGATTCTCATCAACCCTTGTGGTTTGGTGTGTGACGAAATCTCAGAACGGATACAGAAGGCTCGTCTAGCTTTCGCCAACTTGCGTCATTTATGGCGTAGGCAAGATATCCGTCTAGCAACCAAAGGACGGGTTTACTGTGCAGCAATTCGTTTCGTCCTACTTTATGGCAGTAAAACATGGCCGATAAAAGTCGAGAACATAAATTTATTTATTTATTTATTTAAACACATAAATATTAGTACAAGGAAGCATCAGATACATATGTGCCATACAAATCTCATTAGATTTGCTTGAGGGCTGTGATACTGCCCAGGTGCCCAGACTGAAGCAGGTGGTTTTCTTAGGGGCCCACACCCGGAGTCTTTGACCTAAAGATCTGATCCACAAGGCAGTGGAGCATCGTAAGGAGATGGAGTCCCATGGTAGCCGGTGATCAACGATTGATTCGTACGCCATTTGTTCCTTCAGGATACTGGAGTCCATGTGCATGATTGGTTTGGAATGAGGGTTTTCCAACTCCTGTAGGTGGAATCGCCTTGTCCACCAACCCAGTTAAAGCGCCGATCATTCGCTTTTCGTCCTCTCAATTTCGTAAACAACACCCATGGTGCGAGAATGCAGTGAGTAGGACTTCCCTGACAGAGGCTATATATTCGCTGGCCATGTGAGAGCATGTGGAGAGGGAGAGCGGACTCTCCCCACTCTCGGCCGTAACAGGACATTTGGGGGTATTCGATCATAGATGTCTTCGAAGTATTGCTCGTATATCCTCTGACCATCGAGTAAGTAATGCAGTTGTTAGTAAACGGGTGCTAGGTAAGGATGGCAAATCGATTGATGAAGTAGTAAAACTTAATCAGTTGAGATGGCTGGGACATGTGTTACGTATGCCCAACTGCCGACTGCCCCGACGTGCAATGTTCCATGGTGTAAGATTAGGTTGGGAGAAATCTAGCGGCGGCCAGACCAAAACGTGGCAAAAATCCATGAAGTCACTAACAATTGGACTGGGCCATGTTGGTAGGTGTAGACTACCTGGTTGGGATTCGCGAGATGATAGCAACCGATGGTTAGAGACCTTGAATGATATGGCTCAAAATCGTTTGCAATGGCGTAGGTGCATCCATTCTTCGTGTTCTGCCAAATTCTAATCTTCTGAATTCTTCATGTCCCTATCCTTTTTCTCTGTTCAAATTTATTTCACTGTATTATACTCCTTCAATGACATCTTCAAACCCTAATCTTTCACATAATGCTTATACTCTTACTACTTCTACCACTATGGGATTTGAATCGACAATTGCATCTCTGTGCTAATGTGTTATGGCAACTCGAACTGATGTACGTACGTACGAAGTTCTAAGTTGTGACTGACTGACTGACCTTGGAGTGATATTACAGTTTCTTGGAAGCTGTTCTTATTTCTCTCCGTTTAGAATATTTCGGTATCTGAAAGTAGATCGAGATGAATGTTGATACGTTGTAAAATACACCATCTGATCAATACAATACCATTCATTTTATTCGGCATAGTGAAATAGTATTGTTATGATCATAATCGTTCCCTAGTAGGTGTATTTTAAAAAGTTTAAAGTCATTTCATATGATCCTGAATGTTGTTAATTATAAATGTCTTCGAAACATTGCTCATGTGTCATACTACAATCAAATGGGCAATGTTAAAGGTAGGCATGGGATACTTGACAAAAGTGACGAATTGGTTGATCTGGTTGTAAATCTTCATCAACTGTAGCAGTCGAAACATGTGTTACATATGCTTAACCATCGCTTATATCGATGCCTAATGTTGGCGATAGTGAAATCATTTCATTATGTCATTGACTATTAGTCTGAGCCGTGTTTATGGATGCGGACTATCCATTTATGGTCCTCATGATCATTGTGACTAACTGTTGAAGATGTCAGGCGATATGACTCATATACATTGATTCGATCTTCCAGTTCTTGAGTCTCAGTATCATTTCGATACTAGATAAGATGATGAATCATTTGAATCAAACTCCTTGAATAACATCCTCATCCTTAATCCTTCACATTAATGCTTATACTCTTACTACTTCTAACACCATGGGATTTGAATCGACATCTGCATCTCTGTGCTAATGTGGTATGGCAACTCAAACTGATGTACGTACGTACGTACGAAGTTCTACGTTGTAACTGACTGACCGACATATGAAATAGTCATCTGTTTTTTCTTTGAGATAATCTAAAAAGATGAAATAATTATTTAGATACATCGCTATGTCTGTTATCTTTATAAAAGACGGAATACATTATCGTTTTGCTGACCTCAAAACATTGATTTACAGATCAATAGTCTAAATAACTAGTTTCACTCATTAGAATCTGAAGTATTTGTAATGATTGTTTGTTTTATAAGAGAGTTGACATCACGGAATGGCTTTATTTAGACCATCATTACTGACCATGGAATAATGTGAATTACTGCGTTTTTGTTAGTATTAACGAACTTCTGATCACTACTATCATTCGTTAGAGATTAGAGATACTTGTTCCAATTCCACCATTAGTTGAGTTTAACCAGTCAAAGTTCATCACTGGTTCACTAACTTACCATACGCATATTCTTTTTAAAAAAAATATTCTAAACTAACATAAACGCTATATGTTTTCATGTAGAATGACCAGTTTTTATTTGCTCCTTTCCTTATTCGGTCTAGACAACATAGTATTTGTATAGTTGTGACGATTATTCCATCTAGACTATGATTTAATTAATGTTATCTTAAATTGTTACATTCGCTAACTAAAACATCAAAGTGATATGAAACTGTTGGAAACACTTCGGCGCTTTAACTAGTTTGGTGGACACGGAAAGTCCACCGAGGGGAGTTGGAAAATCCTGGTTCCAAACTAATGGTGCACATGGGCTCCGGGATCCTAAGGTATTCGAAGTAGATGGATGGAATATTTACATAGACTAGAAAATAGCTATAAAGTCAGTGTCTAAGCGATTGACTAGATCTATCAAAAGATAGATGATAAAAATCTCTTGTTTTTAACTTTAGTCACTATGATTAAGTTGTTTCGCGCGTGAGATTGATAGGTCCTGGGTTCGAATCGCGCAGGACGGGACCGTAGATGCGCACTGTTGAGGAGTCCCACAATAGGACGAAACGGTCGTCCAATGCTTCCAGATTTTTCATGGTGGTCTAGCTTCAATTGACTCATGATTTCAACTATATATAAATTACCTTACTCAAAAGAGTATTTTTATTCATACTTCTCTATCATCCTATTCATTTTCAATACACATTATATAAATCAATTGAATGATTTTATTGTATTTAATTTTACTTTTTTTAGTTACGTGGAAGTGGTTCACTAGTACTTTGTGCTTTATTAGACTTTTTTACTTATGGTGTTTGTTTACCATATTCTGAAACATCTGAAGGTGGATTATTTGATAATTTACTACGTTTATTAGCTAATCGTGGTCGTGCATTATTTCGATTATATCTTGTAAGTTATTGTTAATCGAAATTATTTCATAATATTGATGATGATAATAATAATATCTTACTTACTTTCTTACTTACACCTGTTACTCCTCGTGGAGGAGCATAGGCTGTTTTTCATCGAATTTACTTGCCGGTCTCCTTTCCGGTTTGTACCAGTTACTATTCATTCCTTTGATCCCTGCTTTCGATTCTCGACACAATATGTTCTTTGGTCTTTCCCTTTTCAGTTTCCCTTCAGGACTCCGAGTTAGGGCTTGCCTCGTGATGTAGTTTTGTCATTTAAGTAATGTATGTTCTATCAATCTCCAGAGTCTTATCAGAATTTCTTCATTTTGAAGCTGGTTTGTTTTCTACTACAGTAGGTTGTTGCTGTTGGTATCCGGTCAACTGACATTGAGTATTTTATGTTAACGATTATTTATAAATACCTATACTTTTTTGATAATGGATGTAGTAGTTCTCCGAATTTTAGCCCCATACAGGAGAACGAGCTGTCTTGATGTTCATATTGAAGATGCTGACTTTGATATTGGATAACAGTTATGTTGAGTTCTGTATGTACTTCGATTGCAGACATATGTCTCTCTCTTTGCCAATTCTTTCTTTTATTTCTATATCAGATCCTTGTTCATTAATTGTGCTATCCAAGTGCATAAAACGTTTCACCACTTCCAGTGCCTCTCTATCAAGTGTGGTTTGATTGGTGCTTTGTGTTTGCAAGGTCTTACTTTTTACGTTGTGTATATTGTGAGGCCTAATGCTTCAGAGGCTGTTGCTATACTGGATGTCTTCCGTTGCATTTATTCCTGTGTATGAGATAGATAGTCATCTGTGAAACCATACCTTAAGTATGAGAGATATTGATACTATTCGGGTGGCTGAACCGACGTTGCTGGGTTCTGACCTGTGATATTGGCCGAAAATTGAACTTCCTAACTACTGTACCATCGTTCTATACTAATCTGTGTGAATTTTATTTATACTGCTTGACTGTTCAAGCTAAAGTAAATGGATTAGGGTTCGAACCCATAACTCAATAGATGAAATCCTGTTGTTTAATTCACCTATTCATTATGAATATCTGCCATTACTCTGGTTATATATCGGTTTAATCACTGAAGTATTGTCAATGAGTGTGACACTAGGATGTACGATTTGGAGTTAAATACTTTGGAACTCAATTTCACCAGTAAAATTCGTTTCATACAATTTTTCCCGTTATTTTATTCGACCAAGGTGATGCTAATGATATGATGAACAAATAAACTATTCAATAGCTTTAACCATCGTTCACAGCACGAATCAGGAAGTTTTTATCTCATCTAATGGTTCACATCTACAATCAATAACTTTATGGACTACTGTCATATGTTAGTTTGACTGTCTCTAGTTTTTCTCTCGACTTACTCCTACACCTGCATTCATCGGGCATCTATGTAGTCTCTGAATAGGGCATAAATGACAAATGTTCTAATCCAAATCAACCAGTGATCACAGTTTCATCATCCCCTTTAGCAATTACCTTACGTCTAAACTCTTCAGTGCTCACTCAGTTGTCTATCATACAATAAGACGTTTACGTCAACATCTCCCACTTACTTTGAGTTCTTACAATAGATTATAATTTATCATCGTATTTACCAACCCATATTTTCCTGCATATGTATGTTTCGTGCAATATTTAATATTTATTGTAGCATCCAAGCTTAGCTATTGTTCGTGGTGGAGGTATGATAATGCGTGCATTGATTGAAGAAGGTGGAACAGATGTTGCTAAAGAATTACGCAGTTTAGCTTTAACTGAAGGTGCACTATTACATCATTTTTGGACTGCTTGTTTTACTCAAGGAAATGATCCACGAAGTTTAGCTGTACAGTAAGTTTTTATTTGAATTATGCTTTAAATTAGATTTCCAACCTTTATGTTGAATAATTATACTCTATCAAGTAGATGAGATAATAAGAACATATTAACATTTAATTAATGTTGACTTATCACTGATGAGTAACTAATGTTTGTATGTGTTTGATTCTTGGTTCTGATCGAAATTTATCGATTAATGTACTTTTCGGCTACTATTTTCAGTGACTTAACATCGTATACACTATATTTTAATGTTAGTTGGTTGAGGGTGTTCAAAAAACTTTAGTCGGTACTCGTCACCAAGGCATACTCATAACCTCGAAGGAATGTACGGTCTTTTTGAGATTGGAACCTTTTTCATCCAGCTTCGCAATCAGATATTGATTAATCAGATATTGATTCATTTTGATCAAAATTAGTTTATGGTACGAATAAGATGTTAACATTGATTACAGATAGGCTTTACTAACATGAGACCTAGATCCAACGTTTACTCCCGACTTCTTTTTAGCTACCTAATACATTTTTATCACGTTTGTTTTACGCTTACAAGTGATAGTCAGTAAAAACAGATTAATTCAGAAAAGAGATGGTTTCAGGGAAACTTCTCTATGGAATATGGTCTTTCAGGTAGAAGATATATATGGGTGACGAATAGTCAACTATTCATCTCATGCTTACGTATGAGAGAGTTACTAAGTTAGTAGTGTTAACGTCAAGCATATGTAGAAATGACTAATCAGTTGATGTAGTTGTAAAATTTCATCGATTGGGGTAGTTGGATTTGGTTATTGAAAGTAATTGACATTCGTAGGTCACTTGTATATGATCACATAAAGAATGTTCAAACCAAAGGTGTCATCAGTTCATAAAGTCGTTGGCTGTTGATTTTATCCATATCGGTAGGCGGAAATGACTTATTTGCCATCTGCACTATTATCGTGACTAATAAATGTTTGAAATCATAATACTACAATATTAGTATAGCTGTCATTTTATATCGAGCCAATCAGTATAATCTCTGTTTCTGTTTATTAGTTTCTCAGTGTTCAGTACTTGAGGATAAATGTCTATTGTCAATGTTCCCAATCACTTCTGTCATTTGTTGTCATTCACTCACACATACTCTTTTCTGGTTTCATATAACTTATCCTTTACGTTCAATGTCACCATTTGTTAACAATGTATGATAATTCCACAAAACCTCGAAACAAGTTTTCCTAATGAATGCTTCAAAACATTTAGCATAAAACTATAGTGTATGGAACGTTGATTCACTTGGACCAGTAGCCATCGAATTTCCAACATAACCGGTTTGAGGACTAGACGAACATGCCATTATTTAATAGATAGCGATCAATCAATGTAAGTAGCTTCAGTCGTTCGAAAAAGTCAATAGATAAGTGGTAATTTCTTCGACAATCAGATGGTAGTGTTGAACTAGTTTACATCTAACGGAGAGTATCAAGTTGCACATATTTGAAGATTGACTTAATAGTTTTGATAAAACTTAGCTTTCACTTTTCGAATACCGCTCCATTTAATAATAGAAAACCTGCTAATATCAGTAACCTTCATACATTAAACGTTGTTACCCTCAAACCCAAGTACAATAAAATTATACTTAGCTTAAATAATACTTCGACGTCTAAATGAAGCTCGTGAAGAGCTAACTTCGAGAAATCCAGGCTGGTTTTAGACGTAGAAGTGAATGTATAGACCAAATATTTACCCTTCGGCAGGTTCTCGAAAGTCAAGATACTTTTCGACGTCCGACATTAGTTGTATTTCTTGATAGCCAGTGTTCAACTTCGTTGATTTTAAAGTTCTGTGGTAATGTCCCTTATTAAAATGTGTACCAAAAAAGTACATTAAACTCGTATACTTTTCCTACTCTAACATAACTGGTCAAGTCACAGCTAGCATCCGAGTTGATTACTTCAAACGGTGTTCGTCAAGACTGTCCACTTTACTCACTTTTATTTAACTGTAACATAAAATATTTTCCTAGAGTTTACACTACCATCATATGACATTTGAGAGGTTGATCTCTCAACAGGAGATCCATTTGTTGACTTGGATTATGCAGACAATTTAGTTCTGGTTGGTGAAGACGCTGACAAAATGCAGAGTCTTTTGACTACCTTAAGCAACAATGCAAGCATGTTTGAGATGCGATTCTCTCCTTCCCAATGCAAAATCTAGCTACCGAATTGATTTGTTTGCGTCAGCGTCTGGATTAATGATGAGGAGTGAAGTAGTTGAATGTGTCGACCTCTTCATATGTCTTGTCTCATCAGTCTCGACGGTCTGGTGTCTGATGAAATATCGACACAGGCTCAGATAGCTCGATAAGGTTTTACCAGTCTGTGTCACCTGTGGAGTAGGTGAGATAACTGTCTGCCAACCAAAGGACAAGTCTATTGCACGTCAGTTTGCTTCTTCCTACTGTATGAGTGTGAAACATGACCATTGGGATTAGAGGATATCTGAGAATTATAAATATTCGATCATAGATGTCTTCGAACCATTACCAGTGTATTCTGGGACCACTGAGTAATCAATGTCTGGTTTAGGAATGGGACATTAGTTAACGATGTTACATCAATTGACGATGTGATAAATCTTTATCAACTGAGTTGGTTGGGATGTGTATTACGTATGCTGAACCACCACGACGTTCGGTATTGTCTGATGGTGGTAAGAATATAACGTAAGAAAACTAGAATAGGCCAAAACAAAATACAACCCCAATCTATAAAGTCATCGACAAATGTACTGAGCCAGTGCTAACAAGTGAAGATTACCTGATTAGAGTCCACATGATAATCGTAACCAATGTTTAGAAAGTTTGAATGAGATGTGTTGAAATTGTTTTTAATGGTGCAAATGTATCGGTTGTTTGTCATCCTCCAAATTTTGAATTTCCGAACTCCTCATCATTTCTTTCATTTGACTAATTAATATTTCAGAGGGGGTTTTGTGGAGAATTTAGTATTTTCACAGTTTAAATCATGAGTCAATTGAAGCTAGACCACCATCGAAAACCTGGAAGCACTGGACGGCCGTTTCGTCCTATTATGGGACTCCTCAGCAGTGCGCATCCACGAACCCGCTCTCGCGAGCGAGATTCGAACCCAGGACCTACCAGTCTCGAGCCGAAGCCCTTAACCGATAGACCACTGAGCTGGCATCCAACGGTGTTAATGTCTAACTTCAACCAATCCACGATATTGAGCTACCGTTCACCAATTGTCTTCAGTGAGATGATTATTTTACTGAATCATATGTTTGATACCTAATGTTTTGTATTATCACTAATATTGTTACTACCTGTAGTATTGTATGCTTTTTCCTGGCGTTTTTTTTATCTCATTGTGTTAATGGTGTATGTTAACTTGAATTGATATGTACACGTGCCAAGTTATACATTGTGACTTATTGACTATTAATTAGCCTGAGTTTTTCAGTGATTAACTGATAAATGTTCTATAATTTTCACTAATCTTCTTTAATTATGAATAACAACTTCTCAACATATAAGTTAATTCATTTGTTACAACTATCTATACATAGTAATGTAACCATTTATAAGCAATAATGGTTAGAGGCTAGTAGTGGAATCTAGTTTAACTCGCGTTTCGTCCTATTTGGGACTCATAAGCTGATATACTTGCATTTATTCTTTATATGAATTATTAGATTACAGCATCATATTAACTATCATCTCTTCAATAATAAGAATAATACACAAATGTGTTATTACACAATGTATTTGCACAAAGATATACTATTAATGTGTGCGTGTGTTTGAATACTAACTCCAACTTGTTCACCAACATTACTTAATTTATTGATTATTCTAAATGTGCTATGAATATATTGGCCAATTTTTTTATTATTTCTTCCATGATTATTGTGAATAACACTGAATGATACAGGATTTTGCAAAATTATGATTTTCTTATATAATAACTTTAATAATTTGTTTAACATCAATGGTAATCAAGGTATAGTTTTGAAAAAAATAAGTAAGTGTTCAACTCGAGACTTGAATATCCTGGGGTATATTTCTTAATGAAGTTGTGGTTGCCTTATGTTGAGGAGTTTCTAACTAAGACGAAACAGATGTTTAGCTCTTTAAGAGTTGTGATGATAATCTAAATCAGATTAATCTGTAGAGAATATTACTGGCAATATTTAAGAGATATGTGATACGACTTAGTAAATTCGTGTTATTCAAGCCTTTAGCCACACAATTTGTGGTAAAGTCGACTATATAGATAACATGATAATTTGTGGCTTTAACTAATGGCTTCACTAGTCAAAGTCGAGTTGCTAATTTAACAAGCGACCCTTTCATATTATACATCGGAATTTCGAAAATATTGTAGAGGAGTATTTACATAGGCTATATGTAATTGGTACATTGGTACAAAGTTATCTATGACTTAATATCGATTCCGGGTAGGTAATAGTGAGGTTAGACGCAGGGTATTAGGGAATGATGGTGAATCAGTTGATGAGGTCATGAATCTTCATCGACTGAGATCTATAGGCCACGTCTGCGTATGCTTGAACACCGATTACCACGACGTGCTTAGCTGATTAGTATTGGGTATGGTTGGAAGAGAGTTAGGGGCAGCTAAACCAAAACATGGCATCAGTGCTTGAAGTCACTAACTTCTAGTCTGAGCCATGTTGGTAGATGCAGACTACCTGGTTGGGGTCCACGTGACTGTCGTAACCAATGGTTGGAGACTGTGTGTGACATGGCTCAGAATCGATCACAATTGCTTAGGTGTATACACTCTTTATCTTCCCTTAAACCTTGATATTAAAATGGCTTGATATCCGTCTTCCTTCCTATACTATATCCCTATATACAATCTTTGTTTTATATATTACCACCACTAAATTAACTACTTCCATGAATCTGGTGTTCATCTTGTTGTGCTAAGGAGGTATGCTAACTTGGACCGATGCATAAATGTGCCTAGTCCTACGTTGTAGCTTACTGACTGACTAATATCGATTCCTTTTCCCGATCGATCTTCTGATGATACTGTATACCCAAACTTAGTATTCGACGGGTTGTATCAATGTAAGCAAGCGTGTAGACAATACGTCTTTGTTGTTGACTAATTTCAAGTTCAGTGTAGGATTACTGAAACAAAATACTGCCCAATAGGGTTACATTACAATGCATTTCATGCAGAAAATTTTGTGGTTATAAAAGAAAACTTAATCTGTGAGAAAGGTGTCTGCAGTTAACATTTATTTTGCAACTTAGCAGTTCAATGTTTTGTGGATAGTATTATATAAATAGATTCGTCTTGATTATATGCCAAATGTAGTTCAAAGATGAAGACTTTTTTCATACTAGAATTCAAAACAAAGTTCCTCTATCCCTAAGCAATATGATGTCCTATAAACGTTTACACACGACACACACGCTAATAAATTTTCTAAATCTCTTCAGGATCTCAATAAATTTCGTCCGACTGTCGTATGAATCTTGGACATAAATAAATGCTAGCCAATTGTTCGTCCAATTACAGCTTGTTTTTCTCCAATTGGAGTACTATTTTATCGTACGATATATGAAATCTCCTTCGCGCTCTCCTTTAAGAAAAAATATCTTGTCTAGTTGTTTACCCTTAACTGAATAGGATAGTTATGTGTGTTTGCATATAACGTCTAGTCAAGATCACATTGGATTCAAGTAAGGTATCAATTCCTTCAAGATTGCTATCATCCTGTCATCTAACTTGCTGTACTACATAGTACATACGATATCAAGTCACTTAATACGGTGATTATATTACAAATTAGATCGATAAAATTTGGTCAGCCTTAATTAAATAGATGAACGTGACACTTGTTGCTACTCTGTAACGAATCAATACAGGTTTTATTCTTTTTGTACATATTTTTCAATGCTTTATGGATGATCATACCATCCTTTTCACTCTATAGTATAGGTGGGATGTCTCTTAAAAAAAGAACTCTATATGTATAAGGTTTTAGAGTATATGAATTGTGGCTAGTAAAAGAATCTTTTTGTCCTGTTTCGGACTCTTCAACTGCTCGTCCATACGTCACAGTGTTGTGCAGTCTAGGACATGAGTTTTGTGCTATTTCGGATTCGTCAGCTAAGTGTTCCTGCATCCCAAAGTTGTTGTCCACTTGGGGACCCGAACCCAGTACCTTCCACCTCAAGTGCCATTGCGTTATCTATTTAGTTGCTGAGTCCATGCCGGCTAGCTACCAACCATCTTTGCTCAAATTCCTTATGTCATAGTGGCCATTTGGAGACCATTCACACATGATGCATACATGGCAAGAGAAACTGGTTAATTATAATCCTAAACGTCAGTAGGAAGTTCCAAACAACCATTAAGTACGAATCCTAGTGTACATTTTCTCATCGTGACTCGAACCACATACTTTTCATTTCAAACAACAACTCATTATTTAATGAACTACCTAGTCGAGATAGACAAACGCGTTGACGTTTAAGTGAAACGTACTAAATCACAGACACAGACACAGTGGGAAAATCATTAGTTGAATATGTATGCATATAGATGATGAGTTTCAAACAGTCCGAAATGTTTATCTTTCGATTCCACTCCTATTCACAATAAAAATACATTAAAACGTACGTCAAAGTAATCTGTTAAGGAGTAACATATGACAACAAAGATGTTTCAATCATACTCTTAGATTTCAACAACAAATACTTATAAACGATTACTATTGTATGCTTTAGAGATATTTTCATAGTTGAAATCACGAGTCAATTGAAGCTAGACCACCATGGAAAACCTGGAGGCACTGGACGGCCGTTTCGCCCTATTATGGGACTCCTCAGTGGCAGTGCGCATCCACAATCCCGCACTCGCGAGATTCGAATCCAGGACCTTTCGAGACCTTTCGAGATATATCTTTAATCTATCAACATGACTGGTGTTACTAATTATTGCTGATAGAAATTTTTTTTACCTTTTCTTTTTGTCTCGATGTATTCACTGAATTGTACTTGATTTGTGTTGGATGGGTTGTGAACAAGACAGCTTAGTCGTCAGTTAGTTGCATTATGGTCTGAAAATAATCAAGATGCATGGGATCTATTTAAAAGGATGCTTGTAAGTTATTAATGTTTTATTATAAGTTGTGATTATAATTATTCACCGGCATTTATATGATTTCTGATCAACTTTTCAAATATGTTCGAGCTAACTGTGAAGAAAAGGTTCAGCGGAGGATTAACTTAACCCTAACATTGAATTGGGTCTTGGTGTTCAATCGCTAGTTCTTACTAGTAAACTATTCAAAATCAACTTCATTGTTAAATAATGATCTGTTATATAATTAGAACAATACATAAACAAAAAATGTTACGTCGTCGATCTGTCTATTTGATAATATACAAGAGAGAACGTCTTTCGATCTAGATTAAGGCCTTGACACGAAAGGTTTCACCTTGAGACTGGAAATGCATGAGTCGGAATTTAAACGACCTGCCTTGTGTTGAGAGACCAAAACTATTCTATCACCTGATTGGTTGACAAGTGTGACTGAGAGAAGACAAGTCGACTGGAGCACTACTTAATTTATTATCGATTCTCAATTCCAATTCAGATTAATGCAAACAGATGCATTTCGTTATTCGATTTATGTGAGTAATGGAATACTGTCCGCACACCCAAAACGAAGCAGGCGGTTCATTTAGGGGACCACACCTGGACACTTTGACTTAAGGGTCTCATCCACAATACAGTGGAACAACGTTAGGAGATTCATTCCCATGGGAGCTGGTGACCAACAATAGCTTCATACTCCATTTTTTCCTTCAGGATCGTGGACCCCATGTGCATTATTGGTTTGGAATGAGGGTTTTCCAACTCCCTAGGTGAACCTTCCGTGTCCATCAACCCGGTTAAAGCGCTGAACATTCGCTTCTGGTCTTCTCAATTTTGTAAAAAACAGTAATGCCGCTAAAAGGCAGTATGACTTCTCGGACAGTGGTTTTATACGCGTGACCATGTGAGAGCTTTTGGAAAGGGAGAGTGGACTCTCCTAACCTCGACCGTACTTGGGCAGCTGGGTACAAATTTTCGTGTTTACTTGCCAACTAAACATCACCATTTACCTTATTTGATTATTTATTAAGATTAATATCCATTCGACATAATCTGCATTCCGTTTTACGATAACAAAAATATTTTTGAATAGTTGTTAATAAATTTAATATGATTATTTTGCCTTATGTATTTACATTGATTGATCACTGAGTGGTGACCAATGCCCTATTTTTCTACATCTCAGTGTTGATTAATCAATTGACATTGTGGTCACCGGTGTTAGTGAATTGACATTGAGTGGATAGTATCTTGATTTTAGACGGTTGGAAATAATCAATATGAAATCCTGGACTCATGTTTTGGGACAATTTGTACTCATCAGCAAAGAATAAGTACGTTCTTATGGATACTAATGCTCCCTTATGGATTCAAACCTTCATCAACCAGTTACAAAGTCGGCGCCACTATCATTGAGTCACTCAATCTGCAGTTGAAATCCTATAGAATAATTATTCACACTTATCGATCATTGAGAATGAATGGATCAGATTTGAATCCATCTAATGAGAGAGTCAGCTTTTCTATAATTCCTGATTAGTCCCAACTAGCATGGAACCTAGTTAATAAGCTGATCACTCTTTCTCCTCTGATTTATGACTAGCATCAAGATAAGACAGACGATATGTAACCCAATGCCGTATTAAACGTCAAACTGTGGTAAAAGAAGACAGTGTTATATACAGTGGATTTGTATTTTAAGTCGATATATTGACAACTAAACTTCTTTTTGCAAATCACTTACTAAGTGTTTATTCATATGGTCGACAATGAACTATTCTTTTAGTCCCTCTCCCTCTCGTTGTGAGAATTAATAATAATCCCTAGCGGCGTAAACGAAATGAAGTGTGGTTGAAACCTTCACTTCATGAGTCAAAGAATTTCAACACTGAAGTGAGAGAGCACTGTAGAATTTTTCGCTGAATAAATAATTACAGTGATTAATTACAGAAAAAGTTTTCACTGTAGTAATATCTGCTGGCCAGACACTATCAACAACAAGTTACTGTGGGAGACAACAAACCAGATTCCGGCGGAAGAAGAAATCAGGAGAAGGCGCTGGAAGTGGATAGGGAACACTTTCAGGAAATCAGCCAGTTTCGTCACAAGACAAGCCCTCACATGGAATCCTGAAGGCCAAAGGAGAAGAGGAAGACCAGAAAACACATTACGCCGAGAAATGGAGACAGACTTAAGAAGAGTGAACAAAAACTGGATAGAACTAGAAAGTAAGGCCCAGGACAGAGTGGGTTGTAGAATGCTGGTCGGCGGCCTATGCTCCATTGGGAGTAACAGGCGTAAGTAAGTAAGTAAATATTCCATGGAACGATACATTCCAGTACAATGGTATTAAAAATTTGTTAAACTCTAATACTACACTTGGTCTATTGGTTCACATACGACTTACGTACACTTCTCAAGCAGTTTTATATACTTTTTGTCCTTAAATTTCAGCCATTAGGTTTACTGTCATACCTAGAGTCAACTGAGGAGCCTCCTGTAAAAGTTATCAATATGTTACCAGATCGTGATAATTTACAATTAGCTCATGTAAGTGTATATCGTCTTTCTTTTTTTATGGTGAAGTTTCGTAATCCAAATTGAATAATTTAATTGTGAAGCTTTTATTAACCTTTTGGACGACATATAATTAGTAGTCAGTCAATATCATGGTCTACAGGACAAGTTGTCAGTCATACGTGTGGAAAATAATCAAAGCTTCACTGAGCTCAGAGAAAGATAATCCACCCAAATCATCCATCTAAGTCACAAATCTTGACAATTATAGGGTATTTATCATCGTCTAAGAGATAGTTATTAGCAAATCCACTGTTTTATCAATGAGATGACATTATTCGATAACTCTGTGAAGAAATCATGATTGGCAGTCTTTATATATTTTAGTACATCTACCTAATCAAAGTTTTATAACTCTTATTGCTTAACTGTCCAAATCCATTCAATCTTATTCACGCCTTGACGGTTCGCTTTCTTCTTCTTCTTCTTCTTCTTCTTCTTCTTCTTCTTCCTCTTCTTCTTCTTCTTCACTTTTGCAGATACACTTACATCATGTTTAGAAATAGTCTGTAGAACCTAACGGGACAAGAATATAGATAAGCAATCATTTGAGAACATTTTCATAAAAAGACTGAACTCCTCCTATCGTCTACCGTGTAAAGACATTTGTTAGGCAAATGTCTTTCTTTATAAACTTGTAAAAAGAAACCTATTTACTAATGGGGGAAATTTTAAGCTGGCAACAATGTATCGGTTTCACCATATTTAATTTTCATTGTTTAGTTAGACCTGAATTAATGATTTCCAATAAACCGGCCAAGGTACATTTTATGTTGCTCCGTTCACTTTAATACGAACAAAAGTCAAATCGATAAATTTATCGTCAGTTTTTCACCCACTAATTTGCTGACAGTGTAACTAAACACCCCCCCCCCGCATAGAAATGGGTTTAACAAGACATTAGAAACTGCTCTATTTATGTATCATTACTGAAAGGGATATGAATCATCTCGTTGCTGATAATCTTGGATGAATTTCAATCAGTCTTTGGCGGTATATGTGCATCCTGTGCAAATAGTCTTGACATAGCTGTCTTTCACAACTTTTTATACAAAAAAAACGGATTTGTGGTTAACACTAGAATCCAGAAAGCACGTAGTTTCGTCCTATTTTGAACTCATCAACTAGGTATACTACTATCTCAGTGTTAACATTCACCCCGAGGCTCAAACCCAGTACTTATTTATTCAGATGCTGAATGTACTATGTACCGAGTTATTACGTTGGAGGTTTAAAAAGAAAGGTGTTGGGTTTGAGTCTCTGCGTCAACACCAATACTGACATCTAAGTACTTCTACTTGATGAGTCTTAAATATGACAAAGTATTTGTTCTTTAATTCACTGCTAACCATAAATTCATTGATTCTACTTAGTTTTCATTATGGACGTTCAACCAAAAAGCTCTTCCTTATTTCTAATAATTAAATCAGTTGATATCATAACTTCATTGTGTAAAACAATTCTAAACCAATTACTATTTGATTATTCAAATAACGCTGCATCATTCACTTGACATTTAGTCTTAGATAGATGAATAGATAATCCTTCAATCATAAAGATTTCTAAGAAGCGTAAGAGTCTAAGTTTCACTCAAAATAATAACCAGATAAATTCACTTAGTATTATTTGTTTAAATCTTCCCATTGATGTTTAGGACTGCAACTGGTCAGTCTCTCATTGTCATATGTGCATACTGTGCGTATTGCCTCGATATAGCCTTAATTCACAAGCATTATCAGGACTCATTAGCTGAGTGGATAACGCGATGGCGTTTGAAGCGAAAGGTACTGAGTTCGAGTCCCGTGGTGAACATCAACTCTGAGATACAGGTACATCCAGCTGACGAGTCCTAAATAGGACGAAACCTGCGTCAAACTGGAGTCCACTGATAGCCACTATTCATATTTGCTTATATCAACCAGATAGTTTTAGGTTGACCACAATTCCTGTAGTTAACATATTAGGAATGTCTCTTGAAGTTATACAAATTGAGTATCTATCTGAGGAGATAAATTTCATAATAATTACTAGTAAGTATTATCAGAAGGGGTTTTGTGGACAAGACAATTGCTGAACCTTCGCTCAACTTCGTGAATTGGTTAAAGTTAGACATTAACACCATCGGATGCCGGCTTAGTGGTCTGTCGGTTAAGTGCTCTTGTGCGATACTAGTAGGTCCTGGGTTCGAATCTCGCAAGGCGAGGTCGCGGATGCGTACTGCTGAGAAGTCTCACAACAGGACGAAACGGCCGTCCAGTGCTTCCAGGTTTTCCTTGGTGGTCTAGCTTCAATTGACTCACGCTCTCAATTATGAAAATACGTAGTTTCTTTTGTATTCTGTTTGATTATGACTGTCTAAGAAAATATTGAATTTAAATATAATGTTTGTTCATTTTTTCCTTTCTTTTTTTCTCTCCACTTCTTCAAATTATTCAGGAGCATATGATGCGTATAGAAGAACGTAAACAAACTATTTCATATCAATTAGAATCGAAAATTGATGATTTACTGACACATTGGCGTCTACGTGTTGGTCTTCCGATTCCTAAAGTAGTAAGTTATCAAATTTTCATTTTGCTTTATTCTATCAAACTTTTTTGTTACTTAGTATTAAATTTACATGAAGTAAACCCCCAGTAATGTGTAAATGCTAGACGATATTGTTTATGGGTACTCATGTATGGTTACGGTGAGAATATGATTTATGGACAACATTTGGGCGACGTTCAAGTGACCTCGAGAATGTCCGCCTACTAACTAAGACTAAATGAGAGTTATAAACCCGTGTGAAGAATAAGGATTATAAATTACAGTTGATAGTTAGGGTTAGGAATTCGATGTAGGGTTTTCATTACGAACTGACATCAACTAAAATGACAAAACGCTATTTAGCCAAATGGATGAATGGATTTCGCGTTGAAATCCAAGACTTATTATCCTAAATGTGATTAGTTCGTCCATAAATTATAGTCTCGCCATCTTTGATGTTTAGTCTCTTCTTTAATATATAGTTTGTCAATGTCTGTGTTGCTATTTAAAACTAAAATACTGAGTTTGATTCTCAGTGTTGACATTAAAACAAAGGTAAACACACATCCGGCTAAGGAGCTTCGAATAGGACGAAACGTGCATTCGGAACTTTATCGTTAGCCACCACTTAAATATTTAAAAATGTGTGTATCACAAGCTCCATTCCCGATAACCATTTAATTATTAAAAATCACATCTCTTAGGTCCTTATTAAGTCAATAAGAACCTAAATGGTTAGCAATAGTATTAGTTATCAACGTCCCCCAAATGCCTTGGTACGGCCGAGAGTGGGGAGAGTCATCTCTCCCTCTTCAAATGCTATCACATGGCCAACCGCATATAGCCTTTGCCAGCGAAGCCCTATTCACTACCTTCTCGTGGCGGGGGTATTGTTTGCGAAATTGAGAGGACGAAAAGCGAATGTCCGACAGGAGCCTTAACCGGGTTGGTGGACATAGAAAGTTCACCTAGGAGAGTTGGAAAACTCTGATTCCAAACCAATGATGCACATGGGCTCCAGTATCCTGATGGAACAAATGGCGTATGAATCAATCGTTGGTCACTGGCTACAATGGGACTGCATCTCCTCATGATGCTCCACTGCCTTGTGGATCAGACCTTTTAGTCAAAAGCTCCGGGTGTGACCCCCTAAGGAAACCACTTGCTTTAGTTTGGGTACCTGGGTAGTATCATAGCCCTTATACAAATCAAATGAGATTTGTGAGACGCATTTGTATCTGATGCTTCCTTGTACCAATATTTATGTGTTTAAATAAATAGATAAGTTATCAACGTGCTTTATCCAATATTAACTATTGATCATTACCATTTTCATCGGTACTGATTATTTAACCAATTATGACAATTCATATCTAAAATACGTAACGACAATCTGCCTTAAATTTATTCACTTCATATAATTACACTTTAGAAAAATACTTGTTGTTTTATAAATAGTTTAGTCTTGTTTACTTTAATTGAACATGATCGATTTATTTTCTGATAGATTGGAAAACAGAATCATTTAAAAGAAGCTGAAGAACGTCCTGTTGTGCTTCGTCGACCACGTCATTTACTTCAATCATTACGTGGTGATTCGGCGAATTGTAAACCGACAACTAATTGGCGTTTATTTTTCTATCAATTTCAACAGGATCATGCTAAAGCTGATTTAATTTGGACTATACGAGTAAGTTTCTATCATTGTGATGGAGAACGAGTTCCGGATATACCTTCTATCTTTATCTTCTGTTAATATTTTGTTATACAAACTAAGCTGTGTTTCGATGACATCATAGTGTGATTAGTCAGTAGGGAGGGGGTTGTGGAGATTTTTGAATTTTATTGTAATCATAGATCGATCTAAGTTAGAAATTCATTGAAAACCTGAAAGCTCTGTAGAGCTGTTTCACCCTAGCATGGGACTCCTCAGCATTGTACAACCATGATCCCCCAACTGTAAATCGGATTCATGATCTTCGGTCTCGCACACGAACGCTTGATCTTTAGACCATCGATCTAAGTATCCAGTAGTGTTTAAGCCTAACGAGCAATATTGTGAATTGAATAAAGTTAGACTTGGTTAACACTGGATCCCAACTTAGTAGTCTATTGGCCACTATGCCGAAGTTCGTGTGTTGAAGGATCATGGTTACGCACTGCTGAGAAATCCTATATTAATAAGAACCAGTCGTCTCATTACCTGGAGGTTTTTAATGGTTGTCTAACGTAGATGAGTTCTTGATTTCAATAGTGCTACTTATTCGATGACAGACGGTCAGAGGCATTTGTAAAGAAACAATTGTTGTTAATTTTGCTCTGGCTGAAAATTATTGGCAGAGCTAAGCCATTCCCGTCTAGTAGGTCATTGTTAGTTGGCATATTATATTCATCTTACATTCCCTAATTTTACTTCGTAGATAACCTCCTGCTTGAAGTGATCACTAATAACCATGTTGGGTTCGGACGTTGGACGTCCATCACCATGACTGATTGTCCCATTTTAAATTCTCTCGATAATGTGCTTTGTGGTTTCTTGTATCGTTATTCCATTTTTTTAAACTCCGTGGAGGGCAGATTTAAGGAGTTGGCGTGTAAACAATTTGTAAACAATGGTACACCGGTTCACTTATCGGTTTATTCAGCATCTTAGCCTGTTCTATAACAGACTTAGGTGTTTTGCACGAAGATCTGCTGTTGTTAACATAAGATTTCTATCCAGTCGTTGAGCACAATCATTTGAGTTAATGAAGAATAATCATAGATCTGTATGATGGCTTTGTTGTCGAGAAAGGCGATGAAAAGCTTCATGATTAAATCATACATCTCAGTCAGCAGCTCACCTTCAAAATCACGACCATTTATTGCCATTCACGTTTTGTCATTGGTTATGTGAAAGTCATTGGTCTGATAAGAATTTAGCGTTCTCTTAATTAATGGAATATGTTATCCCGTCAAAGGCATATAAAAATTATAACGTCAGTTATGTCTTATACACTCATTATTTTGTAAGCTTGACTATTTATCAATAATCGAAATTTCGCCACTTCCATAGTAGGACTGTAACTTCAATAGGACTGTAACCAACAATAACGTTGGTTGTGCTTCACATTATCATCACAAATTTTCTGTAAATAGGTATTAGAATTACCATATTCGCCGTGGGATTTGAAATTTCTGAGTTGAATATTTTCTGAATGTTCTCTTTAAGCCTTTTGTTAACATCTCTTCATAGTCAAACAATAAACAATCCACTTACAGACCATCAATAACAATAAAAACAGTTATCATATTGTATCGTTTTCAATGAATGGATAAGGAGGATCCACCTAGGGGAGCTGGAAAACCTCGATTCCAAACCTATGATGCACATGGGCTCCAGAATCTTAAAGAAACTAACGGCGTATGAACCTGTTGTTAGTCACCAACTTCCATGGTACTGAATCTCCAAATGTTGCTTCACTGCCTTGCGGATTAAACCTCTAGGTCAAAAGACTCGAGATGTAGCTCCCTAAGTAAACCACTTGCTTCGGTTTGGGTGTGCGGACAGTATTCCATCCTTCACACAAATCAAATAACGAAATGTGGTGCATATATATCCCGAGATATCCGTCTATCAACCATAGGACGGGTTTACTGTGCAGCAGTTCGTCCCGTCCTACTTTATGGCAGTGAAACATAGCCGGTAAGAGCAGAGGATATTCGTAGGATACTAGTATTCGATCGTAGGTGTCTTCGAAGAATTGCTCATATATCCTGGGACCACCGCGGAAGTAAGAAACGGGTACTAGGTGAGGGTGGCAAATCGATTGATGAAGTAGTGAAACTTCATCAATTGAGATGGCTGAGACACGTGTCACGTATTCCCAACCACCGACTATCCCGACGTGCAATGTTTTACAGTGTAGGCATAGGTTGGAAGAAAGCTAGGGGCGGCCAGACTAAAACGTGGCAAAAATCCATGAAGTCACTGACAATTGGACAGAGCCATGTTGGTAGGTGTAGACTACATGGTTGGGATTCGCGAGATGATAGCAACCGATGGTTAGAGACCTTGAATGACATGGCTCAAAATCGTTTGCAATGGCGTAGGTGCATCCACTCTTTGTGTTCTACCGAATTTTAATCTTCTGAATTCTTCATGTCTCTATCTTTTTTTTCTTTCCAAATTTATTTCATTGGATTATAGTCCTTCAATAACATCTTCAAACCCTAATCTTTCGGATTACTGCTTATATTCTTACTGCTTCTACCATTATAGGATTTGAATCGACAAGTGCATCTCTGTGCTAATCTGGTATGGCAACTCGAACTGATGTACGTACGTACGAAATTCTATGTTGTGACTGACTGACTGCATATTTATTTGATGCCTCCTTGTACCAACGGTTGTGTTTAAATAAATAAATCGTTTTCACAACATTCACATCCTATTCACCTGGTTTTACATGTACTCCGTCGTTCATCAGTTTATTGGATGATGCGTTTATGATAATTATCCTTCTTCTAGTTTGGTTTTGATTTTAGTTTCTATAAATTTATTTATTTATTTACATATCCAAAAATAGACAAGAAATGAATTACGTGAATCGATGGAAAAAGAATTACAAGAATTTCGTCAAGAACGTAATTATTTTGCACAAAGTCGTTTAGAAGAATCCGATATACCAGATTTTGATCGATCAGAACCAGTTGGTACTGGTCAACCTGAACGTATATTTCCAATTGGTTTAATTGGTAAAGCACAAAGTACACCAAATATTAGTGATCATGTTATAATGAATGAAAATTCACAATTATCTACAATGGATCATCATGAACATACAGTGGAAAATGATGACAAAGATGTTCAACTAAATCAATCGAGAATTCAAAATTCAAATGATCATAATGGTACACAAACTTTATCACGATCATCGAATCTCAGTAGAAAAACACGAACAGCGGTTAGTCCAACTAGAATACAAGCGGATCATTTAATTAACCAGGTATATCTATATATGTGTGTAAATTTAGATTTTATTTGAGTTTGTTTTAAACTACTTCTGATATCATAAACAAAGATAGATAGTGGCTAGTAGTGGAATTCAGTTTGACTCGCGTTTCGTCCTATTTGGGACTCGTCAGCTGGATGTACCTGCATCTGAGACCTGTTGATGTTCACTCTGAGACTCGAACCCAGTACCTTTCGCTTCAAACGCCATCGCGTTATCCACTCATCTACTGAGTCCTGATAATGCTTGTGAATTAAGGCTATATCGAGGCAATACGCACAGTATTCACATATAACAATCAGAAACTGACCAGTAGCAGTTTTAAACATCAATGGGAAGATTCAAACAAACAATACTAAGTAAATTAATATATCTGATATTTTCTAAATTTTGGAAAAATAGTTTTCGTGAGATGAAACATTTCATGATAAAAATCATATAAGCAATTTATCTAGTCTAAAATATTGGCACAATGATAGGAAATAATATTGATAAACATCGAAGGACTGGAGTTTAGTGCCCCTAAATGTCCTGGTGCGGCCGAGAGTGGAGAGAGTCCTCTCTCACATGGCGACGCGTATAGGGAAGTCCGACTCACCGCCTTCTCTCACCATGGGTGTTGTTTACGAAATTGGGAGGATGAAAAACAAATGTCCGGCGCTTTCACCGAGTTGGTGGATACGGAAAGTTCACCTAGGGGAGTTGGAAAACTCTGATTCTAAACCAAGGATGCACATGAGCTCCAGTATCCTGATGGAAAAAATGGCGTATGAACCAATCGTTTTTCACCGGCTACCATGGGACTCCATCTCCTCACGATGCTCCACTGTCTTGCGGATCAGATCTTCAGGTCAAAGGCTCAGGGTTTGCTCTTTTAAAAAAAACCCATCTGCTTCAGTTCGGGTACTCGGTCAGTATCACAGCCCTCACACAAATCAAATGAGATTTGTGTGGCGCATATATATCTGGTGCTTCCTTGTACCAATATTTGTGTGTTTAAATAAAATAAAATAATACTGGAGTTTAGTAATATTTATCATGTATTCAAGGCTCTAATAGAGATCGTGATTATGTTGAGACTGTCTGTTGTGAAGCCTATATCATTAGACTTCATTATGGATCATTTTAACAGTCGAATACTTTATATGTTGCCACCGTATTTTGATTTAGTTTACCTCGATGATAACCAGAATAGTAAATTGTGCAGCCCACAGTGATGAACGATGAATATGTAGATCACTTTCATAAATGAGGGTCTGTTATGAATGTAAAAAAAAATATAAAAAAGGCCATATGTCAATTTGTTACGATTTTATGTCCGGCGTTATATCACGTTAGTTATTTGCCAATCGGAATACGACTTTTCCAATCTTAACACTATGCCAAATCAATGACGTTTGACCGGTATGAGCAGTCTAGAGTCCTTATTGGTCCCTTATTCGCCTAGCCCTTCCAATTCAGTCCAGAACACCAATCACAGCTTCTGTTATGCGAATCATTTATTTGAAGCATACTCGGTTTATATACCAGGCAGACAGACCACATCACACCATAAAATAAAAAATAATATTTGTACAAGATCAAACCAAATGTGTCTGTGAACGTGGGAGACAATAATCAATAAACTGAATATAATTCAAGAACAGTAATTCGTATAATAATAGTCCATGGGTCAAAATGAAGCTTATAATAAGATGAATATAGATATACACAATCTAATTACTGAATAGTTAAACAATAAGAATATATATAGAATAATAGTCCATTAATAGATCCTAGAAGTTACTCGTACTTATGTCTTTGCTAGGATATAACACTAATTAAACGCAATTATTCAGACATAGTGTCCATATAATCGTTTTTCCATTATTATTTCATCAACTGCTAACCTTTTAACCCTTATCAACTTATTGATTTCTACGTAACTGTGTATTGCTATTCATCGCCTTTACCGTTTACATTGTATACTACCAATGCTTATAATCATTTTGCGAACTTTATCAATGCATGTTTAAATTACCTTAGTTCACTATGTGTTTCGAGTTCAATAAATTGATTTGCCGTACATTTATTTATTTGTTATACACTATCAGAACCCAATAGCGTTTACCGACTTGCTAATAGGAGTGATTCATATTGTAATGAGAAGCTAGAAATTGTTACTATGCTCTCCATTAAGAGGGTTAATAGTATTTTATACAGTTGTACTTTCATACTTTTCATTTCTTTTTTCATTCTATCGTTTCACGTAAATTGTTTTCCTGTGTTTGTTTGTTTACTTTCAATGCTAGGCAAGTCTTGTTTCATGGAATTATAGAGAATTTAAAGTGAATTATCCAAGTTTAATTGAAGAACCACGTGTTGGCAACTATTTTTTACGTTTACTACTTGAAGAAGATCGACATGTAAATGAAGTAATTGATGCAACTACATTAACTAATGCAGATTCAAATCATGTACTATCTATGGGTTTATCACGTATTCGTGATAGGTAAGTAAATAAATGCTTATGATTACGTTTGTAGAGATAAGTGGAAACGTTTTTTTTTTACATTATGGACTAATTTGGGCTCAACAACTAATGAAACCTTAAGTACACTGAACAGCATTTTCATCCTATTGCAGATCTTCTCAACTGTGTTCATTCAAAGCTCCGTCAGAGATTTGATCTAAAAGATTCAGGCTTTGCGTTTAGTAAGTTACCCAGTCATAGTCGTGTACTCACAAGAGACAACAACCTTAGGGAGAATGGTCAAGGTTCTAATAAAAAATCACCAATGTTAGGGTTCAACTGTGTCAGGAGTGACATAGATCACGACGATAGCAATAGATAATCGTCCTGTAACATTAAGGTTTTAATCGCAGTTGAAAACTTGGAATCATAAAACTTAAAGGGGTTTGATCTCTAGTTGACACGTGTGTGCATTCCTTCCGAAGACTCTGATGTTAGTCTCGAAACAGTTGTTCAATTACTCCTTGTTTTCAGTAATTGTCTAACTGAAGTCAGTTCGCTATATAAACTGTTTCCAAATAAAAATCCATAAAATTGAAATTAAACAAGGGATAGTCAACAATAGTTTAAACTTAGTTTGAGAAGTTTCAACTGTGCTACTATACAACATCATGAGACTTTTAACGATGATCTTCATATCTCGACATGGTTGTTTAAAACTGCTAACTAGTCTAACTTTAATAGTTGATATTTCCAATATACGATGCAGCATGATAACTATGTAACCTAATCAATGACTTCTTGCGTCATTCACGACTTGGATAACAGTTTATGATTCAGGCTTTTTCTTTAAAGCGTGTGAGAATTCATTTTTATTCACTCGTGCTTGGACTCTACTAAAGAGTCTCAAGTAGAAAAAGTGTCGCTCTTTGTAGTCGAAGAGATTATATATATATATATATATGCTTGGGTGTAGTTTTATATTGCTGATAACATAAACTAGTGATCGTTTTCCGAACACCGATGTTTCAAATTTCTTCTGTGTACGATCAACTCAAACCCGCACTTATCATAAAAACGTTTTTCACTACAGTTTGTGTTTGATTGTTTCTGCCTTTGATAAGAACTACCGTTGCTGCTACCTTGACGTTGTGGTCGGGCTTGCCTATCGTGATGAACCAATCGAGCTATACTGGCTGGAACAATCGTTCCTCAAGATCCTACCATGCCAGACAGGTCGGTTGAAGAGCGGTAAGACTAAAAGCAGCAATCCCAAGGTCCGAAGGCGATGTCGTACTGTCGACTGTACAGAGGTGTGACAGCAGTAAGGTGTTTCCTTCAGACAACCAGCATAACAGCGATGCTGCCTTCCTACAAGGAAGGGTGGGGTTAGAAAAGGTCGACTTTGAAAATGCACACCTCACCTTATCCCACGGATATCCGTCTCCGGTGGTAAGGTTCCAACAAGTACGGAGCTAACACAAAAACTACCCACAAAAAGGCCGTGTGTGATCGACCTCAAGCATTTGTCCCTTGGGCACTGAAGTCACACTCTCAGGTCATTAAGACCACTTCTAACCCAATTTCCTTTTCCGGTACCTCTAGAACGAACCCTTCCACGGTGTGAGCAACCGGGAAGTGATAACTGCCCTCATACCTCTAGCAGCACTCTAGACCACTGTATTCATAATCAGTCTCCTTCTTCACTTCCTACTTTTCCTTCTACCTGACTGACTGACTGAATAAAATGGTAACATATACGGCTTGAAGTATATCGGTAAAAAATACCTGGCTATATAAACTTTGGTGAATAATATGAAACCATTTTGAATTCAGTTATTATACTATTTCGCTCTGCTGCTACCGATTTTAAGCCATTTTACCTAAGATCTTCACTCTCAATCAACTAGCCTATATATCTTGATATAAGTTATACTAATGCTTAGTGACTTAATAAATTAATCCCATATCTTGATATAACCACATATCTAACGTACTTTCAAATTACTTTTGTCTAACCTATCATTAGATGTCTGTTTATGCAGTAATTGTGACATTTAGTGAATCGTTTGTAATGGGAGTAATGAGTTTTTTTTCATTCTCGACGAATACCCTAACCTCATTGGTTCTCATACTGTGTGATCTCTCCAGATCATCGGTCACAGTAAGTACTGTAATATACAGTATCGTGATATACTAATCCAAACCCCCTATCGCCACCACAACTACTATCTATTAATTAATAGGTTTATAACTCAAATGACCAACTCGGTAAAACGATTAGCGAATTTATCAACATTTTGATCACCTCTTAACATGTAATAATAGCAAACAGATGAGTAGGCTAGAAAAACCTCTAAAGATGATTGATCCAAACACGATATGATGCTAACGAATGGAGTCATCGGATATTTAACAAAACTGTAATGGTTATTGCAGTTTTTATGCTTATAACACAGTGGTGTGATGAAATATGTTAAATTTTCACATGTATTAGTTGTCGCCGGATTCTATATATCTTTTAATAAAACAGTCAGTCAGTCAGCTACAACACAGGACCAGGCACATATATGCATCGGCCCAAGTTGCCAATACCTCGTTAGCACAACAAGGTGAACACCGAATTCATAGAAGTAGTTAATTTAGTGGTGGTAATATATAAAAGAAAGGTTGTATATAAGATTATAGAATAGGAAGAAAGGAAGGTATGAAGCAATTTTAATCTCAAGGTTTAAAGGAAGATAAAGACAATATTACACCTGCCCCATTGTGGTCCATTTTGAGCCATGTCACCCAAAATCTCCGACCATTGGTTATGATAGTCAAGCGGTCCCCAACCAAGTAATCTGCATCTACCGACATGACTCAGACCAGAAGTTAGCGACTTTATGGACTGATGACACGTGTTGATTTGGCCACCGCGAACTTTCTTCTAACCATCTCAGTCAATGAAGATTTACAACCGCATCAACTAATTTATCATCATTCCCTAATACCCTGTATCTACCCTCACTATTGATTATTCGGTGATCCCAGCAGATGCGAGCAATATTTCTAAGGCATCTGTGGTCAAATACTAATAACTTACGAGTATCTTCTACTCTTAAAGGCCACGTTTCACAGCCGTAAAGTAGAACAGAGCGAACTGCTAAGCAGTATACTCGTCCCTTAATAGATAGACGGATATCTCGTCTTCGCCATAGGTGACGTAAATTGATTTAGTCTTATTTAATTAGTCACTCTTTTAAGCTTGTGATTTGTTACAATATCCTTGTTTTTGTACATTATTTCTAATCTAATCATTTCCACTTTACAGTACTGCATTTTTCAATGAATTATTTCGACGTTACCTTCAATATGTTGCATCGGATCCATTTTATTCCATTAATGATAATTCTATTAAACGTTGTACAACTGACCATAACAATACAACACCTAATACATTACGTCGTCTTACAATGCGTTGTTTATGTTTACATGCTATGTCAGTTGTCTATCATCGATGTCATCATGAAATTGGTCCAATTACAGATATTCCATTGCTTACTTATTTATTAGATCGTACAACATTTGCATCTGAAAGAGATTGTCTTTTATTACTATTGGATAAATTAATGTTGAATAAGGTATGTTATTCTTCTTTGATGGAGTTTTGTTCTCTGAGCTTGATGGTCAGAGGACAATACTCCATCAAAATCATCCACCCGAGCTACATATCTCCACCATTTATGTTATTCGTGTAAATATGCCTCTCATTTAAAGCTTTGGTTTCAGTAATGTATCAGGAATAATAATTTTATAACGGTCGGTTTTTTTCTCGTCTTTACGAACGGGATGTTAATTTACCTTAGACGAATATTTAAACTAGATCCTCTCACAGTGTCTATTCTACAGGACTTCAACACAACTAAGATCAAGAACATGTGATTAGCCTGACTAGAACGTTAGCATATTTCCTCACCAAAAACCAACAACAATTCGACACAATCCAACAACAATCACAATAATAGTAAGGTTCGGAGAATATATAACTCATCTAACGTCTGTCAGAATATCTATAAGTGTAACTAAACAAACAACCAATCTCTATCATTCTCGTTCACACATCAAATAAATAATTTACTCATTCGCCAGGTACTTGGGTATGAATCATACTCTAAGTGTGAGGACTAATGATACTATCTGATTGTCTAAATCTGTGCGGAGAGGGGTTCGAACCTTGAGCTCACTGAATGGAAGTCAAATGTCTTGACTACTAAGTTTATGTAAGGGTAAGATAAACTACGAAAATATAATGTGCTTTTTGATTAGTCTGTTGTTAGGAGTTCATGTATTATTGTTTAGAAAATATCTGAAACTACGTTTTCTGGAATTTTCTAATCCTATTCGGGACTCGTCATCTGGATGTACCTGCATTTCAGAGTTGATGTTCACTCTGAGACTCGAACTCAGCACCTTACGCTCCAAGCACCATCGCGTTATCCACTCAGCTACTGAGTCATGATAGCCACTTGCTTGTGTAATGGGTTTAAATTCACAGTATGCACATATGGCCAATGAGAGACTGATCAATTGCAGTCCTAAACATGAATGGGAAGATTCAAACAAATGATGCCAAGTGAATTTAATATTGTTTTTGACTGATGACTTTTCTTTAAACCGACTTATTAATGTAAACCTCAAAAGACAATACAACTAGCCGGTGGTATTTTCTGGTATTTTTATTTTTTTCCAAGGAGGTGATCACTTCCTGTTATACATGCACTTTTCTTATATACTCATACTTTTATCTAGAAAAGCAAATGGCCTTCTTATTAATCTATCCAAGTCATTGAACGCTCACTCGGTGGTTAAAACGTCCGACTTCCAGCCACTAAGTTCCAAGTGCCGAACTCCGCTTCATCTATTTTTCTTTTACCAACCAAATAATATTACTAGTTCTCATAATTAGACTGTGGCTTTAAACTAAGTACACAAATGTTCACGTAGTATGTGAGGTAAATAACTTCATGTTCAATAGTCTCAGTTTTGTGTACTTCACTGAATATTTGTGTATCTTACAACTGTGTTCTCTGTGTTTTCATTTCTAGAATAATGTTATGTCGTTTGTTGATGCTGATGGTGTACGTGTTCTCATCGATTTAGCATGTTTAGCACATTTACATACAAATCGAGCACCTACTCCATTTCAATCCAATGTTTTAAAAGCTAGTTCTGAACAAGAGTTTTCTGGTTCTGGTGCAAATACTCAACGAGAATGGTGGTATATTCATACAACACAAACAGAACAAACAACTAGCGGATCAATAGCTAAATCCGGATCTCATTCTATTCAAGGTCCAGTTAGCTTTAATGAAGTAGGTACTTTGTTTATTTAGATCAATGAAAGTTTCTTTTCCTATTCGCATCTATGGTTTAATGATAAGCAGGTTTATGTCTTTTTGTGTTTCATATATAGTCTGCGTGAATCTATTTGCAGTTGATGACCATTTTCTTGTCAGAACAGTACTATACAAAAATCATCCTTAGTTTATTAAAACCTTTTTTTCAAAGATTAACATCATATCAGTAACTTGTCCAAATCAAGCGACATTTCATAGCTGTTTTGCTCTAGTTAAGCAATAATTCGCAACGACTCTGATGAATTCATTAGGGATTAAACTTAGAACCTCCATACCTCATGACGAGCTCATTATCTTTCGATCACTTAGTTTGAATACCCCAACACATAATAATACACCGACTTCAGCCAAACAGAAAATTCACAATCGTGGTAACCTGTATTCATGCAGATGTCTTCAACACTTATCATTCTGTGCTTATGAATGTAATATAGTATATTCGTATTGATCATCATGTGTGTTTAAAAAACTTACAGAAACGTCCATTAGATGAAGAAAGTTCTTGTTGTGTACATAGATCCTATCTAACGCTTAATTTTGATCGCCAACGAATATCTAAATAAGTAGATCGATCACTGTTCAAACTGGCACTAATGTAAGCCCTGCCTAAGATAAACTTGTAGCTTATTATCAGCTATTTATGACTCAATATTTCTTTGATAGTGAATAATAAACATTAAAGTTGCCCATTGTGTCATGGAATTTTAACTGATTTCGAGATGATTGATAATTGGTTTACACTCACTACGTACATGCTAGCCATTTTAGTTTAATCATGGTTAGTTCGTGATGGGAAATGTTAAGTTCAATGATCTCAACATTCAATAACAGTAATAATTATCTGATCACTAGTGGCTAGCTTCGCGATGTAATCCCTTGAGTTTCAGTGAAAATCCGTGACCAGCAGTGTTCAGTCATGTTGGGAGTAAAATAATTATCATCAATGACAAAATAGATCATGGCCGCTGAATATTGCTAAGTGACTTGAAATAAAAGTGTAAACTAATGGAAAGCAACTCAGTGGTATGAAAATTAAGTGCTCACTGTGATGTCTGAGAACTACAGGTTCAATATTTGATGGAGTCGTGGATCTTTGCGAGTTTCATATTAAAGCCTATCAGCTCTCTGGTGGTTTCTGTTGATTTTTCGTGATTGTCTAACCGAATTCGTAACAACCCAATGTAACTTATGTTTTATTCTCTTTTAACTCAAACAAATTTCCTTTATAGCTACAACAATTGATTAAAGATGGACGTATTAATAATGCTACAAAAGTATATGCTCAAGGTTTAGATGCAACACCTCGTTGTCGTCCAGATGGTTATTTAGCTGAAGATGATTTTGCTGATATCAAAGAGGATAATAATAAATTCAATAAATCATCTAATCAATCACAAGAAAATCATCTAAATAATGAAACGATTGAATCATTAGATCATTCTGAACAAAGGAATGAAAAAACTATTGCTTGTGGTATGTATGGTTGGATGCCAGCTAAACGTATTATACAAATTCGTTGGACACTTGCTGATATTTCCGAAATGAATGTGTCTACACGTTCTAATCCAACTGTTACTACTACTACTACTAATAATAATAATACAAGTAATACAATCCCTGAAAATCATGAATTAAATGTTGGTTGTTTAATTGATAAATTAAGTTATACTGGTGGAATGTTTTCAGATTATACTAGTTTAGCGATAAAATGTATAGATATTTTACGTCGATTATGTGATAGTTGTTCATCACGTGATCTACATGGTGGTGTTGTTCGTCCATTACCGAAACCACGTCGAGCTATCTCTGATATGAATTGTCTGCCGCATTTAATTCAAGTAAGAATTATTTTATATTGATTATATTTTAGATCAGAAGGGGTTTTGTGGATATTTCAGTAGTTTCATAGTTGAAATCATGAGTCAATTGAAGTTAGACCACCATGGAAAACCTGGAAGAACTGGACGGCCGTTTCGTCCTACTATGAGACTCCTCAGCAGTGCGTATCCACGATCCCGCACTCGCGAGATTCGAACCCAGGATGAAATACATTTCTTCATAAAGACGTTTCTTCCTCATATAGTTTATTCAGTCATTGAACAACATGTCACTTGATATCTCAGATTAATCGACTACGCTCCAGAAAGCGATGACCATTTAGCGGGACAAATAAAATATAATTTAAAAAGAACAAATAAGCTGGAATGATAAACAGTATGAAATAACATGAAAACTGTAAATTGCAAATAGATATGCAATACACTATGATTGTCTTTCTATCCATTTTGCTTTAGATCGGTAAATTACGATATATACCACGTGATTGCATCTGGACAACTCACATCTGTCAGTCCTTAAGTAACTTTCCAAACTAATATCCTGTCATCGTCCTTATTACTGCTCTTAGCTTCAATTTTCCAGTTTACTTCTACTCTATTCTTTTTAGCTATTGATTTGGAATCCAAGTTGTTCAAGCATTTGATTCTATGCTTAGAAGTCGATTTTTCATACTAGTCACTGAAAGTTTCAAACTAGAACGAAGTAGCTATTTTCCAGTTAGTAAAGTGACTGGAGTTAGTTGATAGAAAATCATGAGCCTAAATTTGGTAGTATTTGGCATTCGTCAGTAAGTGGTAAATGGAATCGTTGGGGGAGTGATTTTCTCTCTGTAGTAGTCGAACCCAGGTCACTCAATCTGACACTCTGAAACGTCACCACTAAGCATGTCGAGCCCGCAAATAACTTATTGTGGAACTGAGATGTTTATCACTTATTGATCTCTGATTAGTGTCCGATGTCATGCTTACTTAATTCTTTGTTCAGGTCGAATTGTATCAGTCAGGTTGTAATATCTCTACTAGCCTAAATGACTCGACTTTGTAAGCACTTTGCTAAGGTGCTAGGTGGTTGGAGTTAATCAGCAGTGAAATCTTAACTTATATTTCATACTGGTTAACATCCGTCAATAAGGTATACCTGAAATCTTAAAGGAACTAATCCTCTCTGGTCTAGTATTTCAATGGTTTTATTATAATAACAAAGTCTATCAACTAATCTACTGTTCTAGTTTGTTATAACTATAATAATTATTATTATTTCATTTAATTACTATACTTAGTTACTACTAACCTTCGATCCACCATTGGTTGAACGTGTTGTCTCACTTCTACATGCTGTTATGGATCAAAATCCTTATCTACCACGACTTTATTTAACTGGAATATTTTATTTCATATTATTATATACTGGTAGTAATGTATTACCAATTGCAAAGTTTTTAAAAGATGTTCACTTATTACAAGCATTACGTCTAGATGAAGTAAGTTGTACTGTTTCTTTGTATATTGTTGTATTGATTGGTTTTATCTTCAAATTTCTGTTTAAGTGATATATATATATATATATATATATATATATATATATATATCGAAGTCACTTCACCAACAATCAAAGAAATCATCATGACCATCAGATAAATCAAGAGTGTGTAATCAGCAGGACCAAACAACATAGCCAGCTGAAGCACTGAACTCAGACATAGAAGTTAATGCAAATGCTTCACGTTCTATTCAGAAAGATGTGGGAGGACGAACAAGTACCGACAGACTGGAAAGAAGGATGTCTTATCGAGATACCAAAGAATAATCTTAGTAATTATGGGAACTACAGAGACATCACACTATCATCGATACCAGGAAAGGTTTTTAACAGATTGTTGCTGAACCGGATGAAAGACGCAGTAGACATTCAACTTCGAGATCAACAGACCGAATTTCCTAAGAATCAGTCGTGATCAGAACTCATAGAGACACTACGGATCACTGTTGAATAATGATTTGAATGGAACTTGTCACTATACACTAACTTCCTTGATTATGAGAAAGCATTTGACAGTGTGGGTTGGAGAACATTATGGAAACCTCTTTGAAACTATGATGTACCTGAAAAAATCGTCAGCATCATCCAGAATTCATACTAGGGACTACACTGCAAAATGGTGCATGGAGGACAGATCACAGGCGCATTCCAAGTGAGAATCCGTTTTAGAACAAGGCTGTTTACTCCTTCTTTCTCTTTCTTCTGATGATTGTGGATCACTTACAAATTGACTTACTCCTACGAAACAACATACATCTATCGGTAAAAAACCAGTTCTTGACAAGATATGATTGTTTTAAAACTCATATTTTAATTATCAGAGAAATCTGAAACACGCGTTACCTTCTCTTTGAGACTCGTCTACTCGATGCACCTTCATTCATTGTCTCAAAATCTATCACTTCGAATACAACATATTGTCCGTCACGTTACTGAGTTCAAGTAGTCATCTACATAGATTGTCCAAGATTCAGTATATTAATTTTCTCTCATTATGCATCTTAATCAATCAGACCATTATTTTGTTATTTCAACCGATTTACAAGTTTTGTTTACTTTAGAAGAACACTTCTTATTGTGTAACGTATCATATGATTTAACATTGAATATATCAACATTATTCATTTGTAATTAAGTAGTATATTGTGTGTTGGTACTAAGTGTATGTATATCTCTATATGTATATAGATTGTCGATTTGTTTCTATTTCAGGATAATATTAGTAGATGTTGAGATTCTCCTCTTTTTTTTCACACCAATATAATTAGCGTAGAAATTTTCTAACTGTTAACATAAAATTAGCAGGTCGGTCATAGGTTCTAATAGTCGGTTCTTGTTGTATCACAATAAGACACTCATACACACAAAGTCTGGTCAAAATGTAGTGAACAGAACACTAGTTGGGGACAATCGAATGTATTTAAGCAAACATTACAGACTATCTCGGTAAATTCTGATAACCAAACAATGAACAGTCAATTTGCAAATTAACAACCAATTGTTTCAATCCTCACTGTTTCTTCCCTAATTCCATTGCTCATGCATTTTCCAAACGATTGCGATTCATTTCAGTTCTTTGCTCATCGGTCTTCTGCCAAAATACATTCTATGTCTGACCAACACCATATACTACTTATATAGATATAAGTAGACCACACCACAAAAATCTTAGTATATAAAGCTGTAGTTGATAAATGAGTTACATTAGATTTTCTTAGAAGCAGTTAATACCACCCACTAGTGTAGGTGGATCTAACTAGTAATCATTGATTTGTAGCTTTGAACCTCATTTAACGTACAACATTCTGAACAACGGCACAGATGAAAATCATGACTCGTTATGTAATACTTAAACACAATGAATCTTTCTTTAGTCTCGAGGATTTTTCAAATACAATTTTTACTTATAATATCTTCTACATACTCGATACCCAATTTGTATAACATTTGAACGAACCTTCATACAAAGAACTATGTGTTTATATAGTTTCTGGGTTGAAGATAAACTTTCTGCTTTACAATTCTGACGTTGCACCTGACAATCAAATAAAAATTATTTGCACTATCGTAGTCCATTATGGAGGCCGTGTTTTGTTCTCTATCGTTTTACTGGTCTACAAGAAAATTGTAAAGTTTTCTACTACTATAGGACCATACCATCATGCTACGCAAGTGTCAAGTGTAACACAGTTAGTCATGATGGAAATGAAATTACAACACAGCAAAATTTGTGCCTCTAAATAATTAGTTAATAGAAACTATTCAAAGATATCTTCAATTGAGTAACTAAATAGATAAACATGGAACTGTAATTATTGATCATAATACACTTGGATGCCTTGAAGACGTTGAGATTATCCCCAGTCTATTTTCTGTTTGATGAACAAAATTGAAGATTGAATCTATTCAGTATGTTTGTATTATATGGGCCTTTTGAATGAAGCTCTGTGTTTATTTATTAATTAGTAATAACTAACCCTATGCTTGTGAAACCTGGCCTCTCCGATTTGAGGATGTTAGACTTCTCTCTGTGTTCGATCATCGTTATCTCCAAAGGATTGGTGACATTCAGTGGCAACACCACGTTAGTAATGCAGAGGTTGGGTATTGTGTGTTCGGGCGCAGAGACGATAATTCAATTGGTTTCACCATCTTGTAACACCGACTGCAGTGGCTTGGACATGTTCTACGAATGTCGTCCCAGAGAATTCCACGTCGTGCATTATTTGCCGACTCTGGGACTGGTTGGAAAAAGCGGAGAGGAGGTCAGTGTATGACATGGTGTCGTGGTATAAAAGAAAGCTTCAAGGGACTGGCTTCTGTTGGTCCTTCATGACTCCCTGGTTGGGGTCCGAGAGATGGTGCAATACAGTGGTTAGAGACGTTATCAGATATGGCTCAGAATAGAAGCCAGTGGCGATCCTGGTGTAACCTTCTTTTACTTTATTTATAAATAGTGGTTATACCCTCCTTAACTGAGAGTTCCTTCGTTTGTACATTTCAGTTCCCCTCACCATTACTTTTTTTAATATGTATCTTACCCCTTTCTTTTCCCATTTTCATTGTTTTGTGTGGTGCATATATATCTGGTGCCCCCTTGCACCAATATTTATGTTTAAATAAATGCATAAATAAAACTGTATCATCCAAAATTTGTGTTTCGTTCCATTTGGCACTTGTTAACAAATTGTTTATACATGTAAAAATCAATACTTGGATAAACATACACACTTGACTGATTAGTTCCAGATTGGACAATGTTATGAATCACAAACTTTACTATTAAATAATTATGAAATATAAAAGGATATTCTAAATAATTTTCCATTACTAAATTGCATATATGATTCATACGAAGAATAATGGTTACATAGTTACTTTATGTGCTTGTACGTTTTATCTTGATAAAGTACTGAACAGCTGATTTATCCTACTTTTACGCCATCAAACGATGACTAACTTGAACTTCTATAAGAGTTCAGAACTAGAAAATTTAGATCATATAAGAATCGTAATGCGGAGAGAACTGTAAAAATTGATATTTTGTAGTGTATACTTTTAGAAATCAATAATTCAACTTGACTGCTTTGGCAACTTGGTCCTACGTTGTAGCTGACTGCTGTGGTTTCGTGCACCAAAAGTCGCCTCCGGATTTAGGAATCTATGTTCTTTGTTGGTTTGAAATCAAATTTTTTCAACTGTTGTAGATGGAATCCATTCACTTTACTCTTTATTTTCATAAAAATATCTGCCTGCTACATAAAAATAGGGAGTTGGACTTCCCTGACAGTAGCTCCACAGTGTCGTCCAATTCATTTTATTTTCACTAAATCGTGTAGTAAATTCCACTTTTCCGTAACTTTATTATTCTTAAATCATTTTAGTTCACTGGTTCATCAGGAATTGATTTAACATCACGATCAATTCTGGGTAATATGTTACCTGATGCTATGATTGCTTACTTAGAAAATCATCCACCAGAGAAATTTGCAGAGATTTTTCTTGGTGATTTTGATTCACCTGAAGCAATATGGAATTCAGAAATGCGGTAAGCTTTCTGTTTTGTTATTGTTATGTCTAGTGTTTTATTTGTTGCCTTGTTATATATATATATATATATATATATATATATATATATATATATGAACATCTTAAGCTGTTTGATTAAGCAATTACTTGGTTGATTTTTACACACACTTAAGTAGCTTTAAGTCGAATATACGCTCCCCTGTTATGATTGTTTACATTTAGACTCGAACATAGAAGTTGGTGTATTATCCATTAAGGTACTGTATCCAATTAGCTGCTATCCTGTTCGATGAATAATATATTTATTCGTCGTCGTTTATATTGTTATATTTTCAATAATCGAGACTGAATCCTGACCAATCTTTATTTACATATATGGATCTTTGTGGAATTGTCTTTATGCATTCGGCATTCCGACATGAGAGACCTTATCGAGGCAATCTATACAGTGTGTACATAATTAAACAACGATTTCTTAGTAATAATAATAGGACAAAATACTATTCTTACAAATAAGTTACTCAATGTTAATTCAGTAATCATGGGTAAATGAGTGCTGTAAACGTATAATTTCTACATTGTGCTTATATCATGTAACTTATTTGCACAGTTGAGTTCACGAGTTTATCTAAGTTAATCTAGTTTATCTAGTTAAACTACCAATAAAATCCTGGAAGCATTGGACGGCTGTTTTGTCCTAGCTTGGGGCTCCTCAGGAGTACACATCCACGGTCTTGTATGTGGAGACCAAACCAAGGACTATTGAGCCGGCATTTGACGGTGTTAATGTCTAACTTTAATAAATCCATGATCTCCCGCAATCATTCATTTATTGCCTATGAATCACTGCCTCACACTCGACTCCGATCCAAATTCATTGGTCTAGCGTAGATCGTCTCAACTCTGAAAATACTACAATCTCCACAATCCATGCATACCAATATTCATTTCATCAATATTATAGACCATTAATCAATTACATTCTATTTTTTTCAAATATCGTTGATTATTTTCAACAATTTCTTAGTTGATTCATTGATCTATTGAGTTCAATGTTGGGCTTATGTCTTTCTTGTATAACAGGTTTGTTATTTGTGCTACGGGTGATTATAGGTAGTTGACTTTTTAAAAGTCCAACTTAAATGTTGTACTAGTTGTTACCCATCATCAAAGCGTACCTGGAATCTAAGAATGAACTCTATTGCTCCTAAGCTTGTTAGTACATTGTTTCCTGTATATTCTAATCAGTCATATAACGTCAAAATGCTACTCATATGATTTTGTGTCACTTAAACTAACAATTATATCACATCCTGATTGGTAGAATTTCAACAATAGTAGACTAGCACTAGACAAGTAGGACATTGGTCATTACTGATATGTAATCAGTCAGTTTAAAGGTTGGATGTTAAAATAGCCTTTTTAGAGTTGCATAAGAGTACACAGGGTCGTATACTAAGGTGTGTTGTTAAAGCCTTTAGGTAAATGAATATTCAAACCCTAATTTTTATGTTTAAAAGCGGTTTATTTTCACCTTGAACCTTTTTTAAACATATAAATACTGGTACAAACGGGCACTAGATACATATATACCATACAAATCTCATTTGATTTGTGTAAAAGCTGTGATACTGCCTGAGTGCCCAAACTGAAACAGTGGTTTTCTTAGGGGACAACACTCGGAGCTTTTGACCTAAAGGTCTGATCCACAAGACAGTGGAGCATCGTAAGGAGATGCAGTCTCATGGTAGCCGGTGACCAACAACAAGTTCATACACCATTTGTTCACTCAGGATACTGGAGCCAGCCTATGTGCACGATTGGTTTGGAATCAGGGTTTTCCAACTCCTATAGATGGATTTTCCATATCCACCAACCCGGTTAAAGCGCTGGATATTCGCTTTTCATGCTCACAATTTCGTAAACAACAGTAATGCCACGAGAAGGCAGTGAGTAGGATTTCCCTGACAGAAGCTATATACGCTTGGCCATATGAGAGCATTTGGAGAGGGAGATCGGACTCTCCCTCACTCTCGGCCGTACCAGGACACTTTGAACTTACTCTGACTACATTAATTTATTATCCGGTATAGTATGATTCACTTTATTGTTCATTTCAAATTCATTATCTCTAATCATTTATTCATTTGTTTATTACATATTCTTATAATATAGACGTTATATGATTAGTCGAATTACATCACATTTAGCTGATTTTACACCACGTTTACATAGTAATATACGTGCTATATATCGATTTATTGGTATGCCAATTATTATTTATCCACAATTAGAAAATGAATTATTTTGTCATAATTATTATTTACGTCATTTATGTGATCTACAACGATTTCCTAATTGGCCAATACGTGATCCGGTAAATTTACAATTTACTACTTATTTGTTGCTTTATTTTTTTTCTTCTGATGTACCTTTTGCTTTGTTGTATGTACTAATTGTCTATGACATATATGGATATTACCGTACATGATTGTTTTCAGTTAGATAATCGTCAAGCTACAATGAACAATAATATTGGTATATATATATATATTTATGAGCGCCCAAATGCCCTGATACAGCCGAGAGTGAAAGAGAGTTCACTCTCCCTCTCGAAATGCTCTCACATGGCCACGTGTATATAACCTCTGCTAAGGAAGTCCTACTCTGCCTTCTCGTGGCATTACTGATTATTACCAAATTGGCAGGACGAAAAGCGAATGTCCGGCGCTATAACCGGGTTGATGGACACGGGCAGTTCACCTAGGAGAGTTGGAAAACCCTGATTCCAAACCAATGGTGTACATGAGCTCCACGATCCTGAGGGAACAAATGGCGAATCAATCAATCGTTGATCACCGGCTACCATGGGACTGCATCTCCTTACGATGCTCCACTGCCTTGTAGATCAGACCTTTAGATCAAATGCTCCGAGTGTTGTCCCCTAAGGAAACCATCTGCTTCGATTTGGGCACCTGGTTAGTATCATAGCCCTCATACAAATCGAATGAGATTTGTGATGCGCATATGTATCTGGTGCCTTTTTGCACCAATATCTATGACTTTCGCTTTTCGTCCTCTCAATTTGGTAAACAACATCGGTGCCACGAGAAGGTAGTGAGTAGGACTTCTCTGGCATAGTAACAACGATAAAACGTGTGTGGAAATATCACTTTGTTATTCTTTGGAAAAATTGGTATTTTAAATTAGATGAGCGTGGAAAAAAATTATAAGTACAATAAATTCATTTAGTATTGTTTGTTTGGATCTTCCCATCGATGTGTTAGGACTGCAACTGGTCAGTCTCTATTGGCATATGTGCATGCTGTATGTATTGCTTCGATATAGCCTTAATTCACAAGCATTGTAAGCAAAGATGGATAGTGACTAGCAGTGGAATTCAGACTGATGCGCGTTTCGTCCTATTTGGGACTTGTCAGCTGGATGTACCTGCATCTCAGACTTGTTGATGTTCACTCTGGGACTGGAACGCCATCGCGTTATGCACTCGGTCACTGAGTCCTTATAGCCACTTGCTTGTGCGATGGGGTGAAGAGACTGATTAGTTGCAGTCCTAACACATCAATCGGAAGATTTAAACAACCAATACTAAATGAATTTAAACTTTACCCCATCGCACAAGCAAGTGGCTATCAGGACTCAGTGGCCGAGTGGATAACGCGATGGCGTTTGAAGGGAAAGGTACTGGGTTCGAGTCCCAGAGTGAACATCAACTTTGGGATGCAGGTACATCCAGCTAGTGACGAGTCCTGCGTAGGACAAAACGTGCGTCAAACTGGATTCTACTGCTAGTCACTATCCATCTTTGCTAATAAGTACAATAGTTTTTTAAGGTCAATTCGGTCAAAGGAAAGATAAGAATGTCACAGATCTTCCATGAATATAAGGACTTAAATTGTTAACTAGTACCCTTATGGTTTCTGTCATATTCAGGAGACAAGAACGAACTCCTTAAAGAAAACTAGTGAGTGTACCATAACGTATCCTAAATTATTTGTTTCTGTCTACTGCATGTCCAATTGTGATAGAACGGTGATGTTTAATGCTTTGGTCGCAATCTTTCCCAAACAAGAAGAGAGGTATTCAAATTATGTTTAGTGGGGCTTGTAGTCTTCCAATGTTTTGATTAAAATGAATCACATATTTGTATTGAATTCATATTTTGTTTTGGAATCCGATCTATTTACTTATGTATATTCTTCAAGAAACTCTTGACTAAACTACTGGGCAAAGAGAATCGATAAATATTATATGCAAAGTTGAAATTCTTAAACATGGAATAATAACTTTTGCATCTCTTTCGTATTTATACGTATCGGAAGTGACACCGGTAGAGAAATGGTGATGATCTCCTTGAATTACTTACTTACTCTTGTTATCCCTCGTGGAGGAGCATAGGCCGCCCACTAGGACAATGTCCGCATTTGTATGCATGATTTCATCATGCGTGCTTTTGCAAGAACATGTATGTAGCTTTTCTGAACTTTTCCAATTTACCACACTTTTCCTTATGTTTAATTTTATTCTTTAGACTTCTTTTTATCATTTTTTAAAATTTTAGGTAGCATTATTACGTGATATATTGAAAACATGGCGTGATGAATTACAAAAGAAACCAGTGAATATGTCTTATGAAGAAGCATTAGGTGAACTTGGATTAGATCCAACTCTGTTAAATTCGTAAGTACATTAAATTACTCCTTTTTTTCAAATGTTTGCTTGATCCACGTTCACTTCTACATAATGAAGGATGTTACGATTCTGTTGATAATCAGTCGGGGATGAGATTTTAAATGTTTAATTTAATTTAAGTATAGTTTTGAACTGATATCAACTGAAATCGAAGATTACAAGATGATGGAATACTATTCCACTTCTTAGTTCTTGATAACTTGCTTCCCCTGTGATCTAAGCATCTATCAGTCGAACCAAAGGAGAAGGATAGTTTGTAGCAGCTCGTTCTGTTCTACTTTATGACAGTGAAACATGTCCTCAAAAAATTGATACTTTTAGACTACTAGTATTTGATCATAGATGACTTCGAAGCACTAAACGATTATTTTCGAGACCACTAAGTGAAGTGAGATATAAGTTGATACGTAAAGATAACAATATGGTCTTAGATATTCGTTGTCTGGGGTGGTTCGTTCATACATTACATATATCAATCCATTGTCTGCCTTGTCGCGCAATTATAGTTAGTGTAGTAGTGAGTTGGAAGAAAGCTAGTAACTCTCAGTCCATGATATTGGATCAATCGATGTGAAACTGAGATGTTTAGACATGTACAAACTACTCGGTTGCTGTCATTGTAATAACTCCAATCAGTGGTTGTATAAGTCCGGTAACATACTTCAAAATAAGTTTTGATGGCACAGTTCAATTCGCTATCCTGATAAGGTTTGAGTGCTTGAATCGTTTAATACCATTTCCAGATTCCGTGTTTCTTATTATTGGCTGACTGGATAATTTAATCCATACGCACTACATCACATGTGATTGAACCGTGTGACATTTAAGTCTCACAATGTGCATCATACCATGTATAACTTATGACTTGTTGCTGGTGAACTTGACCACTTAAATAATCTTATAATTAAATTCAATTAACTTTGGTGTGAAAATGTCGGGACTATATTAGTTGCAAAACTATTAGATTGTTTAATTGTTTCAGTATTACAAGTTAACTAACTATAGTTTAAACCATAACTGACTCGATTCAAAATGCATTCAATCCTATATGTACTCTTGTATGCTCATATTGTTGAAGAATCTCAAATGAAAACGAAACATTTAAGTCTTTGGTGAAGTGTCCCTTCAAAAAAATGGTGTCTGTTTTTAACCCAAATAATATTTGACCAATGTCAACTCATATCATTCTTTTGTTTTCTTGCTCAAATTACTTGGGTTTTATTTTCAAGTTTCAATTCTGATCAATTCATTTTGTTCGTTTTCACACACACACACACACACGCATACACAAATAATGTAGATCAAATGAAGAGTCATTTATTCGACGAGCTTATTATCAGATGTCAATGAAATATCATCCAGATAAGAATCCAAATGGTCGAGTAAGTAATTCTAATTGATCAGTAGTGAATGTGTTTCATTCGAAGATAGTTTTATATATTTCTTAGGTTGTTTAATGTAAACGAACATGAATTTTATTAGAGGGAAATGATAATTATTAGTATTTAATGCACAAGTCCATGAAGTCAGTGACAAGTGGACTTAGCCATGTTGGTAGGTGTAGACTACCTGGTTTGGATTCGCGAGATGATAGCAATCGATGGTTAGAGACCTTGAATGACATGGCTCAAAATCGTTCGTAATGGCGAACGTGTATGCACGTTTTGCGTTTTACCGAATTCTAACCTTCTAAATTCTTCATGTCTCTATCCTTTTTTCTCTTTTCGAAATGTATTCCACTGGATTATACTCCTTGAATAACATCGTCAAACCCTTATATTTCACATAATACTTATACTCTTACTACTCATACCACTATGTGATTTGAATGGACAACTACGTTAATGTGGTAGGGCAACTCGAACTGATGTACATACGTACGAAGTTCTACGTTGTGACTGACTGACTGAATTTACTCATACTAAGTTTGTTTTTGTCAACTTTATAATACATTGAGTCAGCCGCAATATAGAACTCGGTACGTATGTACATCGGCTCAGTCAGTCAGTCAGCTACAACGTAGGAACAGGCAAATATATGCATCGGTCCAAGTTACCATATCTCGTTACAATAAAGCCTATAATTTATGAAATGTAAATTATGTCGTGTAAATATTAACATTGATCATTTCAATTTTCTTCACTTTTCGTTGTTGTTCTTTTCTTAGGAGAAATTTCAATCATTAACCAAAGCTTATCAATTTCTATGTAATCGTAGTAAATTATCACGTGGTCCAAATCGTCTACATATTCAATTAATGCTTAGAGCTCAAAGTATTGTGTATAAACGTTATCGTTCTTGTAAGATTCTCTTCTTCTGTTTTTTGTATTGAGTCGTTGAAGTTTTTATTTTATTGAATCTCCTACCTCTATTGTTGTATGAATTTGAATGTAAACTATAGATAAGTTTTGATTGATCTATTTCAAATTTTAATGTTTTTACACTTTTGTAAATAGTTTATCATTTAATCCCTTACTTTGATGGACAGTACCAGTTGAAGGATAGCTATAGAGTGATCAAACTAAAATGTAGAATTAGTCTATGTAAGTGGATGTAATCTACTTGGTTGAGGTTCATTTGATAACCATAGTCTCGGTGGTTGGGTACTTTAAGTGAAAGTCCGGAAAATCAGTCGTACTGTAGTAAACGATAAAAAAAATTACAGATTATCTTGGTAAAATAGAAGAACTATACATTAACTAATACATTTGACAATCTCAATACTCATCATTTCTTCACTGATTTTACTCTCCATTTACATTCTCATTCTCTTCAATTCGATCTTCACAACCTTTTGTTTCTAGGCTTCCCACTTCTGATTAGTGTTACGTACTACTCATGTTTGCCGACATGAGTAACATACACCACTGTACTAATTTCAATTATAAGATTATTATATTCGTTCTGTTTACACTTTTTATGTACTATGATTGATACCCCTATGATTCTGATTCGTTCAATAGTTTCATTGTGATGTTCTGATGTGTCGTATCAACCTAGCCAAATGTACGTAAATTTCGTGTTAACCATATACTTATCGATTTAAATTGGGTTAGTGAATAACGGAATTAAATAAGTCAAATACGAAAACGATATTTGAATACGTACATTTCATTATCTTATTAATCCGAACAGACAGTCCGAGAAACAGAGCGGAGGAAGCGAAACAAAACTACGTGCAGTGAAGAGGTCGAGTGAGCCAACTCTATTTAATCAGGCTTGCCTCAATATTTATGTTCAGACAAAAATAAATTACAGACACATAATGAATATATTAAGCAATTAACACACGCGGTCATTTAAAAAATGATCTCTAGATCTACACCAACAAGCATTTTCCAACGACTGACACTATCATCTGTCACATGCTCACATCGACAGTCAAGCACAAAATGTTCGGTGACATATTGATTAGTCGTGCCACTTGCAGTATGTCCACAATACTTACAGTTTGGTCAATCTGGAAGTAATAATCATTCAGTACATTATTATTTTAATCCATCTCATCATGATGATAATTCCTCTGTTTTTATATTTTCATTCATTGTATATAATATAGTACTTATTTCAGAGAAATACGCTGGTTATCCAATGCTTGTAGCGACTATACTCGCTGAAATATCCGATGATAAGTTATTCTCATATGGAGCACAAACATCTGATGATCAAACTGACAATAATGACACTACTACTAATAATAATTCACAGTCTTCAGCATCAAATAACAAAAATAAATCCAATGAAACTGTAGAAAATGCTGTACTACTCGTTGCTGCAACGGAATTAACTTATGAAACTGTAGTTACTAGTGTATTGAATGCAGAAGAATTACGCCGTGAAAATGGTATACCAGTGTTACAAAAAGCATTTTCACAATGTTCTAATTTCTTATCACGTACATCAAGTCGACCTGGACATATTGTAGTTGAAGTATGCGGACATATTGTATCAGTGTTAGCGGCTGCATCTCTATTTCCTTCTTCACGTCAATGTATTCAAGAGACACCACAATTGTTGAAAGATACATTAAGATTATTGTATTATAAAGTGAGTTTTTTCCCCCGAATTTTAGTTTCGTCTAAGATTAACCGATCAATGTCTAAGGGATGTTAAACAACTGTCCTATGATACGATTCCCCAGCTGTACAACTAATAGCTTCACACTAGACTGGATCCAAATATTTCTAGTTTTCATAACAAGGTCTATAGTCGTTTGATCACAACAATCCATTACTACTGATCATTAGCTTTCATAGTAAGATGATGTTGATTTTACATTTGAGCATAAGAACTCGTTCATTGTTAATAAGTTCAACTTTGAATCTGAGTCTTTGGTAAAGGAATTCGAATCATATCTAAAGATACTGTTTCATTGGTGCTTATATTAAAAAAAATGATTTTTCTTTATTAACCATTTACAAAAATCAAGTTAAAATTTAATATAGATATTTGTATTAGAAGGAGGTTCTTGTTGAGATTTTATTAATTTTATAGTTGAAACCATCAGTCAATTGAAGCTAAAAGCTCAATTTCGTGGATTGGTTGAAGTTAGACATTAACGTCGTTAGATGACGGCTCAATGGTTCTAGAGGTTAAGCGCTCGCGTGCGAGACTGAGTTCGAATCTCGCGAGGCGGGATCGTGGGTGCGTCCTGCTGAGGAGTCCCACAATAGGACGAAACGACCTTCCAGTGTTTCCAGGTTTTCCATGGTGGTCTAGCTTCAATTGACTCATGACTTCAACTATAGATACTAATGTATCAACACAATTCTTTACACCATTACGTCATCCATACAGTTGAACAAAATAAGGATAACATTCATTATTTCTTCCTTCCTTTTTTTAAAAATGGTTCTCTTTTCTTTATTATTAATTTGTACTGCTTTTTTCTTCACAGAATTTACCGAAACTTTGTTGTTTAACTGCAACTTGTGTAGCATCATTCTGTATTGATTATTGGCTATGTGTAACATGTTATGAATATGGTGGATTATTTCTTCTACTTCAACATGTATTGAGCTACGATTTCACATTAGAAGAAGCTGGTGTTGAAATTAACGAAGAAACTAATTCACAAGTAAATTAATTATTAAATTGTTTTGATTTTATTACTGTCATATTTACCTAATTAATATTCGGTGATATCGAAACTATGCGCAAGTTTGTAAACAAAGATGGATAGTAGTTAGCAATAGAATCCAATTTGACGCGCGTTTTTTCTTTTTTGGGACTCGTCAGCTGTATGTCCCAAATAGGACGAAACACGCATCCTGTATTCCACTGCTAGCCACTATCCATCTTTGCTTACCACACTTGTGAATTTAGGTTATTTCGATGCAATACGCACAATATGCACATATGCCAAATAGAGACTGACCAGTTGCAGTCCTAAACATCAATGGAAAGATACAAACAAATAATACTAAGTGAATTTATGCGTAAGTTTGTTGTACAACCGATGTTTTGTAACTTAAATTTTCAAGCTTCGTTCGAAATACATGTTAGCTGTTTTTACTTTCCGATCGATGTCATCACGGAAGGAAATATCTTGTCGACTTGAAATTGTGATTATATAGACTATAGGGTTGACTCTTTAAAGCTGATGGCGCACGAATATTTTATGAGGTTTTCTCGGTGTGTTATCTTTTAGATCATACCCTGTTTGCACGTGAAATGTGCAATATTTAGGGTTAATCACTGTTAATACCTTTTCTATTGTGAAGACAGTGTAGTTGTAAATGATGTTTAGCAGTAGGACTCACCTTACTGCCATCACTCGTCATTATAAATAACAACACCTTTTTGTCTTCAAAACAAACAGTTAATTTAAAGGGAACAAAATTACTCAACCGTAGTTCAGCTTTCCCATCGTGTTGACTCATTAGTCGAGCTATATTACTCGGAATACTTGTTCTTTTAGATCCTCTCACCCCCAGATAGTTCGGTTGGTGAGCGATAAGCCTAAAAGAGCAGTTGCTTAAGGTGCTAAAACTAAGTCACACTGCTGACTGTGAAGGGGTGTAACGGCTTTTACCTCAGACAATCTATGACGATGCTGCCGTCTCACAACGGAAAAAATGCTGCAACTCACCTGATCCCACGAATTTCCGTCTCCGAAGGTAACGATTTTAAAGTACTAAGCTAAAACATCAAAAGTCCCTAGGTTTTGCTTTCACTCTCCTTGTTCACTAAGACCACCACTAACACATTTTCCTTTTCGGGACCCTGAAGAAGAGAGAAGATGAAAAATACTATTCAAGTAGAAGATCTTGACAGCCAACTCATAACATATTAGATGATTATACTATATTCCCCCTTAAGTCTTCTGTGAAACAACAGAATAAGTTGTACAATACGAAGAGTATTTTTATAATAAAGTTGAAAAAAAGTCACTTTATTATTAATATTTTGTAATTTTCCGTTATGGACATTAAAGATTGCAAGTGGTCAGTCTGTGTATCAACATTGGACAATTACGAACTCTTACTAATACCTCTTTCCTCCCCCCCCGTTAAATAAGCTAGTGGAATGGATCGATATTTCAAATGGAAACGTATTGGGTTTGTATCACACTATGTTGAATATTGACACTAGGATTTAGATACATTAAACTAACGAGTGTCAGTTAGGACAAAACTCGAGTACAACAGTTTTCATTGTGTCACATATCAAATAAAAAGTAACTATCATTTCTTGTTTTTTTTTCTGTCTAGGTTTTAGCAAATCGTTTAGCTTTATTATCATTATGGGCTATTGGTCGAATGGTTAATGGTTATGCAACTGGTCGTGAAGTAACAGAAGATGGTTATCTAATGCGTGAAGGACCAGATGTTATGGAAGCGTTAAGTCGTTTATTAACACCACATTTAGCTAGAAAAATTCTTGAATTAAATATATATGATTCAAGTCAAATTGGTCGATTAAGTAATGGTAATAATGATTCACAAATTTTACATGATTTCCCATTGGATACATCTAGGGGGAAGTATTTACGTTCATTGGCTAAATTATTAACTACGAATTCTGTAACACCATATTTAATATGGGATAATCGTTGTAGAGCAGAATTGGAAACGCTGATTGATCTACAAGTTGTGCGTTTAATTAAAACTGTAAGTATTCTCTCTGTTCAATATTATTATCTGTATTCTGAAGTAGACGATTTACTAGGTCAGTCAGTCAGTCAGTCACAACGTGGAACTTCGTACGTACGTACATCAGTTCGAATTGCCATACCACATTAGCATAGAAATTCAGTTATCGATTCAAATCCCATAGTGGTAGAAGTAGTAAAAGTATAAGAAGTAATCCGAAAGATTTGGGTTTGAAGATGTTATTGAAGGACTATAATCCAGCGAAATAAATTTGGAAAGAGAAAAAAGATAGAGACATGAAGAATTCAGAAGACTAGAATTCGGTAGAACACAAAGAGTGGATGCACCTTTGCCATTGCAAACGATTTTGAGCCATGTCATTCAAGATCTCTAACCGTCAGTTACTATCATCTCGCCAATTCCAACCAGTTAGTCTACACCTACCAACATGGCTCAGTCCAGTTATCATCGACTTCATGGATTTGTGCCACGTTTTGGTCTGACCGCCCCTAGCTTTCTTCCGACCTCCTCCTACACCATAAAACATTGCACGTCGGGGCAGTCGGTTGTTGGGCATACGTAACACGTGTCCCAGCCATCTCAACTGACGAAGTTTCACTACTTCATCAATCGATTTGCCATCCTTACCTAGTACCCGTTTCCTAACAACTGTATTACTTACCCGGTGGTCCCAGGATATACGAGCAATGCTTCGAAGACACCTATGATCGAATACTAGTAGCCTATGCATATCCTCTACTCTTACCGACCATGTTTTTCTTTCCATAAAGTAGGACGGAACGAACTGCTGCACAGTAAACCCGTCTTTTGGTTGCTAGATGAATATCTCGCCTACTCCATAAATGAAACAAGTTGGCGAAAGTTAGATGAGCCTTTTGTATCCGATTTCGTCACACACTAGACCAAAAGGGCCTATGTGACTTCCAAGATAAGTGAAGCGGACAACGTAGGACCAGGCACATGTTGATATTTCTTGGACCTTATACACGTAGAATTCGACAATAAACATTGAGAAACTTATTTATTGACTTTTTTCCATCCCACGAAAGTCGGTTAGTAAGTGATCTGAGGGCAAATTCTTAATGTTAGATGTTTTAATAGTGTGTTGTGATAGTAAAATATTCCCTGTGAATGATCAGAATTCTCATCGATGCATTTTATCATAAACAGAAAGTAAGGTTAAAAACGTTTTTTTTCCAAAATATCTCACTTCCGTTGATGGAAATTTTTTCCGGTACCAATGGTAAACTTCAAAACAACGAAAATTGCTGATAAATCTTCTGACTGAACTCTTGAATCGGTTTCCTAAGCTCTTCTGGTGACCCTAGACTCGATCTACAGGACACATTGAACGCGAGAGAAAAAGCACGAAATTTGGAACGAACACTTTACTCTAAAGTTGATTTATATACAGAAAATCGTGAGTATTCGTCTCGTTTCAGAGTGCCTTTGACTTCTTGAATTTTCTGGAACCCTACTAACCATAGTAGCATGGAGGTGATCATCCAATCAGAAATATGACCTGTAACTTCACTTTCTAGATGTTTCTGAGGAACTTCTATTTAGTGCTAATTGGACAAAGTGTTTTCAGAGCCCCACTTATCTTTCTCTTAAGGAATATTCTGGATCTCCCTAGCACTTACACTATGAAAATAATTGAACACAAGAAAGGTAAATAGTGGCTAGCAGTGGAATCCAGGACGAGCGTTTCGTCCTATTTGGGACTCGTCAGATGGATGTAGCTGCATCTCAGACTTGTTAATGTTCACTCAGGGACTCGAACCCAGTACCTTTCGCTTCAAACGCCATCGTGTTATCCACTCAGCTATTGGGTCCCGATAGCCACTTGCTTGTGCAAGCAATTTCTCTATCTCAAAGTTCTAATGAAATCAATGAAAACACCAAACAGATTTATCAAATTTCATTTTTTAACTTATTTGAAAATCTTGTTATGGAATGAAGAATATTTGTCGTTGAAGAGAACTATTTTTGTGATTTACTATTGTCTTAACTCCTATTTTTATTTTCCACAACACAGTGTTTATCTGATTGATTGTGGGACAATAACAAAAATTTTATAACTAAATTCATTCAGTTAAAATTACACAATATAAATCAGTCAAAAAAAAGGAGGACACTACTCTACAGTTCAGCCTATTCTACTCTATCTGTGAAATGTGACAGTTTCGTAGCAGTGCTGGTGTTTATTTATAGCTTGAGCCCGTCTATAAGAGTACAGTGAATTATCGATCGGACCAATGGCACACGAAACCCGTACGAGCAGTCTAGAGTCTCTATCGGTCCTGTTTTCTGCCTAGCCCAGCCAGTTTAGTCCAGAACACCAATAACAGCCTCTGCAATATGAATCATTGTATTTCAAACATACCGAGTTTATATACCAGACAGACAAACCACATCGTGCCATAAAACAGACAATAACATTTGTACAGGAATCAGCTAAATGTAGCTGTGAATAAGGGAGATATTAAATGATAGACAGGGCATAATTCAAAAATGGTAAATCATATAACAATAGTTTATAGGTCAAAACAAATCTTGTAGTAAGAGGAACGTGAATATGAATAGTTTAGTTGTTTAACGATTATCATTTCATATTCATTCATTTACGCCTGTTACTCCCAATGAAGCATAGGCCGCCGACCAGCATTCTCCAACCCACTCTGTCCTGGGCCTTCTTTTCTAGTTGTTTAACGATTATACGATGAAAATATGCACATAGTATTGGCCTATAAATAGTTACCAAAATTTACCATTCATAATTGTCTTCGGGATATAACAGATACTACTGAGTTTAGATGCAGAGTACTAGGTAAGGATGGCAAATCGGTTGATTAAATGATGAATCTTCATCGACTGAGTTGATTAGAAACGTGTGTTACGTTTGCTTAATCACTGTCTTCCCGGATGCGCAATCATTACTGATATAAGATTGAGTTGTAAGAAAGTGAGAGTTTGGAAAATCAAAACGTATCATCAACTGATTAACTCATAAGCCACTCCGGAGTTCAAGTGCATAGCAACTCTGGCATACAGGTAGATCTATCTAACAAGATCCAAATAGGACGAAATGACGTTCAGGTCACTTTTTATCTATTCAATGTAAAGTAACCTTTATCTAATCATTTTGTTTCATTACTTAACCATTCCCTTTTATTTATCTTTTCATATTCTTATTTGGTGATAATCATTAGGGTGAATGTAATTTAAACTCTGTACTATCATTTACTCATGAATCATATGCTCAAGAATTATTAATTGGTGAAGTGTTTGTCAGATTATATAATAAACAACCAGCTTATACATTGGATGTAAGTAAAAGTTTTTAATCTACCTTTTTTGTTATTGTTAATAATTACAAATTTTTAATCATAAGGGGGTTTTGTGGAGATTTCAGTATTTTTCAAAGTTGAAATCATGAGTCAATTGAAGCTAGACCACCATAGAAAATTGAGAAGCACTGGATGGTCGTTTCGTTCTTTTATGGGACTCCTCAGCAGTGCGCATCTACGATCCTGCACTCGCGAGATTTGAACTCAGGACCTACCAGTCTCGCGCCAGAGCACTTAACCGATGCAAATTTTTTATATAACTGTGTTAATATAGAGGCTTTTGTGTTAATTAATGGTAGGTTAACCATGTTAAGAATATCGTAGTTATCTATCAATGGCATTAAATGTTAGTTGCGTAATATCACGAGTTGTTTGAAGTTAGAAATCTAAACCAGTTAACGTCAATTTAGTGATTTAAGGGTATAACGCTCTCTAAGAAACCTAATGGTATAAGTTTTGATTACTAATGTGGTCGTGAATGCGGAGTGACAAGAAATCTCATACTATGAAGAAACAGCTACCCAACATTTTCTAGTTTTTAATGACCTTTTGAACGATGATATATTTATAATGTATTTGAGCCCAAATAATCACTTGTTAAGTAGTATATTCACGATATTTTAAGGACAATCTATGACTTATGAAATCCAATCATGTTAGGAAGGAGACTGTTATCCATTAATATATAATGAAATGGTTATCTTTCCAGATCTTCATCGAGTGTGAAAACATAGTCTATCTGATCGTAGCTTCATTGTTTGAAATATATCATTCTTCTCGTATGTTCGATTACATTCTGAAAGAAGTCTCTTATACGATAATCAAAAAGCTGTTTTGCAATGTTTTTTTGGATTGAAAATGAGTTTTATGCTCTCTGGTATTGTAGAGTGAATAGATAAGGAAGTATAACCAGTGGAACTAATGTACAGATTAGTATTATTGATAGTTTTACTGTATAGTTATTAGATAAATGTATTTTTCTAACTATCTTATCACCTTGATACAAGCTCTCAATAGACCTACTGATTATTGTTATGCGTTTTACTATTCCTCAACTATTGCTGAGGAATTGTTACTGTTTACTTCGTTCTCTGCCAGTCGTAGTGTGATTGTATCCAAAGTATGAATTCAGATTTACGGAGCGTCTGATAATGAATGTATTTAAGTTAATGAGTGTTTAAGTAGATATTATGCTGAGTGGTTGAAGTATGATCATAGATGTCTAGCTTACTGTACTTTGCTTTGAAACTGAAAGATGGAGATTAGTGGATGAACACTACTCAAGGTTACTTTAGCCTCAGCTCAAGGTTAATCGTATTGGTCGGAACGTATTATTCACAAAGGCTTAGGATGCCAGACTATAAATGGAATATCGTACACGATTTAGTGAAATTTAAATCGGAATTCTGATTGGAGAATCTACTGAGCGATTTCCATTAACTTCTCAGCCATAACACCATTGTCAGATTGTACCAATTCATGAGAGAATATTTGATATCTTTTTTGTACTCAGTTTTCCAAGTAAAATTAACCCCATAACTAGTTTCGAACACAGATTGACAGATGGTTCTGGGAAATTCTTGTTTTATGATCAGATTACTTATCAGTAATCAGCGTTTATCTTCCTTTTATTGTACGTCATTGGTTAACTTAATTGTAGACAAACTAATAAGAATTAGTTGAAAACTCATTTTACTTGGATAATTTTTTTAGCCTTTCATTTTACATTTGACCGCTTTGTGAGTGACTGTTTATCACCTTTGGCGTAAACCTAAATTTAACGAATTATATTTCATTGAAATCATGAACCGATCCGATATTAGACAACCACTGAAAACATGGAAGCACTAAACGACCGTTTCATCCTATAATGAGACTCCTCAACTGCACTCGACTACGACTCTGCACGCGGAATCGAACTTAAAATTTCCGATCTTTCGTGCGAACGTTCAGCCTCTAGAACACTGAGCTTGCATTCATTGTTGTCAATATCTAATTTCAATCAACCCATTATATCACACGACTATTTTCAACGGTCTTCGGTGTGTAAAACTGCCTCACACCCAAAATGGTTCACCTTCACTAGTCACGGCTTTTGACTACGAATCCTGGGTTCAATTCTTAGATTCATGGTCGTGGATACTCATTAGTGAGAAGTCCCATACTAGGATAAAACGGCTGTTCAGTGCATGGAGGTTTTCAACGGTGGTCTAACTTAAAACGGTTCATGATTTCAATGAAATTCAACAATCTTTACAACCACATATATATATATATATATATATATATATATATCCGAGTACTTAAAATAGTCTTCAGACTCAAATATATCTCAGATGCGTCATTCTAACAGTTTCTACAAAAGCAATGAGTTTTTGGTTTGTACAACTTGATTACACCAATGAATTGCTTATTAGATTTTTTCCTTTTAGTTTACAAGATCAGTAATCAGACAAATTAGTTTCAGCTCTTAATTCGAGCCTCTGAAGAAACATTTCTTTAGGTATTACAGGTGACTTGTAGCAGCGACCTTAAGCTTTATAAGAAAGGAATTATGTAGACAAAGGAATTTAGAAGTAAGGAACATAAAGACAACGCTTCTCCTGACCAACACTTTCAAAACTTTTAAAAAGTTTAGGAAACAACTGATTATGTTTTCATTACCGTTGGCAATTTGTAGTCTATTTTCTAAAAGCTATTTAAATCTAAGAGTTACACACATGATCTTACAAATACTCCTGTTTTTCTTTCTATGAAAAGTCGTCTTCTGAGTAAAACTCCTTCTATACGTATAAAAGAAATCCGAGGTTGTAGGGGATCGATTACGAATTCAATGTTTAATCCCGTACAACTACATACCATAACATATCTATAAACTGTTCTAAAGATAGATAATTTAATTGATCTTTACTTCCTGTTTTTCTTACATTGAATTAATTCATCAGGATCCTAAAGGTTTCATCATTGATCTATTTCAATTTCTTACAAATGAATTACAAAATCTTAATTCAGAGAAAGTTTATGACACTAATCATCAATTAAGTCGAACAAATCGAGTTGATTCAGAATTACAATTTATTAATAATATGAAGGAACAACAGAATGATGATGGAGATGATGATTATCTATCCGTAGATGATACAGTCAATTTAGATGATGAAATTGATTGGGGCGTTGAAGCGAATAATATTACAAATCAATGTGTAACAAATGTTAGTTCAGCTTTAGAAGCATTAACTAATGTTATACGTCATAATACTGGTAAGTAGTTATTATCATCGTGTGTGTGTGTGTGCATGTTAAGTGAGTAGTTTCTGTTACTTTGGCTCGGTGGTCGGGCATACACTGTTGAGCTAGCTATATTGACTAAAACACTAGTTCTTTTTACGTTTTACCATACCCCAAGAATGAAAGGTCATGCAGTCCTCGTAGGTAAATGTGATAATTATGAATAAGTACTTTTCGTATCTTATTTTCAGCCTGGAAGCAAAAGACACCTTTCATAAGTTATACTATTCCTTTAGACTAGTCTTATACAGTATTCAGTGACCATCATCCATTATGTGTAAATAATGTTTGTCACACTCTCGTCATCATCATCATCGGACTCTGATTTCAGTTTTAAAAAAAATTGTACTCAACTGGACTCAGGACAAGATATTTATAGGTTCAGATTATTATTGAGGAACCCTGAACTCGGATGAAAGCGACGCTGAATTACATACTACTTTTTAGTTTTCAAAATAACTTCAATAGTTAATTAGTTCTGATCGTTGTTATTGACAAGTCGTCTGTTTATTCGATCTGCTCAAATGTTTGATGAATCTATTTTCCAACCTTGAAAAAATTGGTATTATCCTTTCTGGTTTAAATTTATTTGAGGTAAATAGTTAGGAGTTCTCTAATCTAAGATTTACATACTATCGCGATATTAAACGCTGGTAACCCCAACTGAGTACTCTACAGTTCGTATGTTTTTCTCATCTATTCTTTGTAAAATTAGGAGATGGTTATATTGGAATTGATACATCTTACACATATCTTAAGGGGTTTTGGAGGGATTTCAGTATTTCCATAGTTGAAATCAGGAGTCAATTTAAGCTAGACCACCATGGAACACCAGGAAGCACTAGACGGTCGTTTCGTCCTTTTATGGGACCCCTCAACAATGCGTATCCACGATCCCTTCTATCGGTTAAGTGCTCTGGCGCGAGACTTGTAGGTCCTGGGTTCAAATCTCGCGAGGCGTGATCGGGGATGCGCACTGCTGAGGAGTCCCATAATAGGACGAAACGGCCTTCCCAATTTTCTATGGTGGTCTAGCTTCAATTGACTCATGATTTCAACTATGAAAATTACACATATCTATTTTACGGGTAAAAAAGGAATAGGTTCAACAGCTAAAGTGATCCAGAGCTTTTGTGAGTGAGTTCGGGTAACAGAAACTGACTATTGGAAAGCATTCATAAAATATACTTTTAAATATTTACAATTTGAATGCAGACTTTAGAAATCGGCCACAATGTCGGTACAATCAGTGCTGAGTACTTCTTACTAGAACAAAATGTTTGGTATTGAATGAAGTCTCTATTATTACTATCATTAGTAGTGTATCGGAAATTTTGTGAAAAATAATCTAATCACACTAGTGGGTATATTCCAGCTTGAACGATAGAATTCAATCAACATTTAAAGACTCAGATAACACAACTTCGGTCACTACTCAATAAACACTCAATCAGGAACATCTCCGTTTTATAGGAGGTTAGTCGCCACCTGAATAGCTCAGAGGTAACATCTCAAACTCTGAAGCTATGCTAAGCTGTTTCGAATCCAACCGAGAGTATTACTTCCCTCAAGACTACAGATACACTGTATTAATAAGTACCGACTATAAAAGGAAATCTAGGTCAATATGCAGAGTTTTATGTCGATCACTATCAATCATTGAACAGTACATCCTATTGTAAGTCACGTCGACCAGTGACTGATTTGTAGCTTGATCCATAGAATTTGATCAGTACTAGTGGACCAGAGAAACATGGCACCGACCATACCAATTCTATGCATGTATTTTTGTGAAAAAACCCTCTCAATCCTTAACATCAGTGTTTTTGCATTGTTGTTTAAGTGTGTATTTTATTTGTTCATTGTTTTCTTGTTTAATCAATATTTTTGCTCCTTTAATCTGTTTCTTTTCTATCATTTCTTTTATGTTCCTATTTGAAATCAGGTTTAGAAATTCAATGTATTGGACATTTCCCCTTACTATTCTCTATACTTGATTTACATGATCATCCTGAAGTTCAACTACGGGCGTTAGATGTAAGTATTATTTATTATTACTATTATTATGATATACAAATTCGGTATATATCAACGTTAATTATTCTTTACGGACTTTCAGAGCGTCGTGGTATCTTTTTAAAACCAGGAAGCACTAAGTATCTGTCCTATCCTAGTGTAGAACTCGTCATAAGTTACAGCACTTGTTGCCCCGCCGAAAATCGGACTTTGAACTTCTAGGTCTCCTGGTGAGCGCTAAACTGTTAGTCTATTAAAATGATATCTGTTAGAGCAGACTTTCGAATTCTATTCATTTGTTTTATAGAATGAAGATCATCTAATATTGTTGGTTACAATTCTCATTTCTAACGTAACTGAGGTGCATCAGTCACAATAATACACCTCCGTATATCGTATTTTTAACTAATCCAACCCCTGGTGTTTTAATAAGAAGATGTAATTAGTGAATTTTAACCCAGGTTAGGTATGAGACAAATATCCACCTCAGGCAGTGGATGAAAGTTACACTGTAGCATCAATTGATTAAAGTTAGACATTAACATTGTTTCATCCCAGCTCTGTTGTGTATATGTTAGGCGTTGTCACGCATGACTAGAGGTCCTAGATTCGGTACTTCTCAATAGCTGATTTGGGAATAAAATACTTCTCATCATGTAGCTATCTAGTGGCTTTAATGTTAATCTGACTGATATGGTTAAGTGATGGATACCATCTACCCTCCTTATACTCACCGACTTCAATCTGTACAGTTAAGTTGCAGTATCATCAGTCTTTACAAATAACTAACTGTTATTCAAAGCCGATTACATAAAACCTTGTCTCAAATCCTGAAGGATGACCTACTCTCCTTCACGTGGGTTAACAGGTGCAAGTAAGTAAAAGAGATAGTGATTTGTATTGGACACAGAAAAGTAAATTACCTTTCCCACTAAGTCGTTTTACAAGCGTTAAACAATATGTTTCTGTGATGTATATTAAATACAGTACTTGTGCGGTATCTCATTTAAATCGATGATATAAATTATTTATTTCATAGGTTATTCAGGCTGTTTCTACAAATCCACAATGTCTTGAAGATATGGCTGCATCTCATTTATTAACTTCATTAGTTATGTTGTTCTTTGTTCTTCCAAGAGGTATGTTATAGTTGTTAACCAAATTGGTTTAACATTATTGTTATACTTTTGTATGTCTTTTTCTTCTTCGTAACTAATCATTTTTCATAATGGCCATTAAATTCTGATGAATGTATTACCTTTGCACATTATACCCTACTATACTCGGTCTAACTCATAATCCGCCACCGAATGCTCTGGTACGGCCGAGAGTGGGAAGAGTTTGCTATCTTTCTCGAAATGCTCTCACATGGCCACGTGTATATAGCCTCTGTCAAGGAAGTCCTACTCACTGCCTTGTCGTGGCAGGGGTGTTGTTTATGAAGTTGAGAGGACGAAAAGCGAGTGCCCGGCAGGAGCTTTAACCCGGTTGGTGGACACTGCGAGTTCACTTAGGGGAGTTGGAAAACCCTGATTCCAAACCAATTGTGTGCATGGGCTCCAATATCCTGAGGGAACAAATGGCGTATGAATCAATCGTTGGTCACCGGCTACCATGGGACTGATCTCCTTACGATACTCCACTGCCTTGGGGATTAGATCTTAAGGTCAAAGGCTGGGGTGTGGACCCCTAATGAAACCACCTGCCTCAGTTTGAGCACCTGAGCAGTATCACAGCCCTCACACAAATCAAATGAGATTTGTGTACCACATACATATCTGATTCCCTCTTGTACCAATATTTATGTGTTCAAATAAAATAAAATAAATCAAAACACATAATCCATGCGTTTACTAGTCGAATAATCCAACGGATTCAAATGAACAAGATAAATTTATGTGACAAACTGTACTACAGAAAAACATTCACAATCAGACTATGATAGTGGATGATAGCATATTGGTGTTAAGTAGTATTTAGTACCCCTACCTACACTCTTGCATGCATCTGACTTACTGTATTGTGCTCTTGAAACATTATCTGACTTGACTAGATATTTACTATGCATTGCATTTTATCAATTCGTTCACTAATAGGAAATCATCAATCATATTTACATCAAGTAATCAGTATTATTTAAGATCTAGTTATTCTGTAGTACATGTGAACTCGATGGAGGAACCAATATATCATTCGGTGGAAAATTACAGAGTTCTTTCTTTCTTCAAATGTGAAAAACCACACATTAAATACTCCATTTGCAAATCTTTAATCAATTGTCTCAAACTCCATCGTTCCTTCATTGTTATTACAATTATCCCCTCTTTAACTTCCCGTTCTCTTCAATTCAATCTTTTCAACCTTCTGCTGCCAAACATTCCACTTCTGCCTGGTGTTACGTACTATTTATATCTACCTACATAAGATGCATACACCACGAATCCATCAGCTTATTAATTTTGACTGATGGTATAGAAATCTATTCATCATTGAACTTCAACAATGACAAACTCTTTCTTGCAGACTCTTTTTTTTAATGAATACTCATAAAGAAAACAACAAACGCATATCTTCTAAACATTGCCAGATATAAGATGGTGGTTGGAGTTGGTCAACAAGAAACCATGGACATGGGTTTCGTGCTACTTGGCACTCATCAGAAAGGTGTACCTGTAATCTTGAGGGAACTGATGCTCTCTGACGGATTCGATCCCGTGTCACTCAGCTTCAATTGTGATTGGCAGATATATATATTTGTAGAGTATCTAAGAATGCCAGGCGTTGGACACTGATGTTTCATGAACAAAGAAAACCGATACTTACGGGTCAACAAAAAAATCGTATTTTTTCTTCGAGAACAGAAGTAGACTATCATAAAATTACTAAACTGAAAAGAGTTATTTAGAAAGGATGTCTAAGTAGTACACATTTGTAAAGTAGATCATCAAAAACTAGTGTCATAGGCTCAGCTAATTCAATTCATTACACTTACTGAAGTATTCATTACTTATCTACCTACTGTTTATTCTAATTGCTATAGTTATCATTTAAATATGCTTTGTTTATAGTTGTCAATGTAAAGCGAAGTCTAGGATTAGAGTTCCTTTTCGATTGGTACGATAGAATAAATAAACTCATTTTAAATATGTTTCACAGATGTGAATTATTTTTTTACTTCCGACATATTTGTTTGTTTCTGGTACCGTTAAGTTCTTTGAAATAGATGCTTTGTTTAGATCACAAACCAACCTTAGACAACCATTGAAAACTTGGAAGTACTGAATAGTCGTTCTGTCCTTGTATGGACCTCTTCCACGTTGTGTATGTATTTATTTTATTTATTTAAACAAATAAATATTGATACAAGGAAGCACCAGATATATATGCGCCACACAAATCTCATTTGATTTGTGTGAGGGCTGAGATACTACCAAGGCGCCCAAACTAATGCAGGTGGTTTCATTAGGGGACCACACCTGGAGCTTTTGACCTGAAGATCTGATCCACAAGGCAGTGGAGCATCGTCAGGAGATGCAGTCTCATGGTAACCGGTGACCAACAATTTGTTCATACGCCTTTTGTTCCTTCAGGATGCTGGAGCCCATGTGCACCATTGGTTTTGAATCAGGGTTTTCCAACTCTCCTAAGTGGATTCGCAGTGTCCATCAACCCGGTTAAAGCACCGCATATTAACTTTTCGTCCTCTTTATTTCGTAAACAACAGTAAAGCTACGAGAATGCAGCGAGTAGGACTTCCCTGGTAGAGGCTATATACGCGTTGCCATGTGAGAGCATTTGAAGAGGAAGAGCAGACTCTCACTCTCGGCTATAACAGGACATTTGGGGGCGGTGTATCTATGATCCCACTTGATGGTTTAATCAAAATATTTTTACTTGTCATTTTGTATAAAATCATCAGCGCTTACGTCTACTTCCAAAACAGTCGTTCAGTCATTTACAAAGTAGGATCAGGCACATACATACATCGGTCCAAGTTGCCATAACCTCATTAGCATAATAAAAATGAACACTTCCAGAATAATAATAAAAGCTTCATAATTAGATTATTTATCTCCGAGAACTAAACAATATCTAAGCTACTGAATCCTCCCTATCAAATTTAATCTCATCATCTTATTTATTTTCTATAATAGCTCATCTTGTACTTATACAAACTATGGAACATTTGATTTCTTCATCATTATTACTAAAAGAATTTATTTATGCTGGTGGTTTAATTTATCTAATGAGTATAATGTGTCAATCATCACAACAACAAGTACGTCAAGCAACTGTAGATTTAATATCACATTGTTTAATTAATAAACAATTTGGTCGACGTATACAAGCTATTCTGAATCAATATTTACCAAATGTATTTGTTGATACAATAAGAGATCAACCAGAAACATTCTTAGCATTATTCGATGGTAAGTTATATATATGTACATGTTTTTCTTTACTTTATTGTCTAGAGAGAGACCGACATTATTAGCATAGTCTAGCACGAACACATAGATTGCAGAAGTCATCAAACTGCACCACTAGGGAAGCCCTAACTTGAGATCCTGAAGAGAAAGTAATCGGAGGCAGTCATCAAAAGAATGAGCAGCAATTGGAAACAATTGTAAATAAGAGCCCAGGACAGGATTGACTGGAATCCTGATCGGTGACCTACACTCCACTAGTTGTAACAGACGTAAATGAATGTTGGTGAGAGGATAATTTGCGGATGACCTTTAAGCGACCCTAGAGTAATCTTAAGAATTTCTTCTTACTTGGGTTAGGGTTAGGATTTAGATTTAAGATTTTTATCACGAACTGATAATAGCTTTAATGCCCAAATGAATGAATTTCACTACATAATTCAAGACCTGTTATGTTAAATATGATTGATTCGTCCATAAATTATAGTCTCTCCTCTATGTTGATGTGAAATATTAAGCCTAAAGAATGTGACTTAAAACAATGGAAAGTAACATATGAAGGGATACTGGAATCGAAAATTGTAATGAAGATTAGGATTGAATGCATCCTCACCGTTATGAATGATTCTGAACTATGTCATGGAACGCCTCCAACTGCTGATCATTTTTCATCCCACGAACCGCAACTATATAGTCTTCATCTACCACCATAACTCACACCAATAGTCAGTAACTTCATGGACCATGTTGTGCCTTAGTTTGGGTATCCATAGCCTTTATCTGATCAATTCTTCATCACTCGTATAGGTTGGTCGTGGTTATTCATATGTAATAAATATTCTAACTACCTCACCCAATGAAGACTCACTATCTTGTTGTGAAGAAGAAGTGAATTTGTAATAAACAATTGATCGGAGCTTTCCATGTTATATGGTCGTGTTGGTTAACAACTCCAATTATGAACTAATTGTTCAATGCCCTCTGATTTATAATGGTTTGTTTTTAAAACTAACAGTAAATTATCAGTTTATCGAACCTTCATCATCTAATCGAATTATTTATGATTATTTGTAATTTAGTCAACACCTAATAACTCGTCATGAATTCAGCTTACATGTCAACTAAAACCTAATTATGAAATGATACAGTATTACCATTACCTCATCTAGGCCGTAACAACCGATAATAGTTGAGGTCAAACCATAAGTTTCAAAACCGTGTAACATTTTAATCCACGGTGTTTACATATCTTAAACTTCCATCTAGAAATAATTTGTCCGATAAGTATATATTTGCGTATCTGACTTTAAAATAACATTGTTGGTTTGTATATGATGGTCAATCATAAGCTCGTCAATGTTGTGTGTTTCAACCTTAGTAGATGAACCGTGGGGTTCGAACCTACGATAATCCTATGGTGTAGAGTCATGCGTCTTCTAACCACTTATCACCCGTCCAAGTGATATTCTTCTCTGCTCAAAATGAATATCTTTATTATAGATGGATTGTGATCAGAAATGGAATCTATAGTTATGCATTTTGTCCCTCGTAGGTATGTACATCCCAGTGTTCACGTTCACATAGAAATGTTAATCAAGTGTACATCATTCTAAACGTCGACGCTTATTCTCTGAGCTACTAAGTATAAATGATCACTACTTTGTTCCATAAAAACAAAGTTGTCTGTGAAAGAGTATGTTTCAGGAGTCGTTTCATCAAACAGTGAGTCCCAAATAGGCTTCCTGGATTCTACTGCCAGCTATAATCCAAATATACTGAAGGCATGTAACTCCAAAACACTATCGAGACTTTTACTGAATATGTATATATATCATAAAAGGCTGGTCAAAATTCAGCACTGAATATTACCAAAAGGAAAATGTCCCAAACTTATACAAATATAAAAAATCTTTACACCCTCCAATGCGACTGACTAACTTGACTTAAACTCTTTTACTATTGTATTCAATAATCATTAAACATGTTCTTTTTTCACTATCTCCACTTATATCAATATTGGCTCATTTTAATTTTTTCAGCTGATCATGAAAACCCCGAGGTGATATGGGATTCTAATCTACGTAGTATCTTAACTAAAGTTTTAAATGAACAAACACACAGGTAATGATTGGTTAAGTTATATATTTTTCGGTTTCACACCAACCGAAAATTTTAGTGATATAATTGAGTTCTTATGGGTTTTAAGCTGGTTACTAGTTGCGAGATGTATTTCTCTTCCCCCAAGTACGAATCGTATGCTTCAGGACTGACTGATCTACGTCAATGCTCTAGTATCAAAATAACGAATAATGTAGTTGAACCTCATGATCACTAATTAATTCATCTTTAAATTTCATCATCGTTGATGGATAGTTCTTGATGGACTATTTCGGCTTTTACCGATGTTCATCACTTATTACATAGGTCAACTATATGTCTGACTTTCATCATCTCATTTTTTAGCTTACTTTACTTACTCCTGTTACTCCAAATGGAGCATAGGCCGCCGACCAGCATTCTCCAACCCACTCTGTCCTGGGCGTTCCTTTCTAGTTCTAACCAAATTTTGTTCATTCTTACTATGTCTGCCTCCATTTCTCGGCATAATGTATTCTTTGGTCTTCCTTTTCTCCTTTGGCCTTCAGGATTCCATGTGACGGCTTGTCTTGTGACGCATTCGGGTGATTTTCTCAATGTCATTTGTTAACAGTCTTCATCAAACGTAAAATTCTCTTCTTATTTAAATGTGAAATGTCATTTTAATACTAGATCTGTGTCAATAATAAGTTTGACCATTTTTAAATACTAAAGCAATTGAACATGTTGGTAACTAATGTATTCTGGAAATTAAGATTATGCTGTTGAATCATATTCACCTCATTTTAGTTCGCTTCTACTTAACAGATTCAAGACCTGACTTTAAGCTAAACTTTTCAATTTGAAAGTTCAATTGTAATACTGAACAACTTTTACAGTCATAGCAAAAATGGGATCTTAACCTACCACTGAGCGTCTGTTACTTTTAAGTTCTTCAATCAATAAGACACAGTCTCACTTTTGAATAACTGATTACTACTTTGCAGTGTCCAAAATCTGATACTGATACACTGTGTGCTACACGCTAACCGCCCACCCTCAACTGACTACCTGAACGAGAAAGTGTACTGGACTACCGAATAAGATGTGAAAATACTCATTCATGTATATACCACTCTATTCTTTAGGAAATTGATCCATTTCCTAGCTATAGAAATGCACTTGTCGTTTAAGTCACTTCTGATTGTCACTGATTGACATTATCATTATTTATCTTAAATTTAATTATTATTCTTTTATGTTTGTATGTAATTAATATGCATAATTTGTCCAATAAATACACAAACAGTGCTTTTGGCGAGGTTTCGGTAAAGCATCTCAGAACATTCATAAGTTGTTAAGTACATTGTTTTTGGCGATAACTCATTAAAAGAAATAGTTTTTTGTTCAGGTAGATGCGATATTCCATTGAAAGGCTTTAAATACTACAAAAATAATGCAAATCGTGGACCATTGTAAACATTCTATGTTGGTGAGACTTTTGAACATGCTCAATGCCGATTCTTTATGCCTATCATTGCTGATGTGATTTTCTGTGCACATTATTCTAATGTTGGGAAAATTGTATGAAATAAACTGGATACGTGAATTAAAAGTTCTTTTAAAAACTATCTACAATGCATTTTGCTTAAATTGAGATAATGAATCAATCAATGTTATGACATCATTGGAAACCTTGAAGGATTCGATGGCCAATATGAGACTGCTCAGCACCGTGCGTAAACGATCGCGCACGCGCGATTCGAACCCATGAACTTCGGTCTCGCACGAAAACTCTCAACCTTTAAACCACTAAAACGGCATCCAATCGTGTTAATGTCTAACTTCAACCAATCCACGATATTGTGCAGCCATCTTCCATTGTCTTTGATGGTTAACTACCTCACACCCGACATGGTTCAACTCTTTTGGTCACAGCTTTTCACTAGAACTTCAAGAATTATCTCTCGAAGCTAGGCACTAGTGAGTACATGATGCTTTGTGAAATAGAAATAAACGAGATAAAATATTTGTTTTGTCACAAAATGGACAGTCCCCAAATGCCCTGGTACGGTCGAGAGTGAAAAGAGTTCGCTCTATCTCCAAATGCTCTCACATGGCCAGCGAATATATAGCTTCTGCCAGGGAAGTCCTACTCACTGCCTTCTCGTTCCACTACTGTTGTTTACGAAATTGAGAGGACGAAAAGCGAATGTCCGGCAGGAGCATTAACCGGGTTGGTGGACACGGAAAGTCCACCTAGGGTAATTGGAAAACCCTGATTCCAAACCAATTGTGCACATTGGCTCCAATATCCTGAGGGAACAAACGGCGTATGAATCAATCGTTGGTCACCGGCTACCATGGGACTGCATCTCCTTACGATCCTCCATTACCTTGTGGACTAGACCTTTAGTTCAAAGGCTCCGGCTGTGGCCCTCTAAGGAAACCACGTGTTTCATTTCAGGCACCTGGGCAGTATCACAGCCCTCACACAAATCTCATTTGATTTGTGTGACGCATATGTTACTGGTGCTCCTTTTTGTACCAATATTTTTGTGTTTACCTTAAATTTTGTAAAATGAAATGTATATCCACCCTGAGTTTGTATATTTATTAAATAGATTTCAATATCTCAATTCCCCCCTCTTATTTACTTAATTCATTTTTTTTTACTTTTTTTCGTTGCCATAGTTTCTATAATTCACAATGTGATAATCACAATATGAAATGGAATTTACCAGATTCATTTAAAGTACCTTACACAGAAATAATAGCTAAGAAAGCTAATGAAGAAAATAAAAATAAACCAAATGAAATAGCACAATATGTTGCATGTCTTGGTCCAATTCAAATAGCTAATGTTTATTTACATTTATATATATCCCATCCTGGTTGGACATTACGTAATCCAGAATTATTTTTAAATGAATGTATGGAAAAATGGATTGAGGTGAAAAAGGAGAAAAAATTTTTTTTATTTATTTTGTTGATTGTCATTTATTTTCATAGTTGAAAGCGTGAGTCCATTGAAGCTAGACCATCAGGGGAAATCTGGAAGTACTGGACGGCCGTTTCGTCCTATTGTGGGACTTCTCGACCTCCACGACCTCACCTCGCGAGATTCGAACCCAAGACCTATCAGTCTCGCGCCAAAGCACTTAACCGATAAATCACTGAGCCGGTATCCATGGTGTTAATTTCTAACTTCAACCAATCCATGAAGTTGAGCAACCGTTCACCAATTTATTTACTATATGGTGGAGTATTGTTACTGTTAGTGTGTGCATTTGTGTAAACAAACACATATATCTGACTGATAAGTCCTAACTAGGACGAAACACATTCTGGATTTTATTGCTAACCAATACTCTCCAACTAACTCTGTCCTGGAATCTCCTTTCCATATTTATAAAAACCTATCTTAACTATATCTAACTTGATACTGAAATGTTTATGTTACGTCCTTGATCTGTCTACTTACTTTCGTGCCGAGGATAATTTGTCTAGTGCAGATCAAGACCTTGACGCGATAGGCTGACTGGCTTAGCCTTGAGGCTAGTATGCATGAGTTCGAAGTGGGGGGGTAGAGAGACGAAAACTATTCTATCCCTGGTTGGCTGACAAGCACGTGCGAGAGAGAAGACAAGATCACTGGAACACTAATCGCCTTACTCCAATCCCGATCTGGTACCGGAATTCAGATTAGTGTAAAAAGATACATGAATAAATAGATGACTAACCTGACCACAACGTACAATATTTAGGAAAATGCAATTATGTCCAAAACTGGGGGGATTAGAGTAGAAAATAGAGTACAAAAGGTCACGTCTAAATTATAGTAGCTTTGAAAGAGAAAAAGTTCATGGCAGTGGATCATACATCAAACGAAAGCTTATGATCTGTAGAATAGACTAGAGACAAATGTAACTGTTAACGTTTTACAAGCTTTGAATTAAATGAAATAACGTCCCCCCGAAAAATAGCTTCCGTAGTTTGTTATGGCTTCTTATTTTGCTGTTCACATCATTTTAATAACTGGATCTCATCAAAACCACCCGATTTATAACACAGATACATTATCTTCTAACCATCGGGTCATCAGTTTTTACTTCATTCTACTTACCTTAATTTAAATGGTGTTGAATAGAAGGTTATTCATCTTTAGTTTTGTTTAAAATTGGCTGTTTATACTTATACTTCATTATTACCACCACATGCCATGCTGACTAGTGTTGGAAGAAAGTTACGGGTGGCCAAACCAAAATGCCTCAGTCATTGAAGTCACTAACTTCTAGTCTGAGCCATGTTGGTAGATGCTGACTACTTGGTTGGGGGTCCGCGTAACTATCGTAACCAATAGTTAGAGACTGTGGGTGATATGGCTCAGAATCGATCAGAATGATGTAGGTGCATACGCTCTTTCTCTTCCGTTTAACTTGAAGATTAAAATTACATCATATCTTTCTTTCTATGAATTAATTCTTTCTTCCTGTATTATATCCTTATACACAATCTTTTTTTTGGTATGTTTCTACCATTGAAGTGACTGATTCTACGAATTTGTTGTTTATCTTGTTGTTTTAATGAGGTATGGCAACTTGGACCGTTACATATATGTGCCTGGTTCTACACTGTAGATAACTGTTTGTACTTCATTAATGAATTTTCACTGGAAAAAGTTGTAATCAAGTGATTAATTCATGTTAAATACATTAATCTAAAAAACTACTAATATGATATATCGTGTTGTGTATAAACTGTAGAGATGCATTTATGGATAAATGTTTATGGTAATTTGGGTTTGTGCCATGTCTAAGCATTGGTTATAGCTACTGAGATTCATTCATGCATTATCTCCCTTTAAAGCTTTCCAATACTACTTTATACATACATTTTTCTCATTTCGTTTTCTTCAAACATACACTCAATATTCAGTCATTTACATTATGAATTACTTAGTATTATTGTAGTGAACGAGAATACAGGTAGGAACAACCAATTGTATTTTTAATACAAAATTACAGGGTTCCTTCATCAAATGCGAAAAACATACATTCAATACTTCATTTGCAAATCCTTCATCAATTCTCCCAAACTTTATTGTTCCTTCATTACTATAACCAATACTATTTGTTCTCATTCTCTTCGATTCTATATTTCTAACCTTGGAGAATGCTGGTCGGCGGCCTATGCTCCATTGGGAGTAACAGGCGTAAATAAGTAAGTAACCTTCTATGGCCAGGCATTCCAGTTCTAATCGGTGTTATATACTATTTATGTTGACATAAGTAACATACATCACAACATTATTTCCATTGCTTTACTATTCATTTCTTGTTGACTTCATCTCATTGTATTGATTAGAATATAAAAAACTTGAGCTGATACACATTTTTGTCATAGAAACCAAATGGATTATGAATAATTTGTATATTTTGTAATGAGTATTTAACAGACAGCTATTTTTTCATGATGCTGACACACTGCCTTAAGGTATCTTTTAACTCATCCCTGTTGCAATGTCTTTTTGTATCATTCATAAATTATTAGTCAATTCACTGTCATTGTATTACCTTTCTGGTTATTGTAAAACATAAAGGAATTAATGTGGGTCTATTGGTTCATTGCAATATGCAAGTTCTTTTATATAGTTGAGATCATGAGTCAATTGAAGCTAGACCACCATGGAAAACCTGGAAGCACTGGATGGCCGTTTCGCCCTACTGTGTGCATTCACGATCCCGCCTCGCGGGATTCGAACCCAGGACCTACCAGTCTCGTGCCAGGACACTTAACTGATAGACCACTGATCTCAACTATCTAAAATAACTAAAATCTCCATAAAACCCCCTTCTGATATGCAAGTTTGACTGCCACGTTAAGGTAACATGTGTGGTTTATGGATGTGTATGAATGGTAACCTAGGACTAGAAAGCTGATTGTCACAATCACTTAATCCATTTCGCTGACATACTTTCAACGACATAGAAATCACTTTTTAACTGTATAATGTATTATCATACTTATTATTATTATTTCCCAATTCTATCGCTGTATCTCATATCTGTTTTTATTATTTCCTAGGCAATACATCAATTACCAAATTCAACTTTATTAGTTAGATTACTAACTCGAGCGTGTAAAACTGTACTGACTGATCGTCCTGGTCTTACGGATTCTTTGCCTCGATCTGGTAATGTACATAGAGTTTTAGAATTATTAGCAAAAGTCGATGATCCAGAAGGTGCTAAAGCGATTGTCATCATTTTACATCAGATGTCAGCGAGTAAAGTAAGTTTGAGGGGATACGCTTTATTCCCAATGGAAAGCTTTTGCAAATTTTCTTGTTCAATCAGTCAAGCTAGACAGATATTAAGTGAAGCATGAAAGTATAAGACAGTTGTGTTGTCTTTGTATAAGTTAGTCTTAGATACGTACTGCTAATGAGTTTCTTCATAATAGAATAAAACAATTGTCCAATCCTCCCTGATTTTCATGATATAAATCTTCTTGTAATCTACTTGTTAACAATAAGTTGACTGACATCATCCAAACATTCATAGCAGATTTGATGGTGGGGATAAAAGAAATATTAAGTAACGTGGGGATTCGCTTTTGAAGAAAAGGTTGACGAGTGCTGTTGGAGGTATGAGGGCTGCTGTCAATTTCTGGTTTCTCACATCATCGAAGGATATTTCTTCTTGGGGGGAAGGAATCTCAGCAAAAAAACTGGATTATTTGTAGTTTTAGCGACCAGGAAAATTTACTGCAGAACCTTTGAAAAAACTACTTAAATCTAGTCACACACGAATTTTCTGCGAAAAGTTTGTAATGTATTTGCTGCGTAATTCAGCAGGACTTGCCGCCTATGATGGAAGCCTGTAGGGTAAGGTGAAGACTGACATTTTTGGACCTAACCTCTTTTTCTCGTTGTTAGGAGGAAAACCGTCAACTGCTTTCCACTCCACCGTTCTACAACCGGCCTTCCTGGCATAGTACGACCTAATGAAACAATTTACCCGATCACTGTAGTTCGGTTAAGTCATTACTATAGGCAAACACAGCTACGACATCAAAATAGAAACCACTGTCAGGACTAGGCAGTCACAACTTACAACCCAATATGTATGTACATCAGTTCAAGTTGCGATGCCTTATCGTCAGGCAAAATCCCAGAATAGTAGAGGTTGTAGCAAAATGAGTAGTGATTACAAGAATTAGCCGTCGAATATACGATTCAAGATCTAAATTAGTGAAATAAAAACAAAGAAGGTTATGAGGAATTTGGAATCTCAGAATTTGGATAAAGCAAAAAATGAATGCACCTGCACCATTGAAAACGGTTTTGAACCATGTTATTCAAAGTCTCTAACTATTAGTTGGGATAGTCACATGTACTCCAACAAGGTAGCCTGTACCTATTAACATTTACAAGTCCAATTGCCAGTGACTTCATGGACTGATTTCCTAGCTTTCTTCTGGTGAACTCCCAACACCAGACAACGTCGCCCATACAGGTAAGCGGTTGCTGGTCATCCGTAATACATGTCACAACCACCTCAGTCGACGGGGATTTACTACCTTTTCAGTCGATTTTCTTTCCTTACCTATTACCTTATTCTCAAACCAAACTTTGATTACTCAGTGGTTTCAGAATACACTAGCAATGCTTCGAAGACACCTGTAATCGAATACTGATAACCCACGAATATCCTCTCTTCTTAACGGCCACGTTTCATGCTCATACAGTAGGAAGGAGCGAACTACCGTTCAGTAAACATATCCTTTGGTTCATATTTCGTCTACGCCACAGGTGACGCAAGTCTCCATAAGCTAAAAACCCGCATCATCATCTTCCTTTTTACATAGAACGTAATTTCTATCACCCAATCATTTAACAAATTTTATCACATAGTTAAAGGCAGTCGAGAAGATGCTCCATGTCTATGTTTCGTCCTACTTTTTACTTGTTAATATGACTTATGTTTGAGGAATTGATGTTTATTTAAGTATATCACGGTCATAAATGCTACCGCTAAACTACTTGGTCTGCTGGTGACCTATCATAGAACGGAGATGTTTACGTACTAACCAATCACCGAGTGTTAATCAATAACATGCAATTTAAGGACCAAAAAACATGGCACTGCAGTTCTATGATCACACTCAACTACATTATAAATCATTACTTAGCTACTGAGTTTTATTGATATTTTCTTGAAAGTTAAAGGGAGAGTTGTATTTCACAATACACGAACATAGCAACATCGTATGAAATGTCATATACAAGCACAGATTATCGATGAAACAGCATGATGTATAGTCACTGACATATCTCTTCACGTAAACAACGATGGAGATGAATTCAATTGAGAAAATGTCGAAATTCCAGATCCATGGAGTCGTGTAAGTATCAGGAAGTTTCTAGAAACCTTAATATTTAAAATCAGTCTACAATTAGTTAAACTTATCAATGTGTATCTGATCTACCAATCTAAACGAAATAAAAGTCAATCAACCACATGATTTTAGGTCAACTAAACTAAACAATCAATTTGAATATAAGAACAAATGAAATGAATGAAACTAACCAATTACAAACAAGATCATTATAACAATCTAATTTAAGACACATGAAATTAGCTCATTTCTACATGAAATAATCCAACTAATAATGTTGTGGCTTGGTCTACTTATATCCATATAAGTAGTATATTGTGAGGGTCAGACATATAATGTATTTTGGCAGAATACCGATAAGGCAAGAACTGAAATGAAGCGCAATCGGTAGGAAAATGCATAAACAATAAAATTAGAGAAGATGAACTGATATTTGCAGAAGGAACAGTGAAGATTGAGACAATTGATTGTTATTTTGCAAATTAACTGTTTACTGTATGGCTATCAGAATTTAGTGAGATAGTCTGTAATTTGTGCTTAAATACATTCGATTTTCCCCACCCCTGTTTTGTTCACTACGATGTTATCCAGTCAGTCAGTCACAACGTGGAACTTCGTACGTACGTACATCAGTTCGAGTTGCCATACCACATTAGCACAGAGATCCAGTTATCGATTCAAATCCCATAGTGGTAGAAGTAGTAAGAGTATAAACAGTAATCCGAAAGACTAGAGTTTGAAGATGTTATTCAAGGTGTATAATCCAGTGAAATAAATTTGGAAAGAGAAAAAATAAAGAGATATAAAGAATTCAGAAGATTAGGATTTGGTAGAACACAAAGAGTGGACGCACCATCGCCATTGCACACGATTTTGAGCCATATCATTCAAGGTCTGTAACCATCGGTTGCTATCATCTCGCGAATCCCAACCAGGTAGTCTACACCTACCAGTATGGCTCAGTCCACTTGTCAGTAACTTCATGGATTTGTGCCATGTTTTGGTCTGGCAATGTTATCCATAATAATAATGAAGTATTCACATACATATTCACTATGGTCTTGTATTGTATTATTATTTATTTATTTGTATTTCTTTTCTATTTGAGTTATGTGTACAATCAATGTCAGAGAGTGATACAATTAGTGGTTTAATTCGTATTGTTAATCGTTGTATTGGTGAAGAATTAGGTTTAATTGGTGAAACATTATTCTGTTTATTTGATACACAATATTCTGATCCATTAATTGAACAAGTTAGTAAATGATTTTGTTTATATTATGTTTTATTTTATTCTATTTTATAAAAGTTAGTCGTTAAGTCGCAGGTTCGAACCCTGTATAATCTACTTCCATGTAAGTACCTGCTTTGTTTTGGGTGCTCGGGGAGTATTGCAGCCATCGTACAAATCGAATGATGAATCGTAGCGCATATATATTTGGTGCTTTTGTTGTATTCATGCTTGTGTGTTTGAATAAATAAACCAGACAGCGTTTGCCTAAAACTCGATGCTATAAATTCAATGTATAAATTGCACGTATATATTATATATAGTTACTATATTATATAGTAACGATTGAAGTTCCCTTTGCCTTCCAAATGCCCTGGTACGGCCGAGAGTGGGGAGAGTCCGCTCTCCCTCTCAAAATGCTCTCATATGGCCACGCAAATATATAGCCTCTGCCAGGGAAGTCCTACTCACTGCCTTCTCGCACAACGAGTGTTGTTTACGAAATTGAGAGGATGAAAAGAGAATGTCCGGTGCTCGAGAAGTGGTCAATTAATGAAATTAGAAATGAAGAGGTTTAAAGATATATCTGATAGGCTATCAATATATTGAGAAGTGACTGATCTAAACTAGTTAGTGGTTTGAGGAGAGGCCGAGAACAGCGTATCCACTAGTGATCTGGTGTGGATGAATGACTGAGCGCCTTCAGCTAGGTGGGCCCACAAATGTTTTGGTACAGCCGAGAGTGGAGAGATTCCACTCTTCCTCTCCAAATGTTCTCACATGGCAACGCGTATATAGACTCTGCCAGGGAAGTCCTACTCACTGCATTCTCGCATAACGAGTGTTGTTTACGAAATTGAGAGGACAAAAAGCGACTATCCAGCGCTCTAACCGGGTCGGTGGACGTAGAGTGTCCACCTAGAGGAGTTGGAAAACCCTGATTCCAAACCAATGGTGCACATGGGCTCCATTATCATGAGAGAACAAATGGCGTATGAATCAATCGTTGGTCACCGACTACCATGGACTGCATCTCCTTACGATGCTCCACTGCCTTGTGGATTAGACCTTTAGGTCAAAGGCTCCGGGTGTGGCCCCTAAGAAAACCACCTGCTTCAATTTGGGCACCTGAGCAGTATCACAGCCCTCACATAAATCAAATGAGATTTGTGTGGCGCATATATATCTGGTGCTTCCTTGTACCAATATTTATGTGTTTAAATAGAAACAATAATTAAAAGTGCCCTATAATTATCTTACTTGACAATATAGGTACAAGATTTTAGAAATTTTTAATAGTAAATGTTTTTGGATGAAATAAATTGTGACAGTTTGTTACATTTTCTAAACTGAATTAGTGTAATATCAGAGACTTTCATTGTCATCCTAGATAATGTTTATTTATTTGAACACATAAATATTGGTACAACGGGGCACGGAATACACATGCGCCACACAAGTCACTGGATTATTGTATGGGCTGTGATACTGCCCGGGTTCTCAGAACGAAGCAAGTGGTTTTCTTACGGGACCACACCCGGAGTCTTTGACCTAAAGGTCTGATCCACAAGGCAGTAGTGCATTGTAAGGAGATGCAGTCCCATTGTGGCCGGTGACCAACAACTGGTTCATGTGCTATTCGTATCCCACAGGATCCTGAAGCTCATGTGCACGATGATGGTTTTCCAACTCCCCCTTTCCCTTCGTGTCCACGAACCCGGTTAAAGCTCCTGTCTGACATTCGCTTTTCGTCCTCTCAATTTCATAAATAACACCACTGCCATCAGTTGGCAGTGAGTATGACTCCTCGAACAGTGGTTGTATGAGCGTTGCCATGTAAGAGCATTTCTCCTCATCCTCGGCCGCATCAGGGCATTTGGAGGCTTCTAGATAATGTCATCAGCGTGTACATCATATGGAATTAAACTTTTTAATTATAACAAGAACTCAAATCCAGTCAGTTTTAACACACACATATACGGATATACAAGTTTCTTTTAAATTATGCCTTATTGATGATGTTGTTTTGAATGAATTCACATTTATTTTTAAACAACAATTCAATAGTTTCATAATTAGTAAGTTTCATTTGAATGTTGTTTTAAGGATAAGATAAATCTAAACAGTTTCAAGTTATTTTTTTCTTATTTTTACGATCATTTGAAAGACCCTCTTGGTCTTTCATATGGTTCGGATGTTCCATGTTATTAAAAAGTGACGTGGGGGAACTTTTGACTATCACAATTTTGCATTGAAACTCTTTTTTCCTCGACGTAGCTGAGTTTAATTAGCTCTTTTTGATAATGTAGCGTTGGTAACACCACGTTCAACCTTCCTCTTCTACCTCGCACTTGTAACTGATAGTAAGTAGCCTTCAGTGGACTCCAAATATAGCTAACATGATAAGCAAACTTGAAATAAATCACCATCTTTACCATAGTCTATATTTCTTCCTATTTTGTTTAAACTATAGTCGATCAAGGAACAAATATTTTAGACTTCAAGCATGCAAACATTGAAATACTACATATCTCACTAGTATTTACCATTGTACAACAAAAATGTCACTGAAATTTTTTTACCGTACTTTTATTCAATGAAAAAAACTTACTCATGAATTAAAGAGGGGGGAGGGATCATCAGCGATCTGCTTAAATATCTGGGCTACCTGTCCCTCCGATCTAGATATTTCAACAAGTTATCTGTTTGTTTGTTTTAGCACATCATTATATCTTTTAATCGCGTAACCTGTTCAGGCGCGTTTATGCAAAGTTTACGACCTTTCTCGGTACAACTTGCAATAAAGTACAACCGCCAGAGACATCGTGGTAGCTGGTAATATGCGTTGAAACGAATAAACATTATTTGGATAGTCAGTTCATGAACTGCTAACATCTAACTGGTGATCATTCAATATTCATCGTCAGGATCGATCATGATATAAGAAACGGAAACTTGTTGAAATACCTTGTACTGAGAATTCTATATTATACCAAAAATATCATATTCAAGAAAGCCGATAATAATAATTGTATTGGTAATAGCAATAGTGTTAGTAGTAGTGTGGTATGTGTTACTAATGTCGATAGATCTAAGTAGTATGTATCATCAATGTAAAGTGAAATGTCTGAAGGCAGATGGTTAAGAAGTTCAATGGTAGGAGAACGAGAACAGATAATGATTGTCGTGGAAACGAAAAAACAACAACCAAGTTTGAGACAATTGATTGACATTTTGCAAATGAAATATTTACTGTATGGTTCTTAAATTCTACTAAGAGATTTTGTAATTTTGAAATTGAAATACATTCGGTTGTCTCCATTCGTGTGTTCCTGTACATTAAACTTCAAGCATACAAGGTGAAATATAAAAGCTTCCTTCACATTACCTCATCATATGCATTATGCGACGAAAACATTGTTGAGAATATGATATATCTTGTTAATTGAACGCTATATTCGAATCCTAAGCTAGTCTCGTAACCCACAAGCTAGAACTACACAACGACTTGTACATAAGAGAAAAGGCACAAAATATGCGGGAAGCACTTTACTCCAAAGGCTCATTGATGTACAGAAAATATAAGATTTTTATAGCATTTTAGAAGTCTTTGAGTTCTCCTGAAAGTTCTAGAATGCTACTAAATATAGTAGCAGTGTAGTAATCAGCCGATCAGAAGCTCTACATGTGAATTTTCATTTTCGCGTTACTTCTAATCAAACGCTGGTTGAATAAAATGCTTCATAATGTTTCCTGAGCTTGCCATGTCTATTGCGAGTAATTTTCAGGATCGGCCCAACAGAATATACATTGTCAATATTAAAATTATGTGATCACCTATTGTAAACCTAACTGATTATACTGCTGTGATTATCTGTAGTACACTTTCGCTAATTTTAGGCTTTAAAACATGATCTTATTGGTTTTATATTACGTATGCTTCAAAATGGTTTCCCATCTTCAGTACGAGAACCTGGACAAACTCGAGCTTATCTCATCAAAGCATTAAAGGCAATGCAGTACAGTGCAGTTTATGGTGCAAAAGTAAGTACGATTATGTACACATTTAACAAATTGTCTAATAAATGCATGAATTAAAGCTAGAAAAGCTTCATTTTACAAAATCAAGGATATGTCTTTCAATCTTATCCACTTCAAAATATTCACAATTTGTACCAAGTTCTGTCTTATTATCTCTGTTTCCACCGTACAAATCATCATTGATAGTTATCAGATATCCGGCTTTTGAAGTGTTACATTTATTTCACATTTCTTGACCCTTAATATTTTGCTAGAATGATGTACACGGGAAATGTTCCTCGAATTCATTACACTAGCGATCTGTTAAGTTCGCTACTTGATTAACGCATAATACGGTAAACAACTACGGCATCGAACATATAGGACCCCCACAGCCGCAAATTTGAAGACAGAAGAAGACTGGAGAAATTATTGTTGATTACGAATCAGAATGTACAGAAAATCATGGTTATTTATAGATATTAGCGTTTGCTACTGTCCAATAGTAGCATGCCACGTTGATATTCTAGAAAGCTTCATCATGTTCTGATTAGATGGAAACTCTTCGGCTCCTTTAGAGCCGCTGGAGTCGTCCCAACACAATCGTTTAGACAGTATAAAAAAAGAAGTCTTTTACGTCTTTTTTTAATCAATAACAGAGTTCAACTTTCTTGTTTCCTTTTAATAACTCCTACAGACTTCACTTTTCCCATTGAATCTCTTCGTCCAACTTAAGATAACTTTATTCTTCAGTGCATTTTCTCGTTGACTTTTTCGAGATCTTCCAAGAGTTGTTCTCAAGTTTCACCAACAACTTTAATAGCACATTTCATATATTTACTAAACAAATCATATATGACATTGAAAATCATAAATTCGTGGTGACAGTAGAAGTTCATAATCTCTCCATTTTTACTAACATTTGTAACGGTAAACTAATCCCCAAAATCGACATTTCATACTGACTGCATTAGTCTTGATGGACTTACCTAGCTGAAGGCGCTTAGTTATGCATCCGCATCAGATCACAAGTGGATATGCTGTCTTTGATCTCTCCTAAAACCACCAACTAATGAGGACGGTCCACAGGTGAAGTTGAGAAAGCTCTAAGAAGCCTAGAAAGAGTCGAACATACTCCGTCCAATCAGCTTTTGGAAGAATATTCTAGAATCACTACGTGTAGCTTCCCTATTGGACAATGCTGATAACTCCCTGTGTGCCGATTGGATAACTGTAATAATGATTTCGTTTCTGCTAAAAACTATAAATACCTGACAGTTTTGTACCATAATTGACACTGTTTGGAATAACATTCCTTTTACTTGTCATTTGTCTTCTGATTTGCGAATTTGGAGGGTTCTAGCGTTTGAGTGCTCAAGTATTACGCGGCAGACTAAGAATCTAAGTTTGAGATATAACAGTCACTTTTCAATATGTTGATAGCCTATCAAATATATTTTTGAACCTCTTCACTTCTGATTTCATTGAGCTGAACGCGTTTTGATTATAAGTGTTACTGGTGTTAAGGTGTTGTCAAACTCTAAACACTTGTGTCATCCTTTATTTTTACTCCTTTTTTTTAAAGGTTACTTCAATTCTTGAAGCATATCCTAATTGGGCAGATTATCGTGATCAATGTCATTCTTTATTTATTTCTAATGTACCACAATCAATGACTACATATTTAACAGCTGGTCCAGCATCAGGTAGTTTACACAGTGGATATTTAACAACAACATCACCTGAATTAAATCCTTCATCTTTATCCAAACCTTATTCATGATTAGTTCCTCTTCATTCATTCATTCATTCATTTATATACTTTGTACTCAGGATAATTAATCTTAATTGTAATTAAGTGAAAACAATCCCTTCTTTTTTGGAATCATTTATTACAATCCCTACAATACAAACAAGAATATGTCTATATACACACACACACACTTGGTCTACTGTCATGTATACACTATTTCAGTTCGTTCTTCGAGGTGTGATAGTACTAATGCTGACACTGACGACGATCATGATGATGATGATGTTGTTACTATGCCTGTAATACTCCTGTTATTTGATTACCTATATATATACATGATTTCAATCATTTTTGTAATATCAGAAATTCAATCGCCCCTCCCCCCCCGCTTTATTATTGTTATTGATTTTTATTCTTTTAATATTTTTTTTCTTATGAATTGATGATTATTCAATGTACAGAATATAAGCAAAGTAGCATTAAAAAGGGGGGAGGGGGGAATTACAATTTTTCTTTATTGTGGAATTGTTGCTGTTTTGATACCCCTTTTTTAATAAAAAAAAAAAGAAAATTGTAAAACAAATGTACGTTTAAAGTTATTTCAATATTCTTTATAATAATGAAACTATTGTATTTATTACATGAAATAATAATAATGTGAATATGAATAGTAAATTCACTTGGTATTGTTCTGTTTGAATCTTTCCATTGATGTTTTGGGACTGGAATTGATCAGTCTCTCTCTTATTGGCATATTTGCATACTGTGAATTTAAACTTTACCTCATTGCAAAAGCCAGTGGCTATCAAGACTCAGTAGCTGAAAGTAATGTCAGTGAAGTGAATGTTATTTAGCTTATTAAATGATTAGATGAAATGATTCATTTAAATTGTACATTGTGTTCAGCATAGATTGATCTCAGTTAAAGTAATTGGTGGAGTTCTGATATGTCAGGACTGAAATAGTTGTTCCCAACATTAGTGTTGAATAAACGTTACATGTTGTCACGTATTTATTATTGTTGAAAATGTAGAATACCATCGAACACCAACCCATTGGTTCTAATGGGTAAAAAATTATTCAGAAGGTCTGATGGTTATTGTTTAGTGTTATGAACGTAGGTATGCCGTCGCCAATTGTTATAAACGTAAAGGAGAGGATGCTGGTTATAACAGTCCTTTTACTTCTTACACGTATGTGAGACGTTAATTTATCTTAGACGAATATCTACACTAGATTTCCACCCAGTGTCTATTCTACAGGGCTTCAACAGAACTCCGATCAAGAACACAAGATTAGCCTGACTATAACGTCAATATATTTCCACACGAAATTCCGACACAAGAACAGTCAATCAATAAGTGTCCATCAACAAGGAACAGTCAATACATAATAATGATAGGGGAATATATATAACACCTGTCTAATGTCTGACTTATCGAGACAACCAATCATTCTCGCCCACACATCACCTACCTCGCGAAGTTTGATCGTATGATTTCACTTTAGGGTTTACTTGAAAAAATTTCGTGTGTTTCCGTTTCCTGAATGACCTTCGTCTAAATTCTGATTCTAGATCATTTTTTCTCATTTCAACTTGTGGTGGTGGAATATCAAATGTATCACATAAAACTTCCATTGGTAATGGTTTGAGTTTAGATGACTCATAAACACATTTTCTATCTCGCAGTTGATTTACATGTCTAATAATTAGTGTATTTTCGACCATCACTTCATATAATACTGTACCACGTCGTTTTTTTATAAACCCAAATATCCATTTTGGTTTGCCAGGCCGGAAATCCCGTGCATAGACTGAGTCACCTACTTTGAATTCTCGAATTTTCGGGCAATTCCCTTTCTTATTTTTTTGTAGTCCACTGATTCTGTCTTTCGGGTTCAAAACATCAAAAAATGTTCTAATCGGTCGGCCAAACATTATTTCGGCTGGAGATTTCCCATCTTGACAGTTTGGACTTGGCGTAATTCTATAAGAAATGAGAAATTGTTGCAGAGCCTCTTCTACGTTGCCTTCTTCTCCCATCTTTAAGAGAGCTCGTTTAAGAAAATCAACAAATTTCTCTGCCTGCCCGTTCGACTTAGGGTGATACGGTGGAGTTCTAACGTGTTCGATTCCATTCTGTTTACAGAACTCCGCAAACTCTAACGACGAGAACTGCGTCCCGTTATCTGAAACCAAAACATTAGGTGTACCAAACCTACCAAATAGTTGTCTCAGATGTAGCAGTGTTTCAGACGTAGATGGTCTTTGTACCACATAAATTTCAGGCCACTTCGAGTACGAATCTACCACCACCAAAAAATATTGTCCACTTATAAGTCCAACATAATCAACGTGTAATCGGACCCAAGGTTTTTTCGTTTCAGGCCATGACTGAGATTCTGCTTTCGGCACATTCATCGGTAAATCCCACAAACCAAATTTATCAATCCAAACAATACCTAATAGATTGGTATTACAGATCCCGGACACGTAACATTTCCCGGTCATAGTCTTTTCACCAAACGTGAGAGGTAGCTGTATTACTCCAAGAAGAGTAATATTAGTTCCTGATGCACTCTTGGCATCATAACATGTAGGTTGATATCGGAGTCGATCAATTTTAATCCAAGTTTCTCTAGAAATTAATGTTATGTCAGACCCAGTATCGACTTGTAGTTTGACCGGTTTGCCATCGAAAAAAATGGTTACATACTTCCTTTTAGAGAAGAAATGCTCACTTTTTGTAGCCAGAACAACATTTCAGTTATGCGGCATTACTTTTGCAGTCTGCATCTTATTTCTTTTACGGGACTTATGCTCACGGTCAGAAACCTTCGGCCTACTTTTACAACATACTTGAGCATGACCATATTTACCACATTGAAAGCATACTCGTTTTTTAAAGTAACAAACTTTGGCAGAATGAGACTTACCACATCGCCAACATGACGCTTTGTGTTTCACTTGATTTGGGATTTTCTGGGAGTTCGAATCTTTATTTCCATTAAAAGATTTACGTAAAGCATTAATTCTCACGTGTTCACTGTTCCTTTCTACGAGATTCGTGTCATGCTTCAACACAAATTGACACTCTTCGGATACTGATTGTAGACTGATATTAGGATCTTGTTCGATTCTCGCTAGAATTCGTGTTCTAATATCTGCATCTACTGGAGATTGTAATCCACATACAAAAATAAGGCACTTGAATTGATCTGAGGACATTTCTGGTAAACGGAACCGCTCACATTCCCGGTTCACGATACTTGCATACGTTACGTAATCGTCCTGTACTTTCTTTACAAGTTGAAGACACTGGTATCTAGTGTGAAAAATTGATGACCGTTCACCAACTATACGAGTCAGGCATTCAACTGTTTCTTTGAACGTTATGTCGGATGCCTTCTTTGGGAGAATAAAATTACAGCATTTTTCATGTTCGGACACTTCGAGCTTTCGTAATAATAACCTCAATTTTGAACTTTCGTCCCACTCTTTACATTCATTATTAAACAAATCCTCATGGCGTTTAAACCACGCCTCAAAAGTAACTCCACTTTCTGGATCAAATCTAAATTCAAATATTGAATTTGCAATACAATACGGAGTCATAGTGGAATTAGACACATTCGCTCTTGAGGAAATTGACATATTCTTGACTAATAATTCGATTAAAGAATTTTGCTGTTGCAACAAGTTTTTCAGATAATCCATTTTTGTTACAAAATTCACTTTCATTGAATATGTAAGCGTAGATCCGTTTTAATCACCGTCGCCAGTTGTTATAAACGTATGTATGCCGTCGCCAATTGTTATAAACGTAGAGAGAGAGAGGATGCTGGTTATAACAGTAGGGGTTCTTGTTATAACAGTCCTTTTACTTCTTACACGTATGTGAGACGTTAATTTATCTTAGACGAATATCTACACTAGATTTCCACCCAGTGTCTATTCTACAGGGCTTCAACAGAACTCCGATCAAGAACACAAGATTAGCCTGACTATAACGTCAATATATTTCCACACGAAAATCCGACACAAGAACAGTCAATCAATAAGTGTCCATCAACAAGGAACAGTCAATATATAATAATGATAGGGGAATATATATAATGTAGTGTAGTGCTTCGTTAATCGATCGTCTCGATCGATCGTTACTATATCAATCTGAACGGTGTATAATATCAGGAGACAAACGGAATCAGCAACTACATTTTTATTGACAAATAACATAAGCTAGAAGGCAGTAAGCACATGAGTAAATGTTAGCGAGCGAAGAAAAAGTAACATACATGGGAGATGGCTGGTAAGCCAACTCTTTATAAGCAAGCATTAATCAACATTTATAGTCAGACTAAAATGAATGACAGACATGTGATATGTAGGATAAGAAGGGTGCATACACATACGCTCATATAAAAAAATAGTCAAGGTCGATAAGCGAATAATTAACAAGATCAAAATATGACTCATAACGTTATAGGTGAATTGGCTTGTCCAGAAACTAGAATAAGCTATGTAGGTGTAATATAGTACACGACGTCACACTACTCCCCACAATAACACCTGTCATCCCCTCTAATGTCTGACTCGTCGAGACAACCAATCATTATCATTCTCGCCCACACATCAGTTAGGTTCTTAGTGGGGTGGCTGGTGACTACTGCTAAACAGTCCAATACTATAAGCAAACATGGATGATGGCTAGCAGTGTAATCCAGAACGCTCGTTTCGCCCTACTTATAAGATTCAAGTAAACAATACCAAGTGAATTTAACCTTCACCCCATTGCACAAGCAAGTGGCTATCAAGACTCAGTAGCTGAGTGGATAACACGATGGTGTTTGAAGTGGACAGTACTAGGTTCGAGTCCCAGAGTGAACATTCACAAGTCTGAGATGCAGGTACATCCAGCTGACAAGTCAAAAATAGGGCGAAACATGCGTCCTGTATTCCGTCGATAGTCACTATACATCTTTGCTTATAATGAATATGAATACGTTTATTGAGTATTTATTTCTTTGTTCAAGATGTCGATGTTGCCTCCGAATGCCCTGGTACGGCCGAGAGTGAAAAGAGGTTGCTCTCTCTCTCCAAATGCTCTCACATGACCACACGCATATAGCATCTACGAGGAAACTCCTACTCACTGCCTTCTCGTGAAGTTTTAAAGAACATATTCGACATAGATATTGTCAGTGGAATACACACCAACTTTGGTCAGGATGTCTTGAAAAATATCGCCGACATAATGCCGAAGGTGTTGGACTATCTTAGTGAAATTGTGTCCTCGAGTACAGACTCCCCAAATGCTACTGTAGTCCCTATAACTTTTACTGCAAGCGACTGAACTCCGGTCAACAGGATTGAAAGTTATCGAAAGTCACCGTCAAAAATGCTGAATAGCCCAGGTCTTTTAGGAAAGTCAGGCAATGAATCTGTCATTCAATCTACCTATATGAATCTCACTCATTCAGGAAATACCACGTGAATCCGGACAGCCATCTAAATGCCAAACAAAAGGACATTATTCTCAACGTACACAAAAACCTGTAGAAGCAATCACAATTCAAGTCGATTCTTTCATAATAATGAACTCTAAAGAGAGCTTTGGCCTTCTGCTTATTCCTCATAATGAAAGCGAGTGGCTGCTTTAAGAAGAGCTTAAAAGGAAGCTCGAAATTTCTGAAACTGATCCATTAACGATTATACAGTCTAACCGACGAAAGGATAACAGAAACCGAAACCATCCAAGACTCCATCTTGTAACGTTCATCAACATTGCTAACGTAGAGGATCTTTTGCTGACCAATCAGTTTCTGAAATCAGAAGAGGATGTGAGAACACTACCTGATATACCACATTGATATCAGGGAAATTCCAAAAGGTTCTTTCTATAAGTTGGTTCGGGGAAGGGATATCATTGTGCAAGGTGTCTCAGAAAACATGGACCCTGACTGACACAGAAAAGCTGAGGATATTTGACAGAAGGTGTTGTATTGAATATTATTAATTTCACTGTTTTCGGATATATTTGTTTCGCTCAACACTGAACTTGTTCGATTGACCTCGGACATTTTCGTTTCGCTTTGTCTTTGCTTTGCTATTGGTAAGATTTGTTCCAGAAATCTGGCAATTGAAATTTTGTCCCGTAATTGTTCTGATTATCTTTAGAATGATATTCAGGTCGATTAGTTGTAATTTGCAAATGAACTCTGGTTCTTGAATTGCACTGTAGTTCCATTGTTCCTTGGGATCGTCATTAGAAATAGATCGATCTATCGTGCTTCAGTAACGAAAAAAAGCAAAACTTCGGATGTTACACTTATTATTCAGACTATGATATTCTAGAGTGAAAATTGATAAATCAGTTCATGAAGTTCCAGAACACACTGACTCGACAAGTGATATGATCAGCCACAGGGCGGCTGTGATTCTCGAAGGATTTCATGACAACAGACGTCGATTACCAACTGCAATCCACAAGTATCCGGACAAATAACAAGATGTAAGGATCAACCATAAAAGCAAACTGGCGCTGATTATCCCACTTTCGAACTGTAAACAAGAAGGAAGAACGTAGAGAAGTCAGGGATTACCCATTCGGAAATTCTAATGAGCGTAGGTCGCTCTCCACTCACATAAGACTTATTTAAGTAAGCAGGAAGAGGAAACTTACGCATTCTAGATCGAAAGCATGAACTGCCTATGTATAAAAGTCATAAGTTTATAGTACAAAATACACGAGTTACCTGAACTAAATAACGCTATCATTACTCATCTAACAGGAATATCCGAAACATGGATATCTTCTCCCATTACGGGCCATACGCTGTCAATAACCAGTATGTCTTTGTTCTGCAACGACAGAAGAACAGGACTCAAAGATGAAGTAGTCCTGTACCTACGATCGTGAATGACAGAGCATCACGTGTACACTCGCGGGTTTATCAATTCTCATGAAGCTGTATGGTGATAGGTAAGATCGTCTAACAGCTAAATATGTTCAGTAGGAGTCATGTACAGAAAGTTCACTGCTGAGCCGCAAAATACGTCACTGGGCTGGAAGCAGATGAACTGGTGATGATAGCACATATAAGCAAATCAAAAAGTAAAGAACCAATGCTCAAAGGTAATGAGAAAAGATGGTTCCATTATCAAATATATCCAATTAATAAATTTGTCTCCAATCCGAAAAAACGTATTCCATCATGCAGCCTTTCTCAAAGAAATCAAAACCGAAGTTTCTCAATTGTTAGGTCGTAGCGGAAAACCGACAACGATAATGATGCTGCCGAATGTGTGTGTGCATTGCCAATTAAAAGCGCACTTTATATCAACGTGCGCTACGCCTCGAGTGGTGGTTATCGTAGTAAGTGGTAATATTGGGTAATTTCTGACACTATAGTGTTAAATTTTCACCAATAAATTTGGGGGCATGTAATTGTAATTGAGGTATCCAGTGTCCTCGGTTTTATCAGCCCAGTGGAACCTAAAGGTTTATCTGCACAGAACCATTAAAATAGCCTTTGATCTTTGGGAATTTCCCTAAAAATAAGGAGATCGGGTTCATTCTGGTGTTTGTAGTACTCTTTGAATGTGGGAGCATCTTTCAACGTTTAGCAGTTTACAAGACGTCTTCAACCGACTTGGAATCCGGTGTGACTATAATTTATGGAAGACCTAGTCACATATAACTGGTCTTGGGTTTAGGTTTGTGACTCATCCATTTGCGTAAATAGAGTTTTGGCATTTTAGCTTATGTCAGTTCGTGGCGAAAGCCCTAAATTTAGTTCCTAATCCCGACCATCAACTGTAAATCATAATTTTGATTCATTGCATTAGTTTATAATTCTCATTTAGCGCTAGTTAGCAGGTGGACTCTTCAAGGCCACTTTAACGTCGCTCAAAAGTGTTTTATAATTTGTAGTTTCACTCTGTCTTTTCAACAGTTATTTTTACTTAACAACAATCATTAAATAGAAGTCTGGCCCCTGAAAACTTTCCTGGTCTCACGTTATAGCCTCTTACAGGAAAGCTCTATTCTCTGACTTCACAAAACTGGGCAAATGTGTTAGTACAACTGTGCTAAAATATCTTGGTTGCTAACCTATCATGTATTATAAGCCCCAGGATCTTGACAAACCAGTGGAATAAGAACCTAGTCTTATGATGAGCAATCATGTGATGTTACTTTGTCCGTGTGGATTAGGCCTTTCTACCCAAAGTTCAGAGAAAGTAGTCTTTCAGTGAAACCAAGTGCTTTATTTCAAATTACAGAACGAAAGGATTATTCAGATAATCTGCTGTATGATGTTTACTCGTATTACGGTTTTTTTTGTTTTCTACAGAAATACTAATCACTACGTCGTAAACAAATTGTCTCCGAAATATCTGTCTTACAGAATTATTTCTTCATATACCTCGTGAATTTCCTTATTGTTTTTTATGACTCTGTATAATGGTACGTTTATGAATTACATATTTATAACTTTTCATTAGCTTGGTATACTGTATCCCAGTGGTTTTGTTTCTAAAAGATTTCGGTATTTAATTTAAGGCATCGTCAGGTGTAGCAGTAAACAATTTTAACTGGTATTGAAGTAGTGTATTTACCAAATTGAGATTTCTGTACTGAACTTTAACTCTCAAATTAGATGTTAGTGTCGATGTTATTTGATCTAAAATAGTATGGTCGATTTCGAATATGTAACCTGCTGATCGAAAGCCGAATGTTTTAAACATTAAGCGTACACCCTGGTCCTACGTTGTAGCTGATTGACACCCAAGAATCAGCTTCGGTTCCGGAACAAAGGGCTGAATGACCTGTATTATTCTTAACAATAGGGATATCTCAGTTGGCCAAACTTTTTTTGAATAAGTCGGTAAATAAAAATTTAACCACCCTTAATTAAAGTTTCACTGGTCGATAATTTGGTCGAAGGGTTACTAAGTCAGTTGTTGAATAATTGGTTCTGAGTTTGTTAGAATTTTCGAGTATCCTCGTGTTATACTTGTGGCCGAGTGGATGACTTGCTTATGTGTGGCTTGATGAGACCGCCAACTAGGGAGCAGCAAATTATCGATCAGAACAGCAACACACGAAACCCTACGAGCAATCTAGATTACGTATCGGCCCTGCGATCTGCCTAGCCCAGCCAGTTAAGTCCAAAACACCAATAACAGCCTCAGTGGTATGAATCATTGTATTTTCAAACATACTGAGTTTATATACCAACCAAACAGACCATATCGACCCATAAAATAGATAATAACATTTGTACAATATTTAGCCGAATGTGGCTGTGAATAGTAATCAATAAATTGATGATAACTCAAGGATCGTATAATAATAGTTCAAAGGTCAAAATAAAGTTAGTGATGAGAGGAAACGAATATGATTAGGTTAATTACAATAGGAAATATTATATTGACCAATAAATAGTCCCCAAAAGTTACCATTCGTAATTCTCTTCGGTATACAACACCTCGTCGATTCTCGGTTCTGGATGACAATAAAGATGAAATTATGTCACACAGTTAGTATTAAGTAATTTGAAGGCAATGATTAGGTCAGCTCTAATCCTTCTGTATGACAAAAGGAATAAGTTTGATTTAGCCGATCGGTCACCATGTAAAGAATTTAGTGCTTCAGAATCAGTAGTTCAGTAGCTAGGTTGTTTGGATTTGAGCTATTAAGTTATAGGCTCAAACCACATTGCTCCTACTTCGATTTGAGTAACTGGTTGACATCAGTATCCCTCACACTGTGGTCTAGTGCCAAGTGAACAAACCTGTAGTATAGTAACTTCTATGTAGAAAGTCCTAAAGACCTCCCGTACCGCTTCTACGATGTACTCCGGTTCGATCACCCAACCTACTGGAGGCCATGTGCATATAATTTCTTGTACATTCGCTTCCCATACTTTTGGTCTGTACGCGGCTGGCATATCAACCTTAGCAGGAATGTGGAAACCACAACATGCACTGCATGGTCAATTACCCACAAATGGGAGGAGTTCCATTATCGATTTTTCGTCAGGTTTACTTATGAAATCATTGTTACGACCTTCCCTTTCTGTAAATAATCAAATTTCGGGATCAGTCGGACGGCAGAGACACTACAGCTACACCAGTTCGATGACCTCAATAATCTACTCAACCAGCATTAGTGTTGGAGATTTGTGGAGGATGTTGTATTTTCACAGTTGAAACCACGAACAGATCTTAGCTAGATTACCATTGGAAACTTGGAAGCAGTGAACCGCCGTTTCGTCGTAATATGGGACTCATTAGCAGTGAGTACCCACGACCCCTCACTCGAGAATCATACCCAGGACCTTCGATGGTATGTGTAAACGCTCTACTTCTAGACCTCTGAACCGGCGTCCAACAATGTTAATGGTCTTGCGCAACCCTCCATTGATTGCCTTCGGTAAATAACAGTCTCATGCCGGACACGGATTGAACTCCACTAGTCACAGCCATCCAGTGCTCTCAGATTTTCAATGGTGGCACTCGCCATTTTCAGTGAACTTTATCATCAACCTGTGCCTACTTCATCCCCCAACGTTGGTTGGCGTAAAGGGTCGGGAGAAAGTTACGCGTCGCCAAACTAATGTATTATCAGTTCATGAAATCAATGACTGTTAGACTCAGCCATTCTGATAGACGAAGATTACATTATCGGGGCCTGTACAATCGCTGAACTTATGATTCGAGATATTGGATGACATGGTTCAAAATCGGTTGCGTCGGCGCAGATCCATCTGCTCTCTGCTTTCCCTTAGATCTTGAGTTGCAAAATGACTTTATACGTTCATAGAGCAGGCCCATGCATCTTCATCCCTGTAATTGTAAGCTGGGGACTTTTAGAGTCTGTCCAATCACTGTTGTATTTTGAAAAATTGCTTCCATTCGGCTGCACCATTTTGTTAATAGTCTATTCGGTACAATGACAATAACTCGGTGTCGCCATCGTAAAACACTTATTTTGGTGACTCGTTCATATCTTACTAATGTTATCCCGCCGACTTCCACGTCACATATTATTTACCGATGCAGGGGTAGACTGTACAAAGCGAACAATTATGATATGGTCCTAGGTTCGAAGCGTTCCTTTGGGAAATAATGTTAAGTCTCATTGCATTTAATGCGTTTAAGCTGCTAGTAAAATTACTACCCCTGAAAAATATTGTGGTTCGAACTTACTTACTTGCGCTTGTTAAATCTCACGGAGGAGCATAGGCCACTCAATAACATTCTCCATCCAATTCTATCCTGGACAATCCTTTCCAGTTGCTATTCATCCTATTGATGTCTGCTTCCGATTCTCGACGCAGTGTGTTTTTTGGTCTTCCTCTTTTCCGTTTCCCCCTCAGGATTCCAAGTTAGCGCTTGCCTCGTGATGTAGTTTGATGATTTAAAGCTAAGTACATGGAATTCTACTCTGTAAGTGTTATAATCGTTTTGATAATAAACAACCCAGCTACTCCTATTGCTTAGTATTCTTATATAATGACACTCGACAAGACCCCTAAAAATCAGAACACTTTGAACAGGAACGAAACTGTATTCAAAATAACAATGGTAAGTGAACAGCAATCAAGGATTAAAAAAACGTTCATATATTTATAGTGTACGCATGAGAAACTTATAGATGCTTCTGCAATAATCTGCCAGAGCTGATTGGTTTAGAATTAGCCAATCAGCGTGCGCCATCACAATCATACACATAACATGCCTTAATCCGATTTATTTCCCGCTAACATTAAGTGAGAGGGAAGGATTAGTAATATAAATGATAACTTGACCTTTCACCATCTATTTGATTAAGATTCGCTAAAACCGATCCCCCTGATCCTACGATCATTTCCATTGTTTTTTCTTTATAATTTGATAGATTAATTTAGAATCTTCAATTAAGGAGATGATTCAAAAAGTCTTAATCAGTTCTGGTGAACCATTTCATACATCAGATCTTATTATTAATTTATTATATGATTATCTTCGTATCAATGCTAATCAATTCCTTATTCATTTGCCCAAATCAAAATTACCATCTTTAAATGATTTATTATTATGTTGTCAAAATCAACCAATCCGATTATGTCGTATTGTGAAATATTTTCAAACTATTTATATTCATTCATTTATTAAAACAAATGAATTAGATCTAATGAATAATAAACAATTCACATCCTTGATTCATGAATATACTACTAATAATACTACTACTAATAATAATAGTAATCATGATGATGATGGTGGTGGTGATCCATTGGACAATAAAAGTTTGAATGATTTTTCACCTAGCAACAATTCAAATTGGTTACGTTTAAATTATTTATTTAATCAACTATCAATCCCTTTACCCTATCATGATCATCATCATCCTAATCATCAAAAATTTTGGCAATTATATAAACCATATTTGAATCAAGTGTATAAACAATTAAATAAAGGACGTTTATTACGTTTAAAACGAATTGATCTGAAATTATGTCATGAATCTATGGAACAGTTTCTATCATTTTATCAATTAAGACAATCAGCTAGTTTATTAAATTTAACTAAATCACATCATTTAAAAAATTTTTTGTATTGGTTCTTTTGTTGTACATTCAATACTACTAATAATAATGTTAGTAGTATGAAGAATAATAAAGAAAATATCATTACAATGGAAATGATGAATGAATATTATTTAAAAATGTTAAATAATAGTATGAATCATTCAACTTCCTCGTCTTCCTCCTTGTCTTCCTCAGCATTAGGACCGTCGTCATCTTCGACAATCGATTCAACACTTTCAACATCATCGTCATCATACCTTCATGAAGGTTTACGTATTCTTGCTTATTTATTAAATGGTGATCTATTAGATATTATTGATATGGTTTTATATAATCGACAAAAATTAAATATTAATCTATCATCACCTATTACATTGATTGAAATTAAACAAGTTTTAAATATATTTACAAGCATAATATATCCAAGACAATCAACTATATCATCTTGATGAGTCTCTCTCTCTATCTCTCCGTATGTAGATATATATCCATCGAAATTGGCAACTTGGACCGACACATTAAATGTGCCTGGTCCTACGTTGTAACTGACTGACTGATTCATTGAGATGTAGGATTTCTTTTAGATAGTTTCAGTTCTTTGTGTGTGTAAATATACTGAGTTTACTTACTTATTTCAATCCAGATCCATTGATATTAATATGTATGTGATAAATTATCTATATGAAGTTTTATTCTCTAAGCTAAATAGTTTACTTATGGTGGTACATTGATTGTTCTTCTTGAACAACATCATCAGTATAAACTATTGAAGCTAAAAACGTTCCCCTACTATCTCAATGATAGGTTATATACATGTACGTATATGCATTTCATACTTTTGTAGGTTTGTACATTCATTGTTTTGTCCTTTACTTAAGATTTTGTTTTAATAAATAAAATTGTATCTGAGTTACTACCACTGGTATTATTATTAGTAGCATAAGTATTAGTATTTAAAAATATTTTCCATATCGGAGAATTATTTACTGTTGATTAAAATCTTAAAGATTGTTGATTATTCATAATTAATTAAACAAATGATTAAAGATATTTCGGCGGAACTAAACTTTATGGACGAGCCAATCCGAAGCTTTCGCGGATTTTCAAGGTCACAGCCCTAAGTTCGGTACCTGATGCTTACGTACGATCGGTTTACAGCGTATTTTAGAGAAGACGTGATAATTCAGCGTCTACAAAAGAAGGGATTATTAAGAAGTTCCTATACTTGTGACTGTGGTACTCAAATGACTTTTTTCGCTCGATCACGATTAAGGTTAAGAGCCTAACCCTAATATTTCCAACGAGTTAGGAACCGACAGACAACTGTTGGCAACTACATTTTGGCGTCGTTGGATAAAGGAGAACTTACCACTTTTACAGACACGAGCAAAGTGGACACAAGGGAGACGAGATCTACGAGTTGGCGATCTAGTTTTGATTATTGGAGACACCTATACACAAAATAACTGGCCTAAAGGCCTAGTGGTAAGTGTAAACCAAGGAGAAGATGGGCTAGTGAGACAAGTGAAGATCAGAACGTCGAGAGGCATAATTATTAGAGACCTACGTAAAATTTGTTTATTAGAAGGAGCAGATGACTGAACAGTAGAGGATAGAGAGACTCTTCAGAGTGACTGTGACTAGAGTAAATTGTACCATTGTCACCTCTGAATGTTTTTACGTTAGTTCCCAATCAGCGAAAGCAAGGAAAGACATGTTGTCTTTGGGGGGCGGTGTTAAGTTTGTCGTACATTGTTCCTACACGCTCTCCTTCCACTTCTTTGTTTATTGTTTTATACTACTTATTTATATTCAGTAAGCAGTTGTATCCTCAACAATTTTCACATTTAGTCAGTCAGTCACAACGTAGAACTTCGTACGTACGTACATCAGTTCGAGTTGCCATACCACATTAGCACAGAGACGCAGTTGTCCATTCAAATCCCATAGTGGTAGAAGTAGTAAGAGTATAAGCAGTAATCCGAAAGATTAGGGTTTGAAGATGTTATTAAACGAGTATAATCCAGTGAAATAAATTTGGAAAGAGAAAAAGTATAGGGATATGAAGAATTCGGAAGATTAGAATTTGGTAGAACACAAAGAGTGGATGCACCTTTGCCATTACAAACGATTTTGAGCCATATCATTCAAGATCTCTAACCATCGGTTGCTATCATCTCGCGAATCCCAACCAGGTAGTTTACACCTACCAGTATGGCTCAGTTCAATTGTCAGTGACTTCATGGATTTGTGCCATGTTTTGGTCTGACTGCCCCTAGCTTTCCTCCAACCTACTCTTACACCATGAAACATTGCACGTCGAGGCAGTCGGTGGTTGGGGATATGTAACAAGTGTCTCAGCCATCTCAACTGATGAAGTTTCACGACTTCATAAAATCGATTTGCCATCTTTACCTAGTACCCGTTTCCTAACAACTGTATTACTTACCCGGTGGTCTCAGGATATACGAGCAATGCTTCGAAGACACCTATGATCGAACACTAGTAGCCTACGAATATCCTCTACTCTTATTGGCCATGTTTCACTGCCATAAAGTAGGACGGAGCGAACTGCTGCACAGTAAACCCGTCCTTTGGTTGCTAGACGTATATCTCGCCTACGCCATAAATGACGCAAGTTGGCGAAAGCTAGACGAGCCTTCTGTATCCGTGCTGAGATTTCGTCACATACCAGACCACAAGGGCTGATGAGACTACCAAGATAAGTGAAGTGGTCTACACGCTCAACTACTTCACTCCCTATCATTAGTTCAGGTGTCGATGCAACCCAATCCTGAAGTAACATTTTGCACTTCGAGGGAGAGAATCGCATTCCGAACATGCCTGCATAGTTGCTTATAGTGGTCAGAAGACTGCATGTTGTCAGCGTCTTCACCGAGTAAAACTATGTCGTCGACGTATTCTAAGTCAACAAGTAAGCCTCCTGGTAAAAGTTCAACTCCTGGAGGTTTAGCTGATGAAAGTGCTATCTCTAAAAGTATGTCAATGACAAAGTTAAACAAGAATGGGGAGAGTGGACAGCCCTGATGAACGCCACTTGAGGTAATCAGTTCTGATGACAGTTCGCCATAGGCTCTAACTCGACCAGTTGTGCTCGAGTAGAGAGCCTTTATGAGGTTAATGTACTTCTTTGGTACTCCTTTCAGTGACAAACATTGCCATAGAACCTCACGATCAACAGAGTAAAATGCCGCCTTAAGGTCAAGAAATACTACTATTGTGGGACGTCTGAATTTGTGTCTATGTTCTAGAACCTGACGTAGGGTGAATATCTGGTCTATGCAACCACGTCCAGGTCGAAAACCAGACTGGTTTTCTCTAGTCTGCTCGTCACGAGCTTTGATTAGGCGACCTAGTATTATTGAAGCTAATATTTTAGACACTATATTAGTCAAACTGATCCCTCTGTGATTGTCACAGGAGGACTTTTGTCCTTTATTAGAGACTGGCACAATCAGTGATTGGGACCAGTCAGATGGAATTACGTCCAGTTCCCAGATTCTACCTAAGACCTCAGTCAATCTCACTACTAGTACTGGACCACCATCCTTAAAAATCTCAGGGGTCAAACTGTCAGGGCCTGCGGCTCTCCCTCGCTTCAGATTTCCTATGGCTTTTTCAACCTCACAGAGGGTTGGAGGACTTACATCAATTTTCCATTCAGGACGACTGGGGATCGTGGGTAATTGAAGTGTGGCTGAAGGCCAGTTGAACTGATCCCTAAAGTGTTCTGCCCATCGATCCAACCTCCTGGATTGAGAATGAATAATATGCCCATCTTTATCTGAGATGGTTTCACTGATATTCGGGTTCCTAATACCGGTTTCTTTAACGAGTCTGAATAGCTGCCTACTGTTACCTATTGCAGCTGCCTTTCCCATCTCTCTTGCTTTCGCTACCCACCACTGTTCACGATCATTACGTAGACTTCTTATAAGCCTGCGCTTAAGTTGACTCCGCTCTTCGTTATGCTCAGAGCCAGGTGGGATGAGTTTTCGAGCATCTATCAGTGCGATAGATGCTGCCGAGATCCATTGTTTCTCCCTAACGTTATGGTTTACCTTACTAGCGGATATCACTGCTGTTTCCACAGCTTTTCGGATGTCATTCCACGCTGCCTCGGGGTGGACACAACTTACATGGCTGCCTAACTGTTTTTCTAGTTGTTCCTGAAATATATTCTTAGCTTGCCTATCATTAAGTAGAACCCTTAGAGGCTTCCCTGCAGTGTCTTTCCTACGACCAGTAAGACGCAAACAGATACGTGCTTGCACTAGAGCATGATCTGAATCTAAGCATGTGCCTCAGAATAAGCTACAGTCTTCTATCGAGCCCCTCCATCGGTGGCTGATAGCGATGTGATCTAATTGGGTCCAACGTTGGGACGAATTCGGGGGTCGCCATGTCAAAAGATGTTTTTCCTTATGCTTAAAGTTAGTATTTGCATGAAATAGGCGGTTATCTGAGCATAGCTGCAACAGACGGTCGCCATTATCTGTTCTTTTCGCCATGACACCATAAGATCCACCCAGGTGTCTTTCCCTTTCACTTAGTTTACCTACTTGAGCATTAAAGTCACCTGCTACTATTACTACATCAGAACGCCTAGCTTTTCGGAGAAGGTCAGAAAGTTTCCTGTAGAACTCATCTTTTATATCGTCTGAGCTGCAGTCAGTGGGAGAGTAGGCAGAGACGACGAAGAGGCAACGACGAGTTTCCCTATCTTTCCGGGTCCTTACTGATCCGTTTAGTCGGACAGCGCATAGACGACTGTCTACTGGGATCCAGTCTAAAAGAGCTAGTTCTGCCCTAGGACTTAATGCTGTACCTACTCCAGCGAGGCCACGGGAAGCAGCATCAGGGCTTCCAGATACACGAAGCGTGTATCGAGATGAATCTTTATTTTGATTAGGTGCGGTCAAATGAATGACACTACTCGGATCTTGTATGCGCGTTTCGGAGACGCAGCACACATCGATGGTGTAAGATTCTAGACTCCTAGCTATATTGTATATTGTAACGCGAGTTGTATTGTATCATTCAGAAACGCCCACATATATTTATTATGTTTATTGTACTTGTCATTGTATTTGTCATTGTAATCACTGTACTTCGATTACTATAACGGTTATTCGCAGTTGCGGATTTGTTTAAACGCAACAGTTTCCATATTGTTTGCTTTTGGTTCGAGTTTCGATTGTTCATAAACTGTTGTCCAATTTCGACACAGCCATTGGCTGTCTTTGTACTATCGAAGCCTTTACTATTTCATTCCTGAACGACGCGTTAAACGCCTAGACACCTCACAAGTTGAGGTTTGCAATTAAATTTTGTGTTTTATATAATAATAGAACCGCTTTTGCAGACAAATCGTTGTTTTGGAACTTCGATTTTGCGCGTATCTCAATCGGGTCATTTGGACGCTTCGATAGACTTAACAGACCTTATCATGGCTCCAGAGGACGACTACTATGAAGCCAT